ATAATAAAATAGATATAGCTAATCCTTTTGGCTACAAGAAATCTGTTTGTCATATAACTATTTTGAATCTTATAATTTCCTTATTTGAAATAGATTATTTTTTTAAAGTATTATATAATTTGATATATTGATCAAAAGAAGTTAAATTACAATTTGTTTAAATTATTATGAATGTTAGATAATTATTTTATATTCAAAAAAGAAAGTATAGATTGAAAATGATATTAATTTAGAATTCAAAGGAAGCGATCATTTCCAAATCTAATGTGAAGTTTATCTTTGAAAATTGTAAAAGATATATTAAAATTGAATATAAATAGATTTACAACAAAATAAATGGTGCTGTCTTTAAAGTTTCCATCGATAATAGAATAAATTCATCCATATTCTTAATAATCATATTAAAAATTTGTTTTTTAAATAGCTTTCAAAATTTATGAAATTAACATCATTTTTTTCTAAATAATTAGCATATCAATATAAATTTTATATTATTTATAAAAATTGGTTTATGAATTAAGGATAGTCATGTAAGTATTTTATATATTAATAGTAAAAACATATACAAAATATATTAATAGATAACTTTGGAAAGAGGCTCTTACAAGTAGACATCCAACTAAAAAATTGGAATAATTTTTTAATTAATATCACAAAAAACAAGATTAATTGTAGATGGCTATTGATAATTTAAATCTCAAATATTTTCCAGATTTATTATAGTATTGTCTTGGAACATTAGTATTTTTATCAATGCAAAGCCTTCCAAATAATTTATATAATATAGAATAAATTTTGGAATCATCAAAATTTTCAAGTGTGTTTTCAAAAGAGCTTAATATAATGTAAAAAAAAATCAACCGAACTAGAGATGTATAGGATTTCTAAAAAACTATTGATTAATTTTTAAAGTTTGCAGAAAACTCTAAGAAACTACAAATAAAATAATTACCATTATATCTTAATTAATTAGAATCAACAGTCATAATTTTGATGAGAAATAGCTCAAATCTCAATTAATATTTTTAACAAATTTAACTATTAAAAAATTCAATAAACAATTTAAATGATAATCTAATCATTTAAAATTCAATAAATTTTAATGATTTTATTCAACCCGAAATTTATTAACGATAAAACTCTCAAAAAATTTATTAACCTAGAAATTATTAAGTAGATTACATATAAGTTAGTAACTAATATCGAAAATCAATTTCAAGATTATTAAAATCCAAGTTCAAATTAGGAATTATAAAGTAATTTATTAAAGCCTTTATAAAATTAAGAACATTAGCAATATTAACCAAGAAATTATTTTGACCTTAACAATTAATCCAGTCAAAATTTGCATTAATAACAAAGTAATTTTCAATATCAAACTTAATAAGCTTAGCTATTTAATAATGATGATAATGAATTTGAGAATTTATAATTAAATATGTTCACATAAACTTAACAGCTCAAATAAAATAAAAACAATAAATATTAAAAAAATAATTAGTATCATTAAGATTAAAAGATAAAACCCTAAAAAAATGATAATTTTAGTAAAAAATCAAAGAAATATACAAATTCCTAATCCTCTTATCATAATAAAAAACTTACAAGTCCTTACGAAGAAAAAAGTCCTCTCGAAATATGTTACAGCAAGATAATATCAAATGATTAAGATAACTAATTTTCATCATCATAGAGATAAAAAATTAGATAAAGGAAAATTCTTTAGTTTTGATGATCAAAAAGAAAACTTAATTAATTGTCCGAAGTGTGAAAAAATCATTACCAGAAGTAGTAGGTACGATAAATAAATTAAGAATTCCTTAATATGGCTTAACTAATAAAAAGAAGATCAAATTAAAAAATATAATGTTACAAATGATAAAATATTAAATGCAATTGATCTAGTCAATCAAAAACTCTAGTTTGTTAAAAACAAAAAGTTAAAAGATAAAGATAGCTTTTTCGATAATATACTTTTAAAATTATAATAGGAAAATAAATTAACTAATTCAGGAAGAGATTCTAAGATGACATATCACTATTTTAATTGTATATTAAAAGTTAAATGAAGTTATATGAAAAATTTGTTGAATTAATGCAATCTCTAAATAACAGTTAAATATTCTAATTTCATAAACACAATTTGATTGCAGAATATTTAATGAATGAAAACTTTAGATAAAATTATTCTAATTCTTTTTGGTGGAAAGTCAAAACAAAACTAGAAAATCTTTTATTGTATTAAAAAAGTTATTCTTTATTCCAAAATACTTAAGAAACATTATATCAAAATATTTATTGTGAAATTGAAACCTCATATTTCTTTTTGGATGATGAAAAAAATTTAACATTTAAGAATATCTTAGATGACGTTTCAATATAATCAAAAATTTAGAGTTAATGAAAAAGTATTAAAGTCATCTAAAAAAATAACTATAAACATCATTTCCAATTGCTAATGGTTTATCGATTAATTAATTCATGAACCCCTTCTTTGTTTTTTACTTTTATTGTTTTCCTTTCCTTTTTATCAATCCGATATCTAACAGCACCTATACTAATCTTTATTATTTTCTACATTTTTGCATTTCTCTATAGAAATTATTAATTAAGCCTCTTTTGATAAATTCTATAATTTTTTAAAAGTCATTTAATTTTAATAAATAATTTTCAAAATACTTAAGCATAGATAATATCATTTTAGTTATAATATCATAACCTTCAATGAAAAACATAGCCAATATAACAAGAGAGAATTATATAGGTGCATGTTGCATACATAAAGTTAAATAAAATGCACTTACACACATACTTAGATCTTCAATTCCAAATCTTAAAAAATGTTAATATAATTAAGGCATTCTTTTTTTAAATTTAAAGTTGAATTTAGCCATCACCATGAATAATCCAGGTGTTCCATTTATATATACCTATCTCCAATCTTTATCCATAATTATTGTTCTTAAAATTTCAAAGATAGCTTCATCATTATTAAAATCTAAATAAATGAGAGCTGCTACTATGAAATTCATTCCTTAACCATAAGAAACTTCTGAATCTAAATTACTGTAAGCCACTAATATATCTTATAATCTTTGAAGAACTTCTCCTTACTAAAAAAAGTTTGAACTTTTAAAAGTTCTATTTACATCTTTGTTAATACATTCATAATTTTTTTCTTTTACTTCATTTTTAAGGTTACCAAATAGGCAAGTCATTTGGCATTACATTGTTATAAAATCAAAAACTTGTTTCACTGTTAATGATCTTGTAGTAAATATTGATAAAAGTAAACTTTTGTTTGAATCATACTAACCTGTTTTTAAGAGATGTAACCACTCAGAATCAGATAGTATTTGAATATCTATATTATAATATTTTAACTCTAATTTCAATTATTCATTGTAATCATCTTCCCAAACATATTTTGGAATTGGTTGCAACATAGATAGTTCATCTTCTATAGTTATTTCATGAGAGTTTTTTTCATCAAATAAAGAGTATGCATAACGATTACTTTTTCTGAATGGATTAAGGTGTTATGAAATCATATTATTTGTTTATTATAAATAATTAAATTAATCCTATAAAATAAATTATTAAGTGATTAATTAATTTTAAATTGTGCAAATACTATTATTAACCATTATAATATAATTTAATCTACAATCTTCACAGATCTTGTTTTTTATAAATTTTTATTTTTTAAATGATCAAAAAAAAGTAAAAAAATTTAAACAATAATTATTTTTTAAAAGATCAAAGAAATAGAATATTTTAGAAATTCAACAAATAACATGATTTTTATATATTAAAAGTCACAAAATAAAGGAAATAAATTTTTTATAATTACTCCTAATAATAATAATTTTATAAATATTTATGAATGATTATAAAAAGTCTATAGTATATTAATGAATGATTATAAAAAGTCTATAGATTTTAATGAATGATTATAAAAAGAATAGACCATATAGGCTCAAGTTTTTTCTTATTCTTAAAAATTGTTCTTTTTTAAATAAGCAGGATTTAATTGATATAATAAGAGATTTAAAAATACAAATCAAAATTTTAAGNATACCTATCTCCAATCTTTATCCATAATTATTGTTCTTAAAATTTCAAAGATAGCTTCATCATTATTAAAATCTAAATAAATGAGAGCTGCTACTATGAAATTCATTCCTTAACCATAAGAAACTTCTGAATCTAAATTACTGTAAGCCACTAATATATCTTATAATCTTTGAAGAACTTCTCCTTACTAAAAAAAGTTTGAACTTTTAAAAGTTCTATTTACATCTTTGTTAATACATTCATAATTTTTTTCTTTTACTTCATTTTTAAGGTTACCAAATAGGCAAGTCATTTGGCATTACATTGTTATAAAATCAAAAACTTGTTTCACTGTTAATGATCTTGTAGTAAATATTGATAAAAGTAAACTTTTGTTTGAATCATACTAACCTGTTTTTAAGAGATGTAACCACTCAGAATCAGATAGTATTTGAATATCTATATTATAATATTTTAACTCTAATTTCAATTATTCATTGTAATCATCTTCCCAAACATATTTTGGAATTGGTTGCAACATAGATAGTTCATCTTCTATAGTTATTTCATGAGAGTTTTTTTCATCAAATAAAGAGTATGCATAACGATTACTTTTTCTGAATGGATTAAGGTGTTATGAAATCATATTATTTGTTTATTATAAATAATTAAATTAATCCTATAAAATAAATTATTAAGTGATTAATTAATTTTAAATTGTGCAAATACTATTATTAACCATTATAATATAATTTAATCTACAATCTTCACAGATCTTGTTTTTTATAAATTTTTATTTTTTAAATGATCAAAAAAAAGTAAAAAAATTTAAACAATAATTATTTTTTAAAAGATCAAAGAAATAGAATATTTTAGAAATTCAACAAATAACATGATTTTTATATATTAAAAGTCACAAAATAAAGGAAATAAATTTTTTATAATTACTCCTAATAATAATAATTTTATAAATATTTATGAATGATTATAAAAAGTCTATAGTATATTAATGAATGATTATAAAAAGTCTATAGATTTTAATGAATGATTATAAAAAGAATAGACCATATAGGCTCAAGTTTTTTCTTATTCTTAAAAATTGTTCTTTTTTAAATAAGCAGGATTTAATTGATATAATAAGAGATTTAAAAATACAAATCAAAATTTTAAGTATAAATATATTTTACAAAAATATACTATATAGATAAAATGGCATAACTTGTGAGATAATTATTTTCTACAAACTTACAAATAATATTTTGTTTTATGCGTAAAAATCAATAAAATTCATCTTATTTTTCAATAATTTTATCTAAATTTTGATGATGTTGGTGAAGTTATATCTATTTTACAAATAGGACAAGTTGATGATGTCAGCAACCACTAATATATACAATCATGATGAAATCTATGTATACAAGGGAGTAGAATTAATTCTTAATCTTTTTTATAATTGACATAGCAAATGCTACAAAATTTAAATTCTTAATCAAGCTCATCTGAATTTGAAAATTTAATTCTCCCCAAACTTTGAACTCTTAATTTTGAAGTAAGGCTATTTAGAATTAATTTTATACCTTTATTCATCATTAACTTTGGATTATAATAGAGTTAATTTATCATTATTGATAAAACTCTGAAAGCTCTATTCAAAAGATGTTTAATTTATTTTTGGATTTAACTTTTCTTAAGAAATCTGCCCTTGTTATGAATTGGTTTTAGAATCAATTATAAATGTAGTTTCATATAATTCATTTTTAGCTGGATCCTTAGTGATAACTTTTTAAAGTATTTTACCATCTTCTTAAATAACTTCTTGAATTTGAGTACAAAATTCTGTTTCCTTTAATTATCCATTTATATCAAAATAATTTTCTTAGTAATTATAATCATTCATTGTTTCCTCTATTTACAATTTTTCAATCATTAAATAGACTTGGCATTTTGGGTAATGTTCATCAATTTAATCTTTCTGAAAAATCTCATTACAACATTCACATTTCTTTGTTGTTTATTGTAAAATAGATTGTGTTTATTAATTTGTTTAATTGATCTATTTTATCTATTGTTATGAAGCAGATTCCTTATATGAATGTTACATTAAATATTATGAATTAGGTTTTTAAGATTCTAAATCTTAAATTTCTTAGTTTTATTTTATTTGAGAATCATTTGTTTCTGTTAATTTCTTAGAATCATTCGAATTCGCATTCTAAAATTATTATTATAAATGAACCTGGGTTTAAATAATAGATTAGTATTCTGGATGATTACCCAAATTACACTCTATCCTATGCGAAAACATTATGGTAACAGGTAAACTTTCTTAACAGAACTTACAAGTTACTATGTCATTGTTCTAAGTCTGCATATAATTTTTTATATTATTAATTATACATTTGTAATAATAAATAAATGAATTGAATTAATACTAAATAAAAAAGTGAAGTCTTTTAATCTAAGATATTAGAAATATAAATATGGTAAAAGATCTTTTTCTTGATATTTGTATGAAAATAATTGATATGTTGAGTTTTTTTATAATTTAATTTAAATTTATGTAATAGAATTATTAATAGAAAGACAATCTAAGAATGCAAAATTATTAATGTTATTAAAAAAAATTTTAATTCTTGGTATTAAGAAAAGAACTAATGTAGGGAAAAAGTGAAATAAATTCTTTTGGATTTTTTACAATCATAAAATTATAGAAATAAATGTAAAATTCTAGAAATATTTGATAACTGTTTAGAATGGCAAAATATAAAAAGGAGTCTTATAATATGTCATATAAAATTTGATTAATAGGTAAAATGATAAATTCTTATAGTATCAATGAAATCAAAGTTTGGTAATTTAAATGCGCAAAATATTAAATAACATTTTTAATAATAAAAATGGCAAGAACAAAATAGACTGCAAGAAAGAGTACTGCTGGTAATAAGAAACCAACAAAACATTTGGCTACAAAGGCTGCTAGAAAGACTGCTCCAGCTGTTGGATCAGCAGGTGGTTTAAAGAAACCACATAAATTTAGACCAGGAACAGTAGCTTTGAGAGAAATCCGTAAATATTAAAAATCAACTGAATTATTGATCAGAAAATTACCATTCTAAAGATTAGTTAGAGAAATTGCTCATGATTTCTAAAAGGAATTAAGATTCTAAAGTTCAGCTGTATTGGCACTTTAAGAAGCTGCAGAAGCTTATTTAGTTGGATTATTCGAAGATACAAATTTATGTGCAATCCATGCTAGAAGAGTCACAATAATGTCTAGAGATATCTAATTAGCCAGAAGAATCAGAGGTGAAAGATTTTGAGATTTCATACAAAATATAACAAGAAATATTATATATAAAAAATTAATATTTAATGTGGTTAACTAAATCGTATTCATTTATAAAAACAAGAATAGATTATCATATAAAAAAATCATCTTAGATTTAAGAATAATAACCTGTTGTTATTAAATAACAAAGTTCAAATTTTAAGAACAGACAGAGATCAACAAGTGTTAATAAAAGTATGACAAAAATAAACATCATAAAAGTAAATGGTTAATTGAATTATAGGATTTCTATTATATCTCAAAGGATGATTAATATGTTTATAATACTATAGAGATTACTGATAACTTATTTATTGAATAAATAAAAAAGGAAAACAAAATTTTAGAGAAAATAGATTGGTTAGTAATCCTAAAAAATAAATCATTCTTAGGTTATAAGATTTAATAAATCCATTAATCAATCATGTTATAAACAATAGAATATGACATGTATAAATTAAAATAAGTTTTAGACGTAGATAATGGTGGATTTTTGCCAGTAATTAAGAATAGAATATGAAGGAATTAAAAAACCAAAGCTTTCAAAAATTAATATTATCTGACACTCTACATAAAATTTAGATTAAAAAAGATGCAGCTAGAACAATTATTCACGATATGTTTAAATAAGTATTTTTTTTTGATTTAGAATAGTAAGAAAATTAATAATCTTTAAAAAATATTCTTATTGCCTATGCTAATTATGATAAAGAATTGGGTTATGTTTAGGGACTTAATATAATAGTAGCAAATCTATTAGTTTGCTATGATTTAAGTGTTAATGATTCATAATTAAATGATTTTGAAATTATTGATAAAGACAGAGATGAAACTGTTTTCTTTATCTTCTTATACATAATGAAAGATCGAAATTGGAGAACTGTTTTTTTGGAGGGTTTTAAAGGTTTGAGACTTAAAATAGATGTGCTTGAATAAATGATTAAAAAAAAGATACCTGAATTACATAAACATTTCTATGATGAAGGGATTGTAAAGATGAATTTGTATTTAGACTGATTTTTTTCCTTTATTTTCTCGTTTCTATATGACATTATTGATTTACAATATCCCTTGGAGATTTTCAAGCATGATACTCGATCTTTTCCTTATTGAAGGCGAAGCAATCATACACAAATTGATACTAGCAATGTTGTTGTATCATAAAAATAAGTTGATAACCAGAAACTATAGTGATATTAGAATATTCTGTTAAGAATCACTAATTAATAGTTTTTTAGAAATATTTGATGCTTCTCAACCAAATTTAATAGCTATTTTGTAAAAACTAAATTTATTATGATATTATTTTTTATATATTATATTTTTAAATCTACTTAAGTAAATCAATTAAAAGCTTTTTTCCCAACTATAATATAATCATCATAAAGTTTTTTCTTAACATAAGGATTTTTAACTTTCGGTTTTAAGTGTGGTTTAGCGATAGGAGGTAATTTAGAATGCAAACTTCCATCTCTAACTTTATCATTTTCATCGTCTGATTAATTCAGTTTTCCTTCTAATTTCACTTCCAATTTAATTGTTCCTGGATATATTCCTTTATTTAATCTTTTCTTTGGTTTAGCAATTGCAATAGCCTTTCCAAATTAAGTACTATCACTTGACTGAGACATTGGAGCATCCCAAAATTCTTCAAAAAATTCATGTCTCAATGCTTCCTCTGAACTGATTCTCTTTGCTGGATCAAGTTACAATAATTTATAAAGTAAATCTATGCAATCAGTACCAGCATGTGGTGGTACTAATCTTTCTAAACCTATTCCTTTTTATTGCTTAAAATTAAATTCCATATGAGATGCCTAAGACTTGAATCTATTTAATAATTCAGGCTCTGGAGTACCGAGAATCTTAAATATCTTATTAATCTAATCTAATTCATTTTCTCCTTGAAATAACGGTAATAATGCAATAATTTCAAACATAACACAACCCACTCCCCAAAGATCCATTTTTTAGTCATAGTAACCATCTGTCATCAGACATTCAGGTGCTCTATACCATCTAGTGCTTATGTATTCTGTGTAGGGATGGGTAGAATGAATACCTTTGCAACTTCCCAAATCAGCTACTTTAACATTATCATTTTTTATAAGAATGTTCTCTGGTTTTATATCTCTATGAAAAAAGTTACGTTTATGCATGTAATCCAATGCTTTTAATACTTAATACATGTATTTTTTAACTTTAGCCATGCTCAAATAAGAAGTTCTATTTTTTATGCAGTCATAGAGATTCATTTCCATTAATTCACATACTAATGCTAATCTTCCACTTGGTTCATCATAGAGAACTTCATTTAATTTAACAATATTAGGATGCTATTATAACTAATGTAAAGCTTGAATTTCTTTTAAGTTCTTGACTTAATCCTAACAAAATTTAAAAATTAATTTACCACACTTTCAAAACGATTTTTCATACATTTAATTGCAACCAATTATCCAGTAATCATAGATTTAGCCTTCAAAACTTCTGAAAAAGTACCTTCTCCAATTTTTACTAAAATGTAATATTGATTCATATTTCCCAATAAAAAAATAAATTTGATTTTTTTAGTAATAAAAATAATTATGGGGCTCATTGAGAAAATCAAAGAAATTGAGGATGAAATGGCCAGAACTCAAAAGAATAAGGCAACAGAGTATCATATGGGTTAATTAAAGGCCAAATTGGCCAAATATCGAACTCAATTATTAGAGCCACCTAAATCTGGTCCTAAAGGTGAAGGATTTGAAGTTTAAAAGTTTGGAAATGCAAGAGTTTGTATGATCGGATTTCCATCTGTAGGAAAGGTATACACATAACCTCTATTTGAAAGTCCACAATTCTATCAACTTTAACAAAAACTTAATCTCTAGTGGCTGCATATGAATTCACAACATTAACATGCATTCCAGGAGTAATTGATTATAAAGATGCTAAAATTTAATTACTTGATCTTCCAGGAATTATTGAAGGAGCTTCCGAAGGTAGAGGAAGAGGAAGATAAGTCATTGCAGTGGCTAAAGCTTGTGATCTTGTACTTATGGTTTTAGAAGCTGATAAAGCTGAAGATCAAAGAAGAAAGCTCACTTTAGAATTAGATAAAATGGGTATTAGATTAAATAGAAAGAAACCTGATGTCACAATTACTCCAAATAAATCAGGAATGTATTCCTAATTATTATTAATTTAGGGTTCGTATTACATCTACTATTAAATTGACAAAAGTAGATGAAAAATTGATCAAGAATATTATGTAAGAATATAAAATCCATAATGTTGATATTCTAATAAGAGAAGATATTACAGTGGATGATTTGATAGATATTATTGAAGGTAATAGAAAATATGTTAAATGTCTTTATGTATTTAATAAAATTGATAAAATATCTATTGAAGAAGTGGATGAAATTGCAAGAAGGAAAGATCATTGTGTTATATCTTGTAATTTAAAGTTAAATTTGGATTACTTATTAGAATGTATGTGGGAGAAACTTGATTTAGTAAGAGTCTATACAAAAAAGAGAGGATAATAACCAGATTTTACAGATCCGATTGTTCTTAGTAATGATCGTAATGGTCTGATGGTTAGGAGTGTTTGTGCTTAAATTCATAAAGAGTTAGTTGATGAATTCAAATTTGCAATTGTTTGGGGAAGAAGTTGCAAGTAAGATTTTTTTATAATATATTTAGATTTAATCCATAAAAGGTTGGATTAAATCATGTTTTAGCTGATGAAGATGTTCTTTAGATATATAAATCTAAAACTAAAGCATAATTAGCAAAATAAAACAAATAAATTAAGGGTACAAAATAAGATAGAAAAAAAGAAGAGAAAGGAGATAAAAGTTCAAAAAAATGAATGTTGTGATTGGTTATAAATATCTATATAATAAAATTAATTAACATAAATTTATAATTTTAATGTGATTTTAAATTCAATCTCACTAATAAATTACATTAAAATGATCATTGATTTTCTTAACCAACTTAAATATTAAAAAACTGTTTTCTTAATTTACAAAGTCAATAAGAATAATTTAATATGAATTGATATATTTGATTTTGTTGCAATAAAAATTTCTTAATCTTAATTATTTTTGTAATGTCTATAAATACAATCAAATCTCATAAAATTGAAGTACTTAAACAAGGAATACCACAAAAATATCATAGATTTTATCCAACAACAAATAAAATATTTCGATGTATCATTCAATTGCATTTTATATAGCAAAAAGTTTAGATGGGTTAGTGAGACTTTTATAATAAACATGCTATCAAAAATCAGAACAATTTATAGATACACAATAAATTGTTTCAACAAGACGATTACTTAATACATAAAAGACATTGATGGAATTTGGTTTTGTTAATGGAAGAAGCTCTCCTATTAGAAAGAATAAATAGCTTCAAAAGAGCAGATAAAAAAATTATAAATTTCCTGAATTATAGTATAAAATAAGAAGATTAAGTTGTGGATGTGGGGAATGTGGAATAGTTGGACGAAAAATTAGGAAATTTCATGATATTCTTATTTTAAAAGTTTAAGAAGTTGGAGAATAAGTGATGGTAGAGAATGGAAAGAAATTAAAAGGAATTTTTAGTTAAGTGGCTAAAAGTACAAAGGTATGCATGAATTTGAAAACATTATAAAGAGAACAAGAAAGAGAAGAGAAAGTAGAGTTTAGTCCTGAGGCAAAATCAAGTATTTAAGATTTTTAATGTAAATAAATGTCTCGAAAGATTATTTATTAAAACTAAATGAATCAACTACCATTAATAAAGAAACCTGAAATGAAAGATTATATGAGGAAAATAAATAACTTAAATAATCTTATTGAATAGACTTAACTGATATCTAGTTAATCTAGTACTTTAATAAGAAATTCAGCACCAAATTTAGATGCATTTGAAAAGAGACAAAAAGAGAGTCCAATATCAAAGAGAGAATAATCAATTAATAGTTCTAGAAAGAAATAAAGTGTTTACTTAATAAAAACATCTTTGAATGGATTGAACTTATAAAAGTTCAGAGAGTTTAAAATAAAATAATGAAATATATTAAATTTTGGAATTAAAGCAACGATATTGAATAGTAATCTGATCCTTAAGAAAAATCAGGGTTTGTATCTAAGTTTTCTTAATCTTTTAGATTTCTAAAACCATGTAAAATTAATATATATAATGATATAGAAACTGTAGTGACTAAAGTACAAGATGTATAATAAGCAGCTATGAATTGGAAGAATTTTGCAATATTTTTCAGTTTGGGAATATGTTTTATATTTGTGGCATTTACATTTTTACCAATGATTATGTTATTTCCAGCTAAATTTGGAGGATTATTTAGTTTAGGGTATGATGTATATTTAAAGAGTAAAATAGATCATTAAGTTTGTGGATTTCATTGTTTATAATAAAAGGAGGGAAGAACTTTCTAAAAATGTTTTGTAACAAAGAGAAATTCATCTATACTAATATTTATGTGATAATGTTATGTGGAACGGTATATTTCAGTCTAATTCATAAGAATTATATTTTAGTGTTAATTTTTTCAGTTGCATAGGTATTTGAATAATTAAATAATATAGATGATTTCATTGGGATGGTTATTTGCTTCTTCATTTCCAGCTGGAATCACTGGAATGAAGTTCATATCAAAATAAATACTAGCACTAATTACAAAGATAATGTCTTTTTGTTTTAAGTCTTAATAATCGAATTCATTTCTACCCATTTGAGAAGAATAATATTAAATTGCAGTAAGAAAATGATCGATTTATATATTTTAATAATGTTTTTTCACCATGATGATATTGGATTGTATGGAGATTGCTCTATAATATAATTCATCATCACAACTCCTGGTACTCCCATCATTCTTTAGATCTCGAGTTCGTGATTCATCATCATTACATCCATAGGTGGTGTATGATAGTGAAATTGCATAAATGAATAATCTTCTAAGCTAGCATCTTATCTCTCTACTCATATCAATTGCAGCTATACCAATTTATTATTGGCTTCCTCTCAGTTGGGATTAGGCAAAACATATAGATGCTAATATCAGTATGATAAACACCTCTCTCATCTTTGCTTATTTCCCCTTTATTATTAATTATTCACTTATTAATCCGTTTTGAATTTTATATATTCTAATATTCTCGATATAATATTATTTGTACACTTCATTAAATTCTTCATTCATAGGTTCTCTCTTTTATTCACTTCATTTCAAATCTTAATTCTAATTTTATTATTTCAACAAAATGATCATCTGATAATTATACTATTAAATTCTTATATTTAATATTTAATTATTTTGCATCCTCATTATTATCCAAGTTCCATTGGTAATATGCCAACCTCAAAAATATCAATATTATTTATAGGCCAATCGTAAATCGTAAAGCATAGGTCAATTAGTTCAAAATGTTAATTTTACAATAAATATATAGATTGATCAAAAATAATCTGAATGAAGAGGATGATAAAAAGAAAGGAGAGCCTATTAAAAAATATTAACTTACATCACATTAAGTAATATTATTTATCCTATTAAGTTAGGGAGTGGTGTTTCAAAATTATTTCCTGAAATGTGTATGGCTGTTATTCAAATGACATGGTTCAAAAGAAAATGATCTACTACTTATATTTAACAACATATGCTGAATAAAACAAAGAAATAGCCTTAATGGCAATAAGCACATTTTAAAAAGATTGTAAATACAATGATCCTAAGTTTAGAAATCTTTATTTATTAAGATTTAGAGGCGTAAATGAGTATTTAATGCTTGCAATAAAAGAAGCCCTTTTGGATATTGATCAATATGTAAAAAAAATAGCAATAATTTGATGTGTTAAGATTTATTAGATTTAATCAGATTAATTGAGCATAATAGAAAACAATTATATAAGATGATAAGTGATAATGATCCTTTGGTACTATACTAGCTTTTGAAGCTATTGTCATTTGATTACCTAATTTAGCAAATGAAATAGTAAAAAAATATCTTCATTTTTTACATTATAAGATTACATAACCTAAAATGAAGATATTTTAAGGAAACTCTTATAGTATTCTAAATAATAAGAATGAAGTTATTGATCTAAAGATGTGCAACTTTCTTATTATATTGCAAAATAATCCAAATGAACTTAAAAAATTATGGTATAATGGAATTAAAGTTGATAAATTCTTAATGTTTGAATAATTTGAAAATATGTGGATTAGTTTAAATAATGATGTATTTTTACGGATTTCATAAATTGTAAGTGTTTTTTAAGTTAGAAATTAATAAAAATTCTAATACTGTTTTATATTAAATATAAGATCTAAATTAGAAGATTAAGCATACTCAGCATAAAATTATGTTTAAGATTTTCTTAAATAATCAAATTTAACCAGTTAAAATTTATTCAATTAATATTATAATAAAAATTCAAACAACATATATCGTATAACTTTCCTTTGTATTCAATTAAATCTGATTTTGATTGGAAACAATAATTACAATAATTTTATTAAAATTACTGTCCTTTCAAAAATGGAATCAAGGTATTTTCAAATATAAATTCATAATCAAATTTATTAACTTCTTTCTATTCAATATTTATAATATATTTGTACATCTATTTTTAGATCACTTAATCTATCATTAACAGATTACACAATTTCTGATAATTATGTAAATCTACAACTCATTCCTATTATCTTTCTTAATCCTTAAATGAAAATTTGATATTTCTTTTCATATCTTACCTTTTCCAATTGTCCCTATAATTTTATTATTGATAACACAGACTCTGATTTTTTTAATTCTTTTTTTAATTTATTAACAAAATCTTCAAAAATTTCAATCTTTGGTAAAAGCATATCTATTGATGGATTTTCAGGAATTTGATGGTCATGATCAAAAATATATCTTTTAATATGATAATCCAAATCTTACTAATCCATTAGATCAATAACTTTAGCAATCTATAATATTTTTTTTTTCAAAACCATAGCTATTGGTTCTTTTGCTCTTAAAGTATCTCTTATAACTGTAGCTTCTTCATACTCTTCTTTATCAACATGAATTTACTTTTTCTTTCTTAAAGCTTATATATCCTTAGCCAATTAAGCATATTCTTAGACTTATGCCATATATAAATTCAACTTTAGATCACTCAATTCTTCTATAAAACTATCCATACATTCTGCATCAAACCCAACTATATCTTCTATTTAATTTCTCCAATTTCTCTTTTTAATTGGTTAAGATCTTTATGGACCTTACTTAATATTTGTTTCTAAAGTTTAATACTAGTTATTTAAATTAGCTTAATTAATTTTTTACTAAAATTAAATCTATTATTAAGAATTTTATTAATCAAATTATTATTATTAAAAATCTTAAAACTTCTAAACTTAAGGAATTATTTATGGATTTTATAATACTGAGTATTATTAATTTAAAATGGTAGAATTTGTAACTTATATATTTAAATTTTACACATTATTTTCAAGTGGACTTTCTATTTATTCTCCTTCTACAAATTCATCATCATTATTATCATTATTATCATGATTACCCTCCTATTTTATACTTTAGAAGATCATTTATTCAAGTTTAGGTTATATACATTAATCTTCTTAATTTTGAGTTTTTGTTTCTTCTTAAATTTCTTAATTTTCTTACTCTTTGATCTCTATTAAATTATGATTTTTTAAACTTTATGAATAATTTTGTTTCTAATCTAAATTACTTTAATTTTATTATGAAACTAATGAATCTTTGCCTAAATCATCATAGAGTGATAAGGTATTATTTAAAGATTATTATGATTATTATTAAACATCTAATTATTATTAATCTATTTTTTAATTTGAAAATTAAAGCAAAGAATTTGATTACTATTCTAATTATATTAAAGTAGTTTAATTTGGTTATGTATGAAAATCAATCAAATTAATTAGTTCTGTTTTTGATTACTAGAAATTTTCTTTAGGCTCTTCATTTTAGATTATTTATAAATCAATTTTTGGAGAAGTTAAGGTTTTTTAATACATTTCAATTAAGTTTAAATTATTAGTAATTTTTTAATCGTTTTAACTTTCGAATTAAGTTTATGGGATTTATAATACAAGTGATGGGAATAATGATGATGATGGTGTTTCGTTTTATTCAGAAGGAAAGGCATCATAAATTGAAGATAATTAAACTTAGTTTTTAGGTTCTTATTGAATAGTTTAAATATTTTATTGTTATTCTTGATACTTTCTGGGATCCTAATTTTAAGAAATTTCAAAATTGATTAATTAGTCTTATTTTTCTGAATTATTCTTATGATAATTTTAGCCATTCATAACGTTATTTGGCTGATCTTCCAACAATGATGTTTATTCAATTTGAACAGGTTTTTAAACTTCAATGAATTCACCTTCTTAAAATTCTTCATCGTCATATGCTTAGTTTTATTATCGTTATTATGATTAAAATTCATAATTTAAATGGCCATTTAAATTTTAGGATTGTGTTTAAGCTGTATTATTTACTTAAGGAATTGAAATAATGGGATTTTGCTGAATATCGTTTTGTAAAGTTGAATTTAATTGCAGAGATGAATTTGGATTGAAAAGGGATTATTGATTTAATGGTTGATTTTGATATAAAATTGAAATATCAGGAATTTGTTAAATGTTTTGGGAATTATATAATGGAAATTGATTAGCTGCAAATAATGGAGTATTATGAATTTAAGTTTATTCTTATTCTGGTTGTATATCATTAAAATAGTCATATCTATTTTTATTGTTTGCCGAAACATATCCTTCGAATTGATCATCTTCATATTATTCTGTCATTTATTTAAATTATATTTTAATAGTATTGATTAGTTAATATGAAAAATTCTGAAAATACTATTATTTTTAATGCCTTAATATTCATATTCGCAATCCTTGAAGATAATGTTGATACCATATATAATAATAGGAATATTGTGGTAATACTCTCTTCAATAATCAAAGGTTTCCTTTGACATTTCTCATAGAGACATATTATGATTCTATTTTGATCTCATAATTTTTGGTGATACAAATAACAACAGCATTCTTATTTTTGATTGGCTTCTATTACAAGTATTACTTAATTAAGAGTTAGTAATACATCAATTTATGATATTTATTGGAAAATAGCTCCTATGTTTTTTGTACCATATTGGTCAAAAGGATCTGGAAATATGATACTACCTGTTCTTGTATACTTTTACTGCATTAAATAAAATTATACATATTTTAGATTCTGGCCAGGTATAAATACATTCTTAAAATAAATAAGGTTTATAGTATGAAGACTATAGAAATGTGGCAGTCAAATAATAATATCCTAATCCTATGATATTTTGGCCAATAATTTATTTAGGTTTTGAAGTTGTACCATCTATAATGATCTTTTTAGGTCATTTACCACTTTATTATGCATTTATATCTTAAAATCCATGTACTTTTGCTTATAACTTTTCAATAATATTTACAATATCAGCAATAGCAATAGAATTAATTGGTAAAAATACTTATTAATTGTTTTAGCTGATTATTAACTCTTTCCTTATAGATCAAAATTACTTAAAGGTGATTGTGATGTAGGATTATGGAGATATTCAAGACATCCAAATTATTTTGGAGAATGTATGTATTGGTGGGGATAATATTTATGCTAATTATCATTTGGATTTGAAAATGCTTGGACAATCATAGGTGCTGCATGTATTTAAGCATTATTTTCATTTTATTCTATTCCAGATATGGAGACTCATTTGTTAAAGAAAAGAGAAACTTATGCAACTTATAAAAAAAAGGTTGTAAGTTCATTTATTCCTTGGTTTAGAATGGAGAAATGAATTAATATTTTATTATTATAGCATAAAAATTATTAATTTCAATATTAGAATAATTAAGTTACATCTTAATAATTTTGAATTCTGATGAAATTAAAATAATCTAATTAATAAATATAGATTTATGTATTATCAAAAAATATGATTTTGAAAATAATACAATATTTGAAGTTAATAAAAATAAAGAAAGATTAGATAAAAAATATATCAGATTTTAAACAAAATATTGGAATGAAGTATTTTAATATGCTAAATGCATGTTTTTGTGTTTCAAATTTATTTAATATACTTATTTTATAATAAGCTGATCATTTCTTCTTATTTCCTCCTTTAGCTTATGTTTAAGCCTTTCCACCAGTGCTCTTTTTCAAAGTTTTAAGTTAGGTACTAAGGAGGGCACTTCTCTAAAAAAATGATTAATTGATAGCATTACTCTTTTTCTAAGAATCATGACTCTGAATCTATCAAAATCGTTTAATTTAGCTCTAAGTGCTTTCTTAGCAACTTTCTTAGCAGCAAGAGTTTGAGCATATTATGCAAATGGATCAGATTTTTTAATTGCCTTGGTAATGACACCAGTTCTAGCTCCTCTTGTTGCACCTTTAAGATTGAATTTGGTAAGTGTCAATCTTCTAATAGGAATAACTTATCTTTAAACTCCAGTTGTTGGTCCATCAATTAAGACTCTCTTATCATTAAGAATTTCAACGATTGTTGCCAATCTACCTTCTTAAGGACCATAATTGATTTTGACAACTCTTCCAACTTCAACAAACTTTGTGAGTACCTAAAGAAATTATATATGCTATATATACCATCTTTAATAAAACAAATTTTTTTATTATTTAAAAATCCTTTTAATCTTTTTAAAAAGAGTATGTAAAAATATAAAATAATATATTATATTTATTAATATTCATTCAACAGCAGGACTTGTCTTTTTTCTGTTATTGATTCTATTAACTTTGAGCAGAATTTAATTAAACATTTGTACTTTATTTAAAATTCTTCTATTAATTCACTAGCAATCCTTTGTCTATGATTTCTTAAATTAAATCTGTGAATAGTTGCTATAAATCTATTTTGCATCATTACCTTTAATCCTGTACCTTCTTTGGCACTAGTTTGAATACAAGAAAAAAAGTGATTTGTTTTTGCAAAACCTTACAAACTTTAAAATATAGCTGTCTTTTCATCATTGCTGACTAAATCACACTTATTTTGAACCAACATAATAGGGATATTATTTTGATCACTATTTTCTTCAATAATACTTTTCCATTTTAAAGTTTCTTCTAAAGAATTAGGATCCTTTATATCGCAAACTATTAGACAACCTAATATTTTTATAGATATAAATACCCAAAGCTCCTCTTACATACAATTTACTTACAGCATTGTATTTCTCTTATCCAGCAATATCCCATAATTATAATCGAACAGTCTATCCATTTGCCTATGTCACTTTTGTAGTAAAATCACACCCTATTGTAGGAGGGCTGTTTGCTTCAAATCTCTCATAACAGTATTAATTTAACAAGCAAGTCTTACCTACTCCCTATTCTCCTACTACAATTATCTTAATAAAAGGATCTGCTTCCATATAGAAAAATTATTATTATTAATGGGAATTACGAAATCAAAACAATATTTACTAACAACCTATGAACTTTAGGAATTTGCTGATTAAGCCAATATATCCTTAGAAGATGTCTAATGTTTATATAAAATATTTTAAAATCTCAGTAGTCTAATCAAAGATGATGGAGTTATAGATTTCAATGAATTCCATAGAGGATTTTAGAATAAGTAATATTTATTATTCTTTATATTAAGATCCTAAGATACTACCAACCTTATTTTTACAAGGATTGATCTTAATAATGATAGAGTTCTTAATTTCAGAGAATTTCTTTTTGGCTATGCTACATTTTTAGGTTAAAATAAAGCTGCTTAAATTAAATATCTCTTTAAATTAATAGATAATAAAAATGAGAATGTAATCTCTCTGTATCTATTATATGTAGTTAATTTCTAAAGAAAAAATCATTGAAACTCTTAATTGTTTATTACCTAATTTCCCTTAAATTCAACTTACCAAAGAAGAATTTGAAGAACTTGTAGTCTAAGAATTAGATTTTATTTTCACGAAAACTATTCCAACATTTAAATAATTTAATGAAGATTAAATTGAAGATTTTTAGAAAGATAAATAAAGAACTCTAGATTATCAATAATTTTATTTATTTATTTCTGAGAATTCATATATTTTAGAATGGCTTAATCTTCCAAAAATATTTCTAAAATCAAATTGATTTATAATTATGACATTAAAATTATTTAGTATTATTTATAATCTAAAAATATATCTTGAAATATTATCTATCTAATAATTTAATAATTCTTAATTTTTCATTGTAATACTCTAATTTGTTTAATCTAAATGAATCTTAGAATTCAATTAGATTTGATAACCAAAATGTAAGATGAGAAATAAGATTGATAATTTTAAAATTAGTGTATCATATATTGGTTTTGCTATAGAAAATGAATAAATATAAATAAAATTAATAAATAGATATGTCTTCAAGAGCAAATAAACCAGCCGAACAAGCACCTGCTTAAAATAAATAATAGAAAGGTGGACCAGCTGCTAAACCATAAAAGCCTAAAGAAAATTATTTGACTCCAGAGGAAATTAATGATTTGAGAGTAAGTTAATGATAAAACATTTTTAAAAAGGAAACATTTGATTTGTTTGATGATGATAAAAGTGGTACAATAGATGCTCATGAAATAAAGAAGGTGCTTGAAGACTTAGGCGTTGATGCAAGAAATAAATTTGTGTATCAAATGGTGTAAGATTTAGAAAAGTATTTATTATTGATTTATGAATGTATAGTTTTGGAGGATCAATAAATTTTGATACATTTGTAGAAATAATATCAAATAGATTAGGAAATAACAAAACAAGAGAAGGAGCATAGAAATTATTTTAAATATACGATCCTGAAGATACTGGGTGAGTATATTAATAATAGGTTTAGGTTCATTGATTTTACAAATTTAAAACGTGTAGCTAAAGAACTAGGTGAAACTTTGAATGATGACGAATTGCATGAAATGATTCATCATATTCATATCCTAAGAAAAACAGAGAGTCCAGAATAAATCTCTTTTGAAGAGTTTTATGAGATTATCACAGCTCCAAGAAGATATTGATAAAAAATAAAATAATACATATATTTATCGATATCAGTAGGTTAAATCATCATATGGCACACAATTATCAAAAAATCTTGGAACATACTTATTTAAGACACCATTGAAGCCCAAGGCACTTACCCTATCTCTGACATAATCTTCATATTCCTCTCTATATTATTGAGGATTTCTGGCTAAGACCCACATAAATAACATTTCAGGTTCACTTACTATAACCCATTGATATTGTTTTTTAATAATAGGACCTAATTCAATAATCCAATAATCTCCTCCACCTACTTATCCTCCATTTAAAAACACTTTTAATTTGGCTTTTTATTGAGCATCTGGAATTCTAGCATATCCATCTATTGATTTTATAGGTCCATCACTAGCACCATCTCTTTAAACATTATAAACACTTAAATCTCCAGTTGTCAATACACCATATCTAGCTCTATTACAAAAACCATTTTTCTCAAAGGTTGTATGAACCCATGGACTACTAGCTACTTCAAACCAATCGCCTAAATATGAATTGATATCGTAATCATCTACAACATCAATCCCTAAACTTAATGTAACTATTACGAAAATTAGAACTAATTTTTACATTTATTATTATTAGATAGAAGATTAAAAGAATCTGTTTTTAATTCCAAATATAAGAATTAGATTATTCTTAATTACTACATTTTATTCCGTATCAATTCTAATCTATTATCTTAAATGTTTTATATATATCTATGTTATTACTTAAATCAATTGTACATTAAACCTTTTTTTATATAAATAAAAATATAAAATGATATTGTTCAATATATGTTATATTGAATAATTAATCAACGAGCACCTTTTAAAACATTTAGTATAGCATCAACAATTTATTCAGTTTTTGGGAATGCCATAGCTTCTAAATTAAAAGCATAAGGTGTTGGTATTTCAACTCCTGTAACTCTTTAAACAGGTGCATCTAAATATTTAAATGCTCCTCCTTCCATTATAAGTGCTGTAATTTCAGCAGAAATACCAGATTATGGCCATCCTTCTTCTACGCAAACTACACGACCTGTCTTTTTGACACTCTTAAGAATAGTTTCTCTATCTAATGGTCTCAAACTTCTTAAATTTATAACTTCACAATTTATTCCTTCTCTAAATAGTTATTCAGCTGCTCTAAGTGAATATTAAACCATTTTTGAGAATGCAATAATAGTAAGATGATCACCTTATCTCATGATCTTAGCTTTTCCTATTGGTGCTAAATAATTTGGATCTCTTGCTTCTGCTGAGAGTTCAAAAGTCTCACTATATAAAATTTCATTCTCCAAAAATACTACTGGATTAGGATTTCTTACAGCTGCCTTAAGAAGTGATTTAGCATCATCACAATCAAATGGAGCTAACACAACCAATCCAGGTACATTACTATACCATGAAGCAAAGCATTATGAATGTTAAGCTGCAACATAAGCCGTAGCACTAAAGGCTTATAATTTTGTGATCTTACCCATTGATTCCTCTAAATACAATTGAAGCCTTCTAATCTCCAGCACTCATATACCGAGCTTTAGCTGCAGAATTTATTATATGATCGATTGCTTACATTGCAAAATTCCATGTCATAAACTCTACAATAGGTTTCAATCCATAAAGTGCTGATCCTACTGCTATACCTGTAAAACCTGCTTCTGTTATTGGAGTATCTATAACTCTATCTCCTCCGTATTTTTAAAACAATCCTTTTGATACTTTATATGCACCTTAAAATTATCCCACTTCCTCCCCTATACATATTATATTTTATCTTATACCAAGTAAAAATACATTTGAATCATGAGCCAATTCTTCATCCATTGCAAGATTTATAGCTTCCCTCACTGTCATTTTCACTGGAGTATATTAAGTTGAATCATGAACATGAGTAAATTTTATACTTGGTTGATAACCATATCGTAATTTCAATAAATGTTTATACATTTAATTTATGTATTTTTTAATATCCATCACAACAGTTTTAGCAAACTATAATACCTAATATGTTACTGATTATTTAAAATTAGAGCATAATAATCTTGATGCATCAAAGACTTATTTAATTTAGATGATCATAACATAATTCCCAGTAGACAATTATTGCCTACCTATTATGTATGTCCTATTTAATAAGCAAAATTATTATGATTAGTACTCATACTCTATTAGAGCAAATGTCTAATCTGTATTCATCTAATAGGCTTAAAATATTACTATTGATATTAATTGCCTTCTTTTAGAACATTTTAATAATATTTAAGATTTCAACAAAACTATGCATTTTAATTTAACATTAAATGAAGCAGTAATTAATTAATTTAATAACATTATCTAGGTAATCTAGTCATAAAAATCTTGTCACTTTCCTTATTATGGATTGAGTTGTTCTTTTAAAATGCAAAAAATTTAAGCTGATTATACAATTACTTATAAGGTACTAAATAACTCTTGGTTTTATGCTTACATAGTTCTTGATAACCATAATTATGATGTAAGATTTTTATTATTAAAAGATTTTAATTCAAAATAAACAAGCTTTATTTGGAATTTCATCAATACCGGCAGATAAACTTAACATAACAATTCTTCCAACATTCTTCACCAATTTTGAAGTTATTGATTCAAAAAATTAAGAAAAATCAATAAGTTTGACAAGAGAAGGAAATATTTCAGATTATATATTTATTTTTGGATTATTCAATTTTAATACAACTCACAATTAAGAAATTACCATATCCTTTATGTATTTTATTCTAATATTTCTAGATCTTTGAGTGATATGGAATACTTCCCTTTATGGGCAATTATAATTTTAATATCTATCTTTTTATTTGGTATTTTCATGGCATCAATCATATTTTTAAGTTTTAAAAGATAATATAGAAAATTAACTTAAATTCAACCATCACTTGACAGAAAGATTTTAAATAAATATATGCCAAATAAAATTGTTGATTCTAAAATGATACATGAAACCTGCTCTGTGTGTTTGATATAGTTTGAAAATAAAGAGAAATACCGTCACACACCTTGCAATCATAATTTTCATGATTAATGTTTAGCAGATTGGTAGTGAATTATCTAATTTAGGACAATAAAATAAGCTAACTGTCCTGTTTGTAGATAAAGTTTATAAGAATTAGATATATAAAAATTAATTAAATAGAAAGCTTAATAGCCTAAAAAAAATGAAGAAGTTAATGAAAAAGTTTAATTAAAAGAGGATGATCAATAATAGTAAAGTGATCGAGGAGCTTTATATATTCGTTTTGTTCCAACACCATTTAGAATTAGTTGTAGGATAGACTTGGATAATTGCCCTAAAGAAGAGCATTCTCCTTAGATGATATAATTTGATGGAACTCCTAAGAATTAAAGTTAGAGAGATCTTTACAAAAATTAAGATCGGATAGTTGAATGATAAATTTACTGATTTTATAAAATATTATTAGATTTTAGATTGTTTATTTAGTCTGTTTGATTAGATAAAAATTAAAAATTGATTATAAATAAATGGCAATAAATATAATTATATAAAAATATATAAATATTATTTTTCTGAAAGTTATAATTATAGGTTGGTATGAAGCATCACATGTAAATAATACTAAATATTTTGTTTGAATGATATTTTATTAATTTTAAATTATCTTTTGAAATCTTGCGTCATATTGAATCTTAATACCTCATACTTAATTACTCACATTTAGTTGTAAGTATCAAAATAATAATAATATAATGAGCCTGTTGTAAACTGAAGAGAGATTGATGGATTCACCAAAAAGGACAGAAAGCACTGATATATAATCAGAGAGTTTAAAAGTTAAGAAAGAATTGAATACGTTTTTTATTGGAGTTTAATAAACTTCAAAAGTAACTAATAATGAGTATGTTTTTAGGTTACAAGAAAGTATATTGAAACAAGCTCACATGGAATATAATTATATTATCAAGAATTTACACCTGAATTTATTGATGCATAAATTATTATTGTGCATGGATTTGGTGAACATTCTGGAAATTACAAACAAGTAATAAAAAATTATATGAGTATTATAGTTGACAGATTGTTTCTTACTAAATAATTTTAAAGTTCATCTTTATGATCAAAGAGGTTTTGGTTTTTCAGGTGGAATCAGAAGTAAAGCAACAATAGAAGAGATGCATATGGATTTACAAACTATATTAGATTAAATTGATAAATCTATACCATTGTTCATTTTTAGTCATGCTCTTGGAGCAGCTATTGTAATAAGTTTTTGTTTGATGAATCCATAATTTTCAATCTAAGGACTTATATGTAGTAGTGCTCAATTTAGAGTTCCTTCAAAATATGGAAAAATGAAAATGATCACATTATAAATGATGGCTAAAATATGTCCAGATTTATAAATTAATACGTATCATAATTTATCCTTTGCATCTAAAAATAATCATCACATAAGAAAATTAGCAACAGATCCTTTAATGAATCCATTCATGAGCATTTAATTTGCATTAAATGTATTGTTATTTTAATAATACATTTTGCCTAATGCAAATTAATTTTAAATTCCAATCTTAATTTTACATGGCAAACAAGATAAGATTGCTTCACACTTAGATTCAGTAGATTTCTATATCCAAATTTAATCCAAAGAAAAGACAATCAAAATATTTGAATAAGGTTTTCATGAAATGCATAATGATTCTGAATGGCCTAAAATGAAGACTATTATTACATAATGGTGCTAAAAAATGTTAATTAAAGAAATTAAAATCAATTACTTGAAATAATACAATCATGGAGTTCTAGTATAACCATACAGATCAAAAATTAGATTACTAACATCTATTCTCTTAATAGTACTTAGAAAGTAAATTTTATCATATAATTTTTTAGAAAATTTTCTTGTTTAAAAACTAGTACTTAATTGAGTTTAGTAATATTTCTTGAATTATTACTCAGAATATTTATATCTCAGTGATTTTTATTTAATTATTATACTAATTAATATGTAGTTATTTAATATTATTATATAAACTAATTATAAACGATAAGATTATTTCATTTTTTAATTACATAACATAATATTTATATAATAAATTATTCTGATTATTAAATCTACTCTCTATTAAAAAAATTAGCATCATAATGAAAATCATTGGACTAATGTATAAAAAATAGTTTTGTATCTTCTATCATTCTATTGAACTGTAATATTTTATAATAAGACAAAAAATTAATTAGATTATTTATACTTCTAAAAAAAAATGAGAAAATATACAAATCGAGTTAATTCTTAAAGAAACATATTGTCTTTGAATTTCTTACAAAGCTAAGATTTTTAGTAAAAAGAGTTAATATAGTCTGTAAATTATTATTTAGAAAAATTCATAAACCATTTTTATTTCATTAATTTATCGAGAAATCAAATTCTAAACTTAAAAATAGATGTATGAATTATACATTTATACTTTTCTCTTCTCATTTAATGATCGTCAGATATCAAGAATAAATTATTGTTAAGAATTGAATATAATTACCCTCATGAAATCTAACTTGCGATAAATGAAAATTAAATCTTCTCATAATAATTTTACATTTTTTTATAGAATTATGTATTAAAAAAAAAGCGCTTAACGAGGTTATTTTCAATCAAAAAATTCTTTTTTCGATATCTTAAGTAATTGGCATATTTATTGAATTATAAAGAATTTTATAAAATAATAATATTCAATAAACTTTTCATGGGTTGTACTCTCAAAAAACCAGAAAAACAAAAAGACTTAAAGCTTTATGATCCTAAATTACAATAAATAGTTACAGTTCCAGTGTTGTTTGAAGCAAAGAATAATCCAATTGTCAAGCGTAGATTATAAGACTATCCAACTTAATTTGAACAAAAAAATAAAACCGAAACACATTTATGATATTATTTATACTTAATGAAAGCAATCTATTGTTTATTTTTAGACTTATTATTGATTTCAAATCAACTAATTTAAACCCTCAGCTTTATTAATCTAACTCTTTATACCTTTTACATTTTTATTAAAAAAGCTTATAGTCATTTAAAAAATTATTTTTTTATTGAAATAGTGTCGACTTGACCGAAAGTAGATAAAATTTTAATTTTATTAAGATAATTTCTTTCAGGATTAAATATATTTAAGACTTAGGATTAATGTATTACAAATTCTGAGGCTTTTCAAAGTCGTTAAAAGTAAGTAAGGAGTTAGAAAGTTAAAGTTTTTTATTTTATATCAATATTGATAAATTTTTATCCCCTTAATAGATTGAAGACTCTCAATTTCAAATATCCTTTATTTAATTTATTAAGTCTTTAATATTCATTTATAAGCAAAAATATATGTCATTTGTTTATAATAAATAATCAGATATATCATTAAAAAATTATTTCTAATATCTCTTCATTAATTTTATTAACCTTTTTTTCGTAATAATTTTTTATTATATCCAAAGTATTGGTTAATTTATAAAATTCACTTTGAATCACCTCTTTAAAGTAATGGTAGTTTTCCTTAACAAATTATTATTCTATACTTTCCCTCGCTTCTTAAAGTATTTTTTTATAATCTTCCTCCTCCCATTCTTCTTTATCTCCTTTATAGAAAGTAAAGATATTTTTTATATAAAGTTGAATTTTCTCAGAAATAATTTATTCTTAATATTGAAACCATTGTTCTGTAAGTTTATTTGCTTCATCCATTGAAATGTAATTTTTAAAAGTACCATATAATTTGGGAAAAGTCAAACAAAAAATAAAATCATTTATTTTCCTTAAATTGGATTACTTACTGAATATGCCAAGCATTTATAATTATAAAATGAGATAGTCAACATTTTCCCAAGTTATGAGCATTTAATATAATGCTTCAAATTATAGTTTTTCAAAAATATCTTTAATTGTGAAGTCTTTCGTTTAATCAAAATAAATATTTCCTTTGACTACCCAATTTACTATGTTAGAAATTAATTACTAATAATTTTCTTTATTTTTGATACATTGATATATCTTGTTGGAGTTATTTTGTTCTAATACATCAATTAATTTTTGATTCATTTTAGCAACTAATACCAATGGACTGAATTTATCTTAATTTTATTATATCTTAGATTAAATATCTTCGAAATTAGAGCAATTCTTTATTAATTTATCTATATCTGACTCATGCATAAATAATATTAAGAGCTTTTTGAATAAACTTATAAATGAATTAAACTCAAGCTATTTATCCCATTTTTCATCATTAAATATCATTAAAGAAGTAAACACAACATCAAAAACTTAAATATTATTTTACTATTAATTTTAATCAACATTTCTAATCCATATATCCTCTGGATCAAAATCAATACCTAAAATTCGATATTTTTTTTAGAATTCTATTAAAATAGAGTTTAGTATTTTATAAGCTTATTATTAAGTTAAATGTACGCGATTTAATGTCTAAATATGTTTTATAGAATAATATTATTACTTTTAGATTCATTAGATCTGATAGAGAGATGAATTCGTCTCCTCCAAATTTATATATTACACAAAGATCATCATCATCTCTTTTCAAATCTACATATTTTGAGACATTCAATTCTTTTAATTTTTATAGTAAATCTATATCAGCAATGAACTTGTTTTGAACTCTTTTATAAATGTACTACTAATAAAATAACTCTTTCATTATTAATTAAATTAATTATACATAAATTAGAATTTAAGTCACCTAAATATTTCAAGAAATATATCATTTTTTTAGTTTGGATTCTTATTAATAAATAGATCAAATATTCCTTTCTTACTACATATAATTTAGTCTTACAAATAAATTAAGTGTTTGCTGCTTATAATTTAATATACATAAAATTACTCAAATGATCTTAATTATTATTCTTTGGCATTTTTATCCTCAAAAAATAAAAAAATATTTGTTGGATTTAATAAATCATTTCTTATATAAGAATAAGTAATGAAAATTATTATAAATCTTCCAAAAAATTATTAATTTTAATTTGATAATCAATTTAAACTTTTATTTCAATCAAACCTTTCTTCATTATATCAGAACATAATTCTATAAATATACTTGAATATACTCTTGCAGATCTTCCAAGAATCATAGAGTATTGAAAAAAAGCATTAGAATCCTTTTTTGAACGATAATAATGGGACAATAAATTCCGTAATTGAAAATGCTCCTTTATTTTTCTTGTTTTTTTATGCTCTATTTAAGACTGATTTCCATAGATATATAATTTCTAACTCTTTTTATTTTATGGAATATAAAAATTAATATATTAACTTTTGGTAAGTTAAAATATTGAAGAATAGATTATTTTTTATAAATTGTACTTCTTTAACTATAATATAAATTTGATAATTTAATTAAAGATTTTGAATTTATTATTTATTATTTGTTGAAATTAGTAGTGTAATCATTCATTAAATAAGAAATATATGTTAAGAGAAACTAAAAATTATGGAAAAATCAACCTATTTTATAATAATTTTTGATCCTCCTCTATGAAAAGAATACTTAATATTTAAAATAAAAAGAAATAAGTATTTTTGTCATAAAATCACTAAATTCATAAGAAAATTGAAATTAATATATTAATTAAAAATGTTATGTAAGTTTACACATGTAAATAAAATCGATTTGTTACTTAATAATAAATTAAAAAAGCTTAAATTTAAATAAGTTTCATCTTTTATTTTAATCAAAAAACTACTACTTTTATATTTTTATATCTAAAGATATTTGAAATTTATTTTGATTGGATTATTAGATTTCTTTATTTTTAGTTAATATATTTTTGAACATTAAATATTTATTAATTCTTAAATACTTTATTTATCGCTTAATTAATTTAATAAATCAATTCTAATATATTGCGATTAATATAATTATACAAAAACTTCAATCTTTTAATAATCATAAATAGGTTTAAACTTCGTCAAGTATTCCATTGTATTTTTTATAGAATTTTTTTTGCACAAAATTAAACTTTTTTAACATTTTACGATAAGATTGCCTTTAAGTCAAGCATTAATCATTTATTGATTTTACTAATTCTTTATGCGAGATGCTTCTTGTACTTATTTCAATTCCATCATGTGATTTAACTTACAATTTTTATAAATTTAAGGTAGTTACTTTATTATTTTATTCTTTGAAGAATTTTTGATCATGTTGAACTTATTTTTTATAGATTAATTATCTTTAAATTCTTTCTGTCAAAACAGATTTTGCGAATTCAATTGGTTCTTTAAGTTTTAATTTTTCTCGAAAAGTGAGTTCCTATCTCAGTGTTTTAATAATTTAGCAATGTTCTGGAGTTAAATTTGTTGAAAATTTGTGATCAATAATTTAAGAAAATGATTCCCTATTAGAATGTACAATTTAATCATGCAATGAGTCTCTAATTTAATTCATTTAATCTGAATCAAAGATCTTTAATTTTGATTTTATGGCAACTTACTTTTAAAATTCATTATCAATTTATTTTAAGACTTTTTCATCACTATTTTTTCTTGTTTTTAATTTAACATATTAAGGCTTAACAGCAGAATTTGTGATATATTCTCTATCAGCATTTTATTTACCAAAAATTTTGACTAGATTCGGGTCTGCTTGTTTTGGAGAAAGCTTTTCTCCTAGCCAAATCAAAATATTATTACTTGATAAATAATCCTTAAACATCATCATAGTTTATATAAATCTTGGGCTCATACGGATATTATCTTCTTTCATTAAAATGAGTAGTTTTATTTTATATATATAAATGAACTTCTTTCATTTTAAATTTTATTTAACTTAAAAAAGATTATACATAATTGAATTCAATGTTAAATTAGAAGTATAAATTTGTAAAAATAAATATGTAAATCATATCTTATTATATATTAACTACATTAATTTAATGAAATTGGGAGATATGTTGAAATTAAAATAAAGATTAACATTTATTTTAAAACAGTACTAGTTTATTAATGTTAATCAGAATCAATTTATTTAGAAGAAAATTTAAAAGTTTCATGTCAAAAAATTAGATTTACCAAAAAATAAAATTTAATATTATAATATGTAATAATAATAATGTTAAATATTTTGAAGAATACATTAATTATATATTTAGGCCTTCTTGGTCTAAGTTTGATAAGCATTTTGGTTATTTGTTTAGATTCTGAATATGAAAGTCATTGTCCATAAATGGCTATAAAAATAATGAAAAGCATTTCCAATTTACAAATTGTGGATGAAGTGAAAATGGCCATAATTCCAATAATTAAAGAATTGCCTATAAAATGGATAAAACCTTTAGTTATGAGTTCTTTGATGATGGCTTTAGCTTTTGTCATATCTTTGCTTTATAATATGATGTAAAATATAGATGTAATTTTAAGTAAGGTAGCGTATAGTTTGATAATGAGTGTATTCTGTGTTATTTTGATAATTGTTTTAATATCCTTAAGTTTGGGTATTGGAATGAATTCCTTAGATATTCAAAAAATTGCGTAACAATACTTGGAGCAAATCAAATTATTAAACTAATGAATTTCATTATTTAAATAATTTCTCTTTAATTAAAATTTTTAATTGCATAATATTCTGAAGATATTTATATTAAGAACAAGTCTACTTTTGGCTAGCTAATATATTCTTGTTTTTATTTGTTTTATTTCAATCTAGAAAACTTTGATGTTTTTTTGTTAAATAAACTTAATTAATTAACTGCTAAAAATGGAAGTCAATTCTTTTATTTTTCCTGCTCCCAAATGTGAATACACTGAAAAGAATTTTAAAGAACTCATATGGGTTCCTGTGTATAAACCAAAACAAAACAAACAACAAGGTGTTTAATCTGCAAATTAATCTAAAAGACCTAGTACACAATAAGACTTATATATTGAGGAATCTAATTATGATGAAGATGTGGATGAAAATGTTATTGTACACAAATCTCCTCCTAGATTATTAAATAAATATAAGTCTAATAATGTTAAAACACTTCAATCAAAAAAGCATTAAAATAGATTATATGAATCTTTAGCTAATGTTTGTTTAACATCAACTCCAAATGAAAAAATTTAGCATCCTAGATGTAATAAATTGCCTATAAAGCATTTAAAATAAATGACTTTATTAGAGGAGGAAAATGAAATAATAAAAAGAATTCCTTGTGCCTTTATTAATAATCAATCTAAATAAACTTTAGTATATTTTCATTCAAATGGAGAAGATTTATATTAAGCATACGAACTTATGTGGAGAATAGGCAATTCATTAAAACTTAATATTTTGGGTGTAGAATATCCTGGTTATGGAATATATAAAGGTGATCCAAATGAATAAACTATACTAGAAGATGCTGATCATATTATGAATTATTTAATAAAAACAAAAAAAATAGAAGAATCAAATATAATGATTTGTGGAAGATCAATTGGAAGTGGGTGATTTTTATTTAATTATTTTAGACCTGCTTGTTATGTTGCTAGCAAATATAAACCATTTATGTTGATTCTTATTTCTCCATTTTTATCAATATAATAACTTGTAGAACATAAGTTGGGTAAAATCTTTGGAGTTTTCATAAAAGAAAGATTTCCAAATTACAAACATATATCAGAAGTTTAATGTCCAATATATATTTTGCATGGTCAATCTGACAACATGATTCCATTAAGTCATGCAATAAAATTATAAAGACTTTGCAAATGTAAATGTAAATTAACAACTCCATATCACATGACTCATGCAACATTTAATTTATAATAAGATTTAATTATTCCTTTACTGAGATTTATGATGAGTTGATTTTAAAATATATTTTTTTTTCAGTAAAAACTAATTTCAAAAATTATTATTAGTTTAAATTTTAGGATTCAGAATTTTCGATATTCTTTTTTTTAAATATATCTTTAGAGATTTAAATCTATAAACTTTCAATTCTAAATCAAATAGAGTTGATAAAATAGGCAATTTATTTAGTGTAAAAAAATAAGATATTAAAGATATTTTCAAGAAAAATTTTGATTAATTATGAATTCATCTTATTAGATGAGTTTAAATTATAATTTATTTTTAAATAAGTTAATTATCATTTTGCTTTATCTTGGCACCAACAAAACATCATTCTTGTAAAATGTTTGCAATTAAAGTTCAAAGCATCATATTTAAATCTCTCAGCTTCTAATATTTATTACATCATTTCCACAATTTTTCGCAATTATTTGCCATATCTAAATCGAACTTTCCAACTTTTTAGAAGATTCCATTTTGGTCGAGCATTTTCATTAGCTGTGAATAATCTTGACTTGAATTAACTTAATTTAATTTTTAGACCATATGGTCCCCAATCAAATCTGATATAGCCATTTACACATTTTATTACAAGAAATTCATGTTCTACTTCAAAATTTTCTCCAATATCTAAAGCCAATTACCCTATTGTATTAGATACGCTAAGTAGAGCTGCTGAAATAGCAAAAGATACGAGTTTTGTACCATATTAAATAATACTCGTTTAATCGATATTTAAGTGACAACTATAAACTTTTACTTTTATTGCATCTCCTATGTTTTAAATAATTCTCTCTTCATCTTCTAAATTTAATCTTTGACTATTTTCGCCTGATTAAAATGAATTTGACATCAAAAATCACATTTTTATTAATTGATAAAAATTGATTTATTTCTTTTTTCAATTCTATTAGAAAAAAACTCATAGATTTTCTAAATAATTTCTTAGATTCAATTACCTTAAAAATATATTCTATAAATATTAATTATTATGAGTACTATTGCAAATTAAGAATAAAAAATGAAAGAACATAAACCATTATTATCTATTTTAGTCCATTAAGCTTTGTAAAAACAAAAATGGTTATTTAGGATTTATGATAAAGGAGAGTGTATGGTATAAATTTAGAGTGTACGAATGTGAATTATAAGTATTCAAAACAACAATAAATGGAACTGTAATTTATGAAAGTGCAAAATAAATTATGGAAAAAAGAAAAAATCAAATTGAAAATACAATTATTCATATTGAATTTAAAAAGATATCAAATTTTTTACAAATTTCTAATTCTATTAGGATAGTTATTTAAACATTTTTAATCCAAGATTTAATTAATTAATTATTTCATATGGATTCAAACTAGTTGGAAGTATTTCTTTAATCTAAAATGAGAACCAATACATTTGCATTAACCACAATTCTTGAGAATGGTACAAAAAAGATTTCAAATGGATTAATTGGTTATCAGATTACTTAAGGATTATGGAAAAAACTTCGAATTTATACTTGTTTTTATATAAAAGAATAACTAAAATTTGAAGAAATCGTAAACGAAAATTTTTTATAAAGGGAATCAGCAAAGGAAAAAGTTAACGAAATTTTAAATTAATACAATTGAAAATTTATTATCATCAACCTATTAATTCTATCATAAATTATATAATACTTAGTTTTTATTTTATTTTCATTAGAAAATTTTATACTTTAGCAAATTTAATTTATAAATGATTCCATTTTAACATCCTTATATTAATCCAATCAATTTTTATGATATTGATATCTTTATTTGCAAAATGGAATTTTTTATTTTTATTATTTTAATTTTATACAATATGATTTTTTACAATTTATTCGTTTGCATATGCTCAAACCTAATTTTAGTGTACCATGTTGTGAAATCTTTATGTTAAAAGCAACTTCTTAATTTAATAATAAACCTTTCTGTTGAATAAAATATTGCTTTTAAAACAGAATTTGTATGTTTTAAGAGCTAATATATTTTTTTAGGATCTTAAGGGAAAGATATTATATTTATTCTTATTATTTCTTAGAGCTAGTATTATCTTAAGTAATGTACATTGAATAGATTCTAAAATATTCATTATATTATATTATCATTAAAATTAATTTCATATAAGACAAAGATTTTTTGGAAAAGAGAAGAATTTCTTATTTTTTGCTTTATAAAAATAATGTTTTCCATATTTTAAGAGTGAAAAAAAGCATAAAAATAACTCTAGCAATGAATAAAATATTTTCTTTTGGAAGACATTTTGATATATTTTTATTTTTTGTATTTAGAAATATGATTGGATTAATTATTTCAATCATTTAGATACCAAAATTTTATTTAAATTGTATTTCTGATAAAAGTTCTGCGTTTGAAATTCTTATATAAATTTGATTATAAATTTGTCATAGAAGATTCTTAAGAAATAAAAAAAATATGGTTGTATTGACTTTCTAAATTATCTGATCTATTTTTAGGAAAGTTACACTTTTTAATGAAGTCAAGAAGAAAATAATATTCCATTAGATTTAACTCATAACTATAGATTTCTAATCTTCTTATAATTGCATTTCATAATTAAAATTATATGAGAAGAGTTGAGAGATTTGAAAATGACTTGCTCAAATTTATTGAGTTAAAACAAAAAGATTAAACGAAATAAAGAAGATTTAACTCTTAATTACCTTCTCTCTAGCTTAGTCGTGTTACGATAGGAATGACTGACATTGAAGAAACTCCTTATGTCTTCAAAAAGCTTCGATAACGTAATCAAAATAATCTAACCCCAATTTCCACTTTAAAACCTTACGTTCGTCCTAATTATACTTAAAGAATTAAAACTAAAATTCTACTTCAAAAATTTCAGGCTTTAAAAAAGATAGGAAGCTCTTCATTTCGATGATAAAACATATAAAAAATTACTATTAAATTAAATTTAAATAAATGGTTTGTATTCCATGTTTGATATTACCATTGGCAGGAATATTAGTAGTGCTATTTGATTTCATAAAGCCTTTTCTAATAAAAATTGGATTGATTAAAGCTACACCTAAGCCAGATAGTAAAAATAATATTTAAGAAAATGGAACAAAAATTTCAGACACGTCAACAGATTAATAAAAAACAAAATAATCATGATTGTCTAAATTTGTATTTGAATTATTATTAATTTGCATTAAATTGGATTAAATAATTGTAGGTCAAATGATAAAAAAAAGAGTACCATATGGTATTCTTTCAAAAGCAAATATCTGTATTGAATTAAAGAAAAAGTTTTACAAAAATGATCAATTTTAAACTTCTATAATGGCACTAACAAATTGCTAAAACAAATGAACAGAAAGGTTTAATAGAGTATCACTACAAAATTCTACAAATATAGAGTTGGAGTGATTCTGGTAGAAGAAGTTTGAAATATTAAGTGTTTGATTAGATCATATGAAATGAGATACAATTATTCTACCAAAGTTTGTTGAGGATTGCCTTGGTTATTATTAAATTTTTTTCGAAATTTTATTGAGAACACTATCCGTTTCTGTGTCTAAAAAAAATAAAGGAGTAAAACGATTTCATTATTAATAATGGTATAAGTCAAGTTCATAGTCTTGTTAGTCTGTGCATTGACAGTGACCTAAGGTACCTCTTAAATATATGCCAAGCATTTGAAGCTGAAGGCACACTCTTGTCGATGTCATTAAATGAGATTAGCAACCTCAATTTAGGGGATGTTAATTGTTAGAACACGTCTTAGCAATAGTTTGTGTAATTGGAACAAAATCTCGAGTCATGGGCCGACATCATTGATCACAAGGATGATATCTAAAAAGATATTAACACTTTAAAACAATTAGAAGTGATCTTACTTTAAGTTAAGAAATAAACATAAAAGAAGAGTAAATAAGTTTATCATATGTTTAGAGATTGCTCCATAATAGTTGAAATAAATAAATTAAGTTGTGACAAAGAAAATAAAGTCTTTAGTTCTTCCATAAACAGCAAGCAAAATTGGATAAGCACATTGCGATGAAATTGAAAGACAATTAGAGAGATTAAGCAGTGATAATGAATCAGAAAGAAGTGAATGTTGCGATGCTCTTCTCAAATTGGCTACCTTCCTTATTAGACAATTATCTAGCATTAATTAATAATGCCATTAAAATCCAGTTACAGTCATTAAAATCAAAGGACAAATCAAGGAATTACACATTATATAAGGAGGATGTGGAGGAGGATAAACAATTGATATTCCTATGGGAGGATCTGATGAAAAATGTGAAAAACCAGAATCCCCATCTGATCCAGCAAAACCAGTTGATCCTACAAAACCATCTGATCCTGAAACTCCAACTGATGATCCAGTACCAGATCCTGGATAAGATGAAGGAGAAGTTGAAGAAACAACTGAAGAAGATGAAACTGAAGAAGTTGAAACTGAAGAAGGTGGTGAAACAACACCACCAGGACCAGGCGAAGAAGAAGGTGGTGAAACCACTCCTCCAGGACCAGGCGAAGAAGAAGGTGGAGAAACTACACCACCAATACCAGGTGAAGAAGAAGGTGGAGAAACTACACCACCAGTACCAGGTGAAGAAGAAGGAGGTGAAACTACACCACCAGTNCTGGTAGAAGAAGTTTGAAATATTAAGTGTTTGATTAGATCATATGAAATGAGATACAATTATTCTACCAAAGTTTGTTGAGGATTGCCTTGGTTATTATTAAATTTTTTTCGAAATTTTATTGAGAACACTATCCGTTTCTGTGTCTAAAAAAAATAAAGGAGTAAAACGATTTCATTATTAATAATGGTATAAGTCAAGTTCATAGTCTTGTTAGTCTGTGCATTGACAGTGACCTAAGGTACCTCTTAAATATATGCCAAGCATTTGAAGCTGAAGGCACACTCTTGTCGATGTCATTAAATGAGATTAGCAACCTCAATTTAGGGGATGTTAATTGTTAGAACACGTCTTAGCAATAGTTTGTGTAATTGGAACAAAATCTCGAGTCATGGGCCGACATCATTGATCACAAGGATGATATCTAAAAAGATATTAACACTTTAAAACAATTAGAAGTGATCTTACTTTAAGTTAAGAAATAAACATAAAAGAAGAGTAAATAAGTTTATCATATGTTTAGAGATTGCTCCATAATAGTTGAAATAAATAAATTAAGTTGTGACAAAGAAAATAAAGTCTTTAGTTCTTCCATAAACAGCAAGCAAAATTGGATAAGCACATTGCGATGAAATTGAAAGACAATTAGAGAGATTAAGCAGTGATAATGAATCAGAAAGAAGTGAATGTTGCGATGCTCTTCTCAAATTGGCTACCTTCCTTATTAGACAATTATCTAGCATTAATTAATAATGCCATTAAAATCCAGTTACAGTCATTAAAATCAAAGGACAAATCAAGGAATTACACATTATATAAGGAGGATGTGGAGGAGGACAAACTATTGATATTCCTATGGGAGGATCTGATGAAAAATGTGAAAAACCAGAAACACCAGTTGATCCAGCAAAACCAGTTGATCCTACAAAACCATCTGATCCTGAAACTCCAACTGATGATCCAGTACCAGATCCTGGATAAGATGAAGGAGAAGTTGAAGAAACAACTGAAGAAGATGAAACTGAAGAAGTTGAAACTGAAGAAGGTGGTGAAACAACACCACCAGGACCAGGCGAAGAAGAAGGTGGTGAAACCACTCCTCCAGGACCAGGCGAAGAAGAAGGTGGAGAAACTACACCACCAATACCAGGTGAAGAAGAAGGTGGAGAAACTACACCACCAGTACCAGGTGAAGAAGAAGGAGGTGAAACTACACCACCAGTACCAGGCGAAGAAGAAGGCGGTGAAACTACCACACCATCCCCAGAAGAGGGTGAGACCCCAGAACCAGAAGAAGGTGAAACTACACCACCTGCTGAAGAAGGAGAAGAACCTGTTGCTGAAGAAGAAGGAGAACCTACAACTCCAGCTGAAGAAGAACTCCATGAACCAGCAGCTGAAGAAGAAGAAGAATCATTAGGAGGAGGTGAAAGAAATAATACTTCAGGACCAGGAGATCTTCCAGAAGATGAAGGAGAAGAAGAAGGATTATCACCGGAAGAAGAATTCAGTCCTGAAGATGGTCCTTAACCAGAGGAGGAAGGAGTCACTGAAGAAGGCACACCAGCAGGAGAAGAGGGTACACCAGCAGGAGAAGAAGGTACACCAGTAGGTGAAGAAGGAACACCAGCAGAAGGAGAAGAAGGTGTTCCAGCTGGAGAGGAAAGTACTCCAGGTGAAGAAGGTTAACCTGAAGGAGAAGAAGAAGAAGGATGGGTACCAGGTGATATTCCTAAAAATAAAAATGGAACTTCTACTATTCCTGCTATACCTGAAGAAGGAGAAGAAGGTGGGGAAGAAGGTGTTCCTGAACCTTAACCTTAACCTCAAGGAGAAGAAGAAGGAGAAGAAGCTGGAGAGCCAGGAGAAGAAGCTGGAGAGTAAGGAGAAGAAGGTACTCCAGAAGTTCCTGAAGGTGAAGAAGCTGCAGGAGAAGAAGAAGAAGGATGGGTACCAGGCGATATTCCTAAGAGTAAAAATGGTACTTCTACTGTTCCCGGTATACCTGAAGATGGTGAAGAAGGAGGGGAAGAAGGTGGAGAAGATGATGTAGGAGAAGAAGGTGGAGAAGAAACTCCAGGAGAAGATTCTGAAGAAACTCCAGATTAACCAGAAGAATAAGAAGAAAAGTATTTACTATTTTAATATTTATAGATGTTAAGAAACTGTTGAAATTACTGCAACCAATGCTGCAGATATTATGTGCGCTTTAGGATAATATTTGAGTCAATTGGCTCATGGAGGATCACCTTCTGATAGTCCTAATGCTAAGAAGGTATGCTTCTGCTTAAAATATGAACCAGGTATCTATTATATTACAATCTTAGACAACGCTGATCCCTCATTGCTACAATTAACTTAAAAAGTGAGCAAAAAATAAAGAAAAGAACAAGATGGCATGTTGAAAGCATTAATCCCTAACAGGAGAATCTGAATATGAACAAACTTTTTTTATTTATTGATTTAAATAAAAAAAGTAAACTTGTCGATCTATTTCAATATTCTTCAACCATTTTCATTCTTTTTTCAATAAAAATTAATATAAATGGTATAAAAAATAGAAAATTCAGTATTCATCAATTGTATCCATAGTATCTAATTAAACCAAATATCTAAATTTAACCTTAGTTTCATCATATATTATATATTCGTTATGTTATAAATAGTATTATATAGGTTTGCCCTCTTTATCCTTCTTTTTAGGTTCTGAATATTCGATACACTAACCAACGGGAACTTTGCATCCATTTGATAAAATAACTGATTATTTATAATCAGGTCCCCTTCTTCCACATCCCTTTACAGATTAATATTTTTCTAATAATAATAAATAGAAAATACTTGGTAAATTTTGAACATAATCTGCTTAGTAAAGTTCTTAAGATTTACCAACTGCAACCTCACAAAGCAACATATATCTATATCTTTGAATTTCTTCTTGCTCATCTTTAACTACTTTTTATTGTTTTTTCCAATGTCCTCCTCCTTACTAAAAGAGTCCCTTATAAGAATTATAATGAAGTGACCAATCGTCAGTGTAAGCATAAGACTTTTAGAACATATCAGCAAAATAGATTCCCTTACCAAACATAGCTCCTGTATTGAGTGCCCAAGGTGGTGCAACTAAAAAATAAGCTAAATATCTAACCTTTAAGTCCTTAAGCTAAAATACCCATAAAGTTAGATATTTTAGAACCATGCCAGAGTAATAATCTATTGTATTATTTATTGATTTCAAATCTTTCAGCTTCTCCTCTTCTTTCAATGGCAAAAATGTTAGATATTTTTGGTGATGAAGATTGATTTATATATTGATGAATTAATTTAAATTCTGGATGCTCTTGATGGAGTGTAATGACTCTTACATTTAGAGCGTTGAAACAATAATTAAGTGGATTTATGGATTATTTCATCAAATGAGCTCCCAATAAAATCTTGGAAGTAATTTCAAAATTGAGTAAAGTTTCAATGAGCAATAATTTTTGATTAATAGCTTCAATAGAATCTAATGGATGTAGAGGTTCTGTTCTTTATTCTATCATCGGAATTAATTCATAAAATCTACTTGATTTATCAGCTATTTCAAATGAAATTTGTAATATCTTTTTAACATCTATTTCTCCTTTCTATCTAAGTTATTTTAATTCTTCAACACTATCTGTTAGTTCATTAAGAATAGCTTTGCCAACTTCCAATTATTTTCTATCAAGTCTTTCAATTGGCAAAAATTCCATATCTACATGAAACTCTTATAGATCTTTTTAATATAATTTTACTTAGATAAACTATAAAATAAATCTCTTTATAGTACCATCCAATTTACATGTAGGATAGGGAGAGTTTTTACTAAAATCAAAAGGAGTCATTAATTATTTATGATTTTTCTATTTTTTGATGTTCATTAATTAATATTTACCAGGTTTTTTTACAAATTCTTCTTCTGCAGTTTTAATTTTTCTCCAATTATTGCCACCTGATTTGTTAGAGAAAATCTTATTAAATTCTTTAATAGCTGCTTCAGAACTTTCAAAAGGAGTTTGTTAATGTTATCCTCCATTTCCTATTCTACCCCATCTAGTAAATAGAATAAAAACATTTCGATTAATTTCATGTAAGACTTACATTTTATAAAACACATTTTCTGAATAAAGTCCATTGCCAATATCAACTTTTGTCATCAATAAGGAGTAGGGACCAATATCTTTGTCTACCAATACTTCAAGCTTTCCAGTAAGAACAGCATAAGAATCAACTTAATTTTTATAGTCTAATTTACTATCATCTAATTAATCTCCAAATTAATCTAAAAATTTTTAGGCATCAGCTTCAATATCTAATTCCTTTTCGACCCATTGAGCTTATGAAATTACACTAGTTGGAAGTCGTGGTTATTTTTATTTCAAATTTTAGACAGCTTTGAGATTTCTTAAAACTCTAGTCATAACACCTGAATCTTAATCAAAAGCATAGTCTAAAGCAGTCTTACCAAATTTATCTATTAGATTAACATCAAAAAATTTAGCCAAAGTTTCTAACATCTCTATATTTTCATAAGATCCAAATTCTAAAGGCTAAACTACATGATGAATTGGTGATCTTTAATTTGAATCACTGATATGGGCTTCCTTTTAAAATTGAGGATGATGTAGAATAAAATTAACTAATTTTAAAGAGTTATTTTTAATTGCTAGAATCAAGGAAGTGTCCCCTTTTTCTGTTCGTTCATTAATATCACATCCTGCATCAGTAAATTTAGTTAGTAAAATTTCATCTTCAACATGGTATTCTTAAATTAAATATAATAAAGGAGTCAGACAATAATCTTTTTTATTGACGTTAAATTTCACATTTAAATTAACTTTACTGTTTGTCCATAGCCCTAATTCTACAGGATCCGCGAAAACTTTATAATTACTTTGTAATCTAATAGAAAAAGGGGTATTTTTATCAGAATTAAAAGCATTAGGATCACTATTTCTATTTAATAAGTATTTGATCATTTAAGGAAAATTATTTTAGCATGCATAATGTAAAGGAGTATTCATTAAATTATCAGTAGGATTCTTATCTATACCTCTTCTGGATAATTCATTTGCAATTAAAATAGCCATATCTTAACTACAATTTCTACCTTTAATTGCAAAAATGTGAAAAAGATTTTAATTGTTATGATTGCATTTTTGAATAACTGAATCCTCCTTAACTTTTAAGAGTAAAGTTCTAACTAATTTAAATTGATCTTCCATCATAGCATCTTCAATAGCTCTTTATAAATCGTATCCATCAGTAATCAATAAATATGCAACACCTTACCATCCTTATTTGATTGCTAATTTAAAATATGAATAAGTTCCAGGAGAAAATTTTGTAGGTTAGGGCAATTAATTTAATTAAGTGTTTTATCCAAAAGCATTTCTAGAGATTACTTTATTAGGAAAAGTAGGAAGTCTAACACCTCCAAATAGACCACCTTAAAGTCCAGATATATTATTATTTTCAGTTTCTATTGAATTTGAAAGTCCTTCATCATCCGTTTCAACTTCCTCTCCTTTTTCTCTTCTTTCTTATCTCTACTTCTTCTCTTCTTATCTCACTTTTTCAATATCAATAACTATTGCATTTCTATTCACATTTGCTTTATTGTCTATGAGCATTGTGCAGAAATTAGAATGACCACTTATGAAGGCTAGACCTAAAGGTGTATTTCCATATATATCAATATCATCTACCATAGCATTCATTTTAATCATATATCTACCAGATATTACACTACCTCTTAATGCAGCATAATGTAAAGGAGATCTTTTATAAATATCTAAACAATTAACAGAGCAATTCTTATCTGCTAATATTGACGAAACTGTTTCAAAAGGATCTATTTCAGAAAAATCATTTTGTTTGTTAAATTTTGTAAAAGCATAAAACAGAGGAGTTCTTTATAAATAATCAATAACATTAGTATTGGCATTATTCATTATTAATAAATGTTCCATTTCAAAACTAGCATCTGCTTAAGAATTCGAAGAGTTTATAGCATGATGTAATGCAGTCCTTTTATGTTTATCTCTAAAATTCGGATCAGCTCTAAATTAACTCAAAAAGAACTCTACAACTTTTACGTTATTCATTTTAACCCACTTCTAAAGTGGAACCTCATTATTTTTATTTAAATTATCTATACATCCCCCATAAACTAATAAATATTCAATAAACCAATTAAGATCTTCATTATAACGTAAGCCCAAAATACTTGTAGGAGTATTTAAATTAAAATCCTTAACTTTGATATCAACATGGTTTATAACAAATTTTAAGAATGTTTCACTAGCTTCTTATTTTCTTCCACATATTAGATATTTGTTGCATGTGGTAGCAAACAAGTGAATAGGGCTTATATTATTATGAGTTGTTTCTTTTAATGAAATATTAGAGATTCTTTATAATCCTTAGAGAAAAGACACACTATGGAAGGACCTAAATACAAAATGAGCTATTGTATAACTACCTTCATCAATAAAAGGATCCTCTTTAGTTTCTTATTAATCTTACTATAATTAATCTGCTTACCTAAACTTCTTTCTTTTTATCACTATACTATTTGAGTTGGCTCCAAAATTTATTAATAATTTAAATAGTTTGAGAACTGTTTCTTGTATTAAAAAAGAAGCTTAGAGAGCTTCCTATTTTAATTAATCCACTTATTCTTTAATCAAATGGATAATAATTGGTTTGCTGTTGTAATAAAATGTTTTTTAATGATATATGTCTCCGCCAGCTTAGAGTTATTGTTCTTATTAAAATTAATTCTAAGAATTTGCATAAAAAGAATCATGTTTTGAAATCTTGGTATTTGTTTTAATTCCACTTAATAATTTTGGTTATGGTGTGTTAAGAATGATTTAAGGATTTTTAAATGCTGTTTTTTTTCTTTTATATTAGATTTCCTCTTCATCTTAATCTTCTTCTTCATCTACGTCCTCTTCACTCAAATCCTAATCACTTGTTTCATCATCATCTACTACTTTACTTAAATCTCTTTCTTATTCTTATTCTTCCTCTTCATCAAGTTTTATCTCTTCATCTATTTAAACTTTTTCTGGTGGTAACTCTGAGATTTTCTATTCAAATAACTTAACTTATAACTGTTAAATTTTTTTATTGTAAATTTGATAGTGTTATTATTATGCAGTTTTTGTATATTCTGATATCAAATATAATAATGGATTCCATCCATTTTCATCATATTAATTAATGTAAGATTAATCAACAGTTTTAATAACATTTTCTAAAATAGTATATCCCTTTGGATTTAAGAATAGTTTACATTCTATTAATTTATGCAATATGTTTTTGTCTTTATTATCAATAAAATCAAACTTTGGTACAGTTAATTTCATTATTAGTTCTGCTGTTTTGAAATTTTGACTCATTAATGCTTAAATGAAAGGAGTTTAACCATTAACATCTGGAACATTAGCATCTGCACCAGCATTAATTAATAATTCAATTAAATCTGAAATTAGTTATTCATAATTATTTTTAATATCCTGTTTTTCAGCTTTCATCATTTCATTCCATTTTTAATAATATTATTTAACATTTTTCCTAGAGATTAAAACAGCATAATGAAGTGGTGTTTTATCTTATAAATCAGGTGTTTTGACATTTGCATTTTTTTCAAGAATTAAGTATTTCATATATTCAAAAGAATCAGCATTAAATCTATTCAAACTTGATGAAATTAGAGTTCTTCCTTCATCATCTTTACAATTGACATCAGTACTTGGATAATTTAAGAGAATTTTCACAACACCTAAATGATTTTTTTATAAAGCTACAGATAAGGGAGTTAATTTCCAAGAATTCGGTAGATTTTAATCTGCTCCAGCTTTCATTAATTCTTCAATACATTCAGGAAATCCATAAGCAGCAGCATAATGAAGAGGTGTATTTTTTGATGAATCTGGCATATTAAATTCAGCTCCATTATAAAGTAGAATGGAAAGTATTTTAAGATTTCCATTTCTAGCTGCCATTATGCAAGAAGATCTTCCATATTTATCTTTACTTAATACTTTAGCTCCTTATTCGATTAGATACTTCACTAAATCATAGTGTCCATAAGCACTTGCAATAATCAATGGAGTCATTTTAAATTAGCCTGGTTAATTAATTTATGCTCCATTTTTTAAAAGAATTTAAACTGTTTCTAAATGACCTCCAATACAAGCTAAATGAATAGCAGCATTTCCATCTTTATTCTTTCCATCAATATTATTAGAAACTAAAAGTTCTATATTATGTGCTCTTCCATTTTAAGCAGCAAGCATCAATGGAGTATTTTTAAATCTATCTCCTTCTCTTGCATCAATACCATTCTCCAATAAATATTTTAAACAATCATTTGTTTAAGAAACAGCAGCATAATGAACAGGCTTTCTATGAATTTCATCCAAAATATTAAACTCTTAAGAAATTTCAAGTAATTTTTATAAACAACTATGATTAGGATTGATTGCTGCACAATGTATTGGTGTTATTAAATACAATCCAATAGTTTTTTTTGTTGCTGATGGTTTCTTGATATTTCCAATACGAGTAGCATTTGTATAATTTAGAACATCAACATGTACTTAATTATATCCATACATATGTCCTCTCTCCATTGCTTTTTAAACTAAATATCCTGCTGTTCTCCAATTACCACATCTAACTGCCATAGCTATAGCATCATAATATTAATGTTCATTCCCTAATTAAGCTATCATTAATCCAAAAAATTCTGGTTCAGTTTCAATTTTCATTAACCTTTAAATCTAATAACGCCCTAGACTATCATCTTAATTTAAATCATAAACAAATGCATTATTTCCTTCCCTTCCTCCTCTACTTAATGCAACCTTCCTAGTTCTAGTACCATAAGCAAACTTATCATTGTAACCTGTTGTTATTTCTTTTAATGAACATTTTGGAGTTACTCCTAATTTTAATTTACCAATTGATTTGATAAATTACAAAAGCATTTCCTTATCTTATCTTTAAAATATTAATTCCAAAGCATTTATTTCATTTTCAGGACCCCATCTTTAGAATAAATTACTAATCTTTTAAGAGTTTGTAAATATATCTTATAATAATTTTTTATTGCCTGTTTATGCAGCTCTAATCAATTCTTTATTATTCATTATTATGCTACTGTAATCATGAAATTTTGAACTTGCTCCTTCAAATTATTCACATATATTTCTTATATCTTAATAATTTGGATTCACTTTCCCTTTTATAAATTTATCTGGTTGAGAAGACTGAGATTTAGATTTAAGAGCAGAGTTATTTTTACTTCCTTTCTTTTTTTTACTATCAATAGAAAATTATTAAGACTTTTCTTCATTTTCATTATCCTCCTTCTACTTTTATGTTTATACTCTTCCTTTTTATTATGATTCTTTCAATATTTATAATATTTATGAAGTATCTTGAACTAGTTAAGATAATTATTTTGTATCAGATGATTTCTTAATTTATTACTTTTAAACTTTTTAAAAAATCTCTGACTCATTCTCTTCCTCATCTTATTCACTTTCTTCTGTATCATCTTTTTTTTATTTTTTCCCATCTCTCTTCTATACCTTTCCTTCTTTTTCTTTTTGAATATTTTCAACCAAGCTTTTAGTTTATTTTTAGAAAGATCTTTTTTTAGATAGTTTTACTTCTTTTTCATCTTCTTCATTAAGTTCTTCTTTATCTTCTTCTTCATCTTCTTCTTTATCTTCTTCTTCATTATCTTTATTGTCACTATTCTCTTTTTCTTATTATTTTCTTTACTTATTTTTAACTTATTTTATTTCATGCTATCCTTTCACTTATTGCTTTTAACCTTTTTTGATTGTGTATTTTTTTGGTGGTTCCTCTTCCTCTTCCTCATTCTCACTCTCACTCTCTGAACTTACTTATTTTTTTTATTATTTTGTATTGGCGGGAACCTATTTCATATTCTTTGCAATTTCTTAAAGAGTATCTTGGGGAAAAGTAAAAAATGTAACAGCTGACTTACTTCTTGGATTTGGTTTTGCAGATTTTACTTCCACATCATCAACTACTTTACTAAAAATATATTTAATTTTACGTGCGTTCTTTAACAGATAATAAAAGTTCTTCAGCTTCTTTATAAACCACTTTTCCATCCTTCAATTTTTCTTATTATTCCAATTTAACTACTCTCAATTAAGATCTATGATCATTTGTTTTCATGTCTTCAACTACCTTGTACAATAATGGTTAACCATTTTCACTTTGTCCTAATATTTAATCTTTTTTATATTAATATGCATATTTAGGTTCTGATTTCTATCTGCGAGTTTTCATATTATTTAATCAAAATAATTTCAAAATTTAATCTTATAATATTATAATACCCTTTTTTAAGGAATATAAATAAATAAATAAATAAATAAAAATATTAAAATATCAATTGATCTTTTCTAAACTTATACATTCTATTTAACTCCTCAATTCTTTCACGTCCTCTTAAACATTATCAAAATTAGGATGATGATGTGCATATTCGAAATTTATTGGACTATAATCCATTAATATTCTTCTCTAATGAAAAGGAGAAATGTCTTGTGAATGAATTCCTTCAAATTATTTTGAATCAAAAGAATCTAAACCCTAAATTAAATTAATTGACGGTTGAATTCTATGTGATGGTGTTCTATTTTGAATATTCATAAATGAATCATTTCTCATTGAATCATTCTTAGTATTATCATATTCCTCCTTTAAAGACTATATTGTCTCTAAAGGTTAATAAATTGGAATTGGTTAAGGAAGTGGAGCCTATTCAGAAAATGAAGATTCTCTATCATCATCATCATCATCGTCCGATCTCTCTTCTAACATATGTACTCTCTTTATAAACGAATAAAATCTATTTTTCACTTGGTTTTCCTTATGTTTTAAATACAATATTACTGGTCTTCTATCTAACATCTTTGCAATCTCACTCCATTTTGGTCCATATATTCGATACTATTCTAAAATTATTTTATCTTCATAAGGTGTAAATTTTTAATGATTGATCTCTGGATCCAAATTATTTAAAAACCTCTCTCTAATCTATTTACTTGATCTGCCTTCCATGAATCCTTCTATAACTTTCCAATTTCGACCATATTGTTCAACAAAAAGAATCACCCGTTTGTCCTCTTCATCACTCCACTACTTTCGTAATTTAGTCTATATATGTATAACCTTTCAAATTCTACCTTATTTGGATTTATACGCTTCCATCTTTGTTAACATTGACTTAAATTCCTCCCAGGTATCTCTTCTGCAATTGAACGCCAATTCCCATTATATTTAGTGTGCAATTCAATCAAAAGGGCATCCTCATTAGCTTTCCAAAATTTCCCATATCTCCTTTCAGAAGAACTTGAATCTGAATCCTTACTATGTTTCTTAATCTGCTTATTTACAGTTGGGGATCTATTTTTATTAAAAAAAAAAATATACTTAGAGTTTACCCTTTGTCTACTCATTTTTTTTATTTATATAAATGACCCTCAACAAAAATGAATTTTGAATTAAATCTTTATATGTAACATTTTTCCAAATAATTATCATAAATTAATCATATTAATTGTTTAAACTTGTTAGAATAACCATTTTTACATTCAAATTTTAAAATATTATATGCACAATTTGAATCAAATATAGGTTTCTATAAGAAGTAAATAAATATCTTAAACATATATAACATTAAATGCTTAAATCAATTTATAGTAATTGCTGACAAAATAATTTTTTTTAAATATCTCATTTTCTCATAAATTATCTTTCTAGATAAAGAATTTTAAGTTTAATAAATAAAAATTAGGACAATTTAATCTAGCTTTTTTCGAAAAATATCATATTAATTGAGTGAGTTAATATATAATTGTTGAATATAGGAAAAGATATTAAATTTGAAATAAATAAGAAATAAGATTAAATTATACAGAACAATTATATTCCTGAAATTTCTAATAATAAAAAATATAATATCCTAAAAATAAAAAATGAATGTTCATCAGGGTTGGAGTGCTTTTTCTTTTTTTCTTTGAATTGTTGCATTACTTAAAAAATTGAGGAAATTTTCGAATGAACATCAGACTTATCTTTCTATTTTTGGAGAAAGCAATTAATTTTGAACGAGGGAATTATTATTATTAACTTAGGAATTATTATTAGAATTAATAATATTAGATACCTAATTTTGAATGGTTAATCTATGATGTTCATATGTTGTTTGACCTTAAAAAAATACAATAAATACAATAAATCTGTGTAATAAGAATGTAAGAAATAAAAAAAACAAAAAAACCTCTATTAATAAATTCAAGGATAAGATTGTCCAAAATACTAAAGGTTCATTAAAAAATTGCAATTTATTTTAGTTCCCAATAAAACATAATTTAATAGTTTTGACTATAGCATATATAGTATTCAAAGTAATTACAAATACAATAAAATAAAAAACAAATGATTTAGAGCATCAACCTAATATATATATAAGAATTTTACACAATTATTGATCCAAGGGCAATGATGATCATAAACTAAAAGACAACGTTTACAAATATCACAATGTTTACTGCGAGGTAATTTTATAACAAGATAAAAAGGACATATATTTTGATGGTCAACTGTTGTTATTAAAGTATAAAGAGGTTCTTTTCTTCTAATTAAATAGGCAGGATTAGAAAAACGATAAAAATGAAAATAGTAAGGTAATTCCAAAAATAACAAAATCATAAATTATTGGAATAAAATCTTGGAATATATATAGTAAATATGAGAGGATGACAAAAATCATGAATAGTTTTTTGGAATCAAAGATAGTTGAAAGATCTAGATATTAATAAATTTAAAAATTGTTTTTTGAAGTTCATTAGTTTATATATAACTTAATAAAGTCATTTCTGTAGTAGAAGGATTGATTGGTATTTATATATTAGATCCAATAGGATTAGATTCAATATGATGATTGTCCTTATTATAAATAGTTGAATTTGATTAATTGAATTGCATTATTTATTAATATACTAAATATTTATCATTTCTTCTTTCCTTTTTTACCTCCAGCAGCTCCTTTATCTGCAGCACCACCAGCTGGAGCAGCAGCAGCAGCCGCAGCAGCTTTAGCAGCTTATTATTTTTTGATTGCTTCTAAATTAGCTCTAATCTAAAATATTTAATTAATATAATTACTGTTGCTTCATCCATTCTAAAGGTTTAATGACATGTTCCACAATAATGTCTATCAAAATGTTTAGCCATATAAACACCTTAAGGACATTATGGACATTATTTATGTGATCTTTACACTACTCCCTTGTTATCAACATTATACAATTTAAGAGTAGCCAATTTTACTTTTCGGTGTCTGTGCTTCTTCTTCTTGGGCTTTGCAAAATTCTTCTTCTTCTTCTTCTTTTTCTTTCCTCCTTCTGCATCTACTGTAACATAATAGATTCTCTCTCCAGCCAATATTGATGATGCATTCACTAATTCACCACTTTAAACCAATTGAACTTCACATGCCAATTCACAGTTCAAAAAATTCATTAATTCACCTGCAGTACTCTAATCTGCCAAATTATATGTTTTCACCTCTCCATTAAGGTGACCAACCTATATTATCATAATACTTTTTAAAAAAAAAGATTTAATTTATAACTCAAATTTTCATAACTATGCTATTTATTTTTAATACAACTCATCACTTATAAACCCAATTAAAATCATATATTCTCTATTTATATTCTAATATTAAAAAAGACTTATATTAACTTTTATTCCCTAATGACTCTATCTCTCCATAAAGTTTAATCTTATCAAATTTATTAATCAATCATTAACATTTTCAAAATCTCAAATCTGAATTATTAATTATGTCCAATCACAACAATCTTTTTTAATGAATAATTATTTATTGTTTATTTTTGAACTAAGATTATTTTTCATTTTTGAACATTCTTTTTTATTCAAATTAATCCAATATACATAAATAACTTAAAAATAATCAGAATAACTGATAAAAAAGAACTTAACCTTTAAAAGTATTTAATATCCTATAGAATTTATATTTATCATAAACTTATATTAGTTTAAAAAATAAAAAAACAAAACTATTTTCAAAGAATAATTAAATTGAGAAATTTATTTACTATTAAAGTATTGAAAATATTTACAAACATTTTCATTAAGAAGTTTTGATATTACTATTTACAATATATTATATTACTTTATGTTCTCAAAAATTTCTTAGAACTATAAGATTGATCTCTATTAATTTATTTATTGAATAGCATAATAGTAGTATTCCAATACTTTGAAATTCTATGTAAAATTAGACAAGAATAGATGACTGAAATAACTAAATTCTTAAAAATTACTTTAAAAATTATATTAATTAAGATATATTAATTTTGAGAAATAAAAAGGAAGGAATTGATAAATCTTAATATATTAATTCATTCTATTTTTTTTCGAAAAGCCAGTTTGTGTAGCGATGTCAAAATCCAAATGCTTCATCTGGAAGATTAATGTTATCACAATAGGAGGCCTGATAAGTGAGTTTGAACTCATTGAACAGAAGAGGCGAATATTAAATTTCATTTATTGAATCGTCTGTATATTACTATAATTGAATTAAAGGTTCTAGAAATGATTAAGTCTAAATTCGACTCAATTATGGATTAGTTTCCTTTTAAATAGTATATTTCTTAGGTTTTTAAGTTTTCTTAACCAGTTTGTTTTGAATTGGTATGAATTTCTATTTTGGTATTAATTTTAAAGCATCCTATTATTAGCGATAATTTTTGAGTAAGACAAAAGGTTCTTAATGCATAAATATTATTTTAATAACTGTATATAAAAAAAATGAAGTAGGAAAAAGAAATGCCATTTAATGGAGATTTTGAAGATAGTGAAGCAGATGAAGATGAAGTTTCATAAGAATCGGAGAGTGAAGAAGAGCAAATCTAAGTAAAAAAGAAAAAAAAGAAAGTTGTAAATTCTAGCAAGAAGTTAATAATGAATGTTTCAGGTATATAATAAATAATTAAATAGACACTTAGTATCCTGTTGTTAAATTTGTAGGAAAAATGATTTACAAATTTAAGTTGTCTTATGTTCCTTATCTTGAAAACAATAATTGGGACTTTTGCTGGACTGATAATGCTGTTCTACCAGAAACACTCTCTAAAATGCAACGTATAGTTCTAATGTTTATGATAAGCTCACCAAAGAATAAATCATTTTCCAGGTATGTATTCTTTGGCGAGAAAAAATCACCTTGGTCGTAATCTAAATAAAATGTAAAAATAATATCCAGAAGAATACGATTTTTACCCAAGAACTTGGATGCTTCCAAGTGAATATGGTGATTTTAAAGCATAATTTCAGAAAGGGAAAGCTAAGACTTTTATTGTAAAACCAGAAGCTTCTTGTTAAGGAAAAGGTAATCTATTAATTTAATAATAACGAAAGGAATATTTTTGACTCGCTCAATAGATTCTATTAATCCTTAAGAACATTATGTTGCTTAAAGATATATACATAAACCTTTATTAATAGATGGATTGAAATTTGATTTAAGAATGTATGTAATGATTTGTGGTTGTGATCCATTAAGGATTTACTTATATAAAGAAGGATTAGCTAGATTTGCTACTTAATTGTATTCATCACCACATTCAACTAATCTTGATGATGTTTGTATGCATCTAACTAATTATGCTATCAATAAAGACAACCCCAATTTCATATTCAATGAAGATGATAAAAAAATGGATATAGGACACAAAAGAAGCATGACTAGTGTTTTTGAATTTTTAAGACTTTAAGTATATTTAATAACATTTTATTTAGAAATAAAATGTTGATTTATTGTTGAGTGATATCAAAGATTTAATTATAAAGACTTTTTGTGCTGTTTAACCCATACTCTAATAAAATTATACATAAATAGAAAATTATGCAAATAATATGTGTTTTGAAATTCTTGGTTTTGATATATTAATTGATAGTTCCTTAAAACCTTACTTATTGGAAGTTAACCACACTCCTAGTTTCACAACTGATACTCCTTTAGATTCTTACATCAAAAAGAATTTAATTCGAGATGCTATTACACTTATGAATATCAATGTTAAAACAAAGAATGATATAATTTCATAAAAGAAGGACTAAATGTAAAAACGAGTACTTACAGGAAAAAAGACTAAACTATCTTATGAAGAAAAAAAAGTACTGAAAATGTAAGCATAAAAAGAAAGAGATGAATATGAATTTAAAAACAAAGGGGATTTTGAACTGATATATCCTTGTGATAAATCCTATGATGAATACTTATTACATGCCTAAAAATTATATGAAGATTGGACTGGAGCAAGTTAATTTATTCATTTATATTTATAGATATTAGAAGAAACTTAAAAAGAGATACTATATCTGAATAACCTAAACCATAGTCTTGTTCTTAGAAACCAATAAATAACTAAAAAAACTAATTGTATAAGCATGTTTAAAGCAAAGTCAATACTAATCTATATCCTATAAAAACTACCAAAGCTGATTAAGAAATCACTTAAGAAGAACCAGAATAAAATATATAATAAGTACCAGAACCTATTTAATCTTAACCTCAGTTAGAACCTGATAATTTTGTTACCTATGAAGATTATCAGTAATCAGATTCACTTAAAGATTTATATAATTTTGCTGAAAAGAGAATTCCAGAAATTTAACTTATTGATTTAATTTAATTTAGAAGGGCTGAAAGCAAATAAGACAATTCTAGTTTTTAGATTATTTAAATGAGTCAATAAAATTCATTATCAAACTTGTCTCCTTTAATGTAAATTAAATCAATACAAGATTAAAAAAATGAAAAGAAGTTTTCTATCAGGAAAAAAAATAAATAACCTAAATAGATTGATTAAGAATAAGTAAATTAAATAAATTAATTTAGTTATACTTTTAACCATAATCCCATTATTAACCTTCAATCTAATAGCATTCTATTTCTTATTAATAATAAGTATAGATGTAAAACGGATCATTTGTCAAACCCAAAGTCTTTAGCTTAAAATTATAACATCCTCCTAAGGGATATAAATTATAATCACTACCGATTTTAATGTAATAAAATTATACAAAATAACGGTATGAATAAGGTGTATGAATTTCGTTTTTTCTTAAATAATTATCATTATATTCTTTTAATTATTTATTTATTATTTTCACTATCACATTTTTAATATTGAATACTTTTAAAAATTATTTTTTAGAATTTATGTCCTAAAAATATTTAATAAAAAAAAGATAACATGTTATGAATATAGACATATTAAATAACTCAACTTTGAGAGAATATTCTAAAATTAAAAATAAATTTTATGATTTATTTAAGACCATATATGTCAAACATTAATTTTGAGTACCTATTTTGAAATAATAGATAGGCGTTATGAAAGTTATCGAGTGAAGTAAATAGCTCTAGGTGATTCATAATATGATTTAAACATTAAAAAATTAAAAACGTACTTTTTGTATTCTAGTTAAAATCTGATGCTTAATTAAGATTTTTTATTATATTATGATATAATAATTTTAGGTTTAAGGAGCTAAAGACAAGTATATAATCTATAATAAAGTTTTGGGAAAGGGTGCTTATGGGGTTGTTTTGTTGGCAAAATCTTTAAATTTAGGTAGTTACCATGCAGCTAAGATTGTATATATTTTGACAATTTTTTAAGATTAGTAAAAAGTCTCTATCCTTGAGTGATATTAGCAATTTAAGAAATGAAATTAATATATAATCCCAGTTAAATCATCCAAATATTGTATCAATGGTTGAAGCTTTTGAAGACAATGAATATTTATATATGTTGTTAGAATATTGTAATGGAGGATGCCTATTTTAAAAAACACAATTAAATGGACCTTTAAGAGAAGAGAAAGCTTTGTATTATTTCGTATAAATAGTCAAGGCAGTTCAATATTTGCATACAAAAAGTGTTTTACATAGAGACATTAAAGTAAAAATATAAATTAAAAGAGTAGTTGTCAAATTTGCTTTTAACATCTGACGATTAAATAAAAGTAGCTGATTTCACTTGGAGTACATCTCTTTAAGGAGGATATGTTAATCCTTAAATTTGTGGAACCCTTGAATACATGCCTCCAGAAGTCATTAGCAATAAAGTTTAAAATGAGAAATTAGATGTGTGGAGTTTAGGGATAGTATTATATGTATTTATAATTGTTATATAATCTTTTAGGAAATACTTCATAATAGTTTTCCTATAGTTGGATCATTGTTTTTTAAATTTGGAATCAGCGAGGAATGTAAATAATTGTTGAAATAAATGCTTGAAAATGATCCAAATCGAAGACCTACTACATCAGAGATTCTTTATAGTCCTTGTATTAGAAGATTTAATAGACATAAGGATCTGTCAATTAATATCATAGCATGTTCTAAAAATCTGTAGGATATATAAGGAATTAATCAAAAATCTCCTTAAATGGCTTCACCATTAGGATCTCCATTAAGAACAGGATTTGGAACACCTTAAATGAACGATTTAGGATCTCCTTTAAGGAATAGGTAAGGTTCTTCGATTGGGTCTCCATTTAATCTTGGTCTTGGATCCCCATTAGGATCTCCACTTGGATCACCAATGAATTCACCTCTTGCAAATTTTAATAAACGAATTTCTACTGATCCAATAAGACTTAGTGCTTAAAAATTAGTATGACAGATTGCAATTATTTCAACTTCTTTGATTATTATCTTAGGAAACTTAAATTTTTTAATATTTAATTATATAAAGAATCTTATTACTGGCATTTACTATCTATCTTAATAAAATAATGTTTTTCATCTAAATCAATTCCTTTTTTTTTTAATATTTTTGGATTAGAACAAATTATTGAAACATTAAATTAAATTTTTTTATATAAAATATTATTTGCTATCTAAAAATAAAATAATGAATCTATTAACATACGTTCTAGTAATTAACAAAAAATTTTCAAATTAATTTTTTATAAATTTTTTTCTCTAAATTTTCTAGTAATCATATTAGATTAGACCAACTGGTAAATTTCCTTCAAAAAGATAATTCATGAAATTTGATTGATTCATTTTTAATAGATTTCATTTGATTAATTTATTTTTTTTACAAATCATTTAATTTGGGATAGGATTAAATGGTAAAACTTTTTGTTTAAAGTAAACTTAAAATATTTGATTAAATTAATTGGTATATGATAGAGTAAGTTTATTTGAAATGATAAATAGAAATAAAATATTTGAATAAGATATTTTATAAAAAAAATGAAAGCAAAAATATGAAAAAATTGAATGGTGTGATAAATAATTAATAAATAAATGAAGATGAATTTATATAGAAATTGTTCTTTAAAATGAGATAATATATGAATAGTTTTCAATATTTAAATTTTTTAATAAACAAAGAAATAATATATAAATGTAATCTGGAAACAATATTTTTGTTTTCACTCAACAAGACTTCTAAAAATATTTTGTTGTGAATTTAAACCCACCTTTAGGTCAAGGACATGATGCTAGAGTTTATTTGGCTATGCATAAGAAAACAGGAGAAATGTTTGCTCTTAAAGTTCTAACAAATTTATCATAAGACCATATAATAAATCTCCAGGTTTAATTATAATTTATTTAGCGAACGAAATACAAATTCTTAAACGCATTGATAATGCAGGAGTAGTTTTATTGAAAGGATATGCTTAAGATTATACTTGTGCATTATTAGAGTACATGCCTAATGACACATTTTTAAAAATATTAAAAAAGGGTCCATTTTAATTATCATATGCAAAGACATTAGCAAAATATCTTACAAGAGTGCTAATTACACTTCATACAATTTCTATAGCCCATTGTGATATAAAACCAGAGAATATTTTAATAGCTGCAGATTTCAATTTGAAACTATGTGATTTTGGCTTTGCTAGAATTAGTAAAGAACCTTTGAGACCTCCAGGGGGAACTCCTGGATATACAGCCCCTGAAATGTATATTAATCAAACAGTGAATCTATTTAAATGTGATATTTTTGCATTGGGTGTAGTATTATTTATTGTAGTAATGGGATTCCCTCCATTTTAAACTAATGATCCTAATGTAAAGGATGGATGGTGGAGTTTAATATAGAATAAATAATTCGATTTATTCTGGAGCAAATGTGAATAGTTTAGATAATAACAATTTCCATAAGAATTTAAAAATTTAATAATGTCTATGTTAGAATGTGATCCAGGGAAACGGATATCATTATAATAAGTATTAGAACACGAATTTTTATTAAATGGAATCCCAGAAGAAGATGTTTTGATAGAAATTGAGAAAAGAGTCAAAGAATGATTGAAAAATTAAGAAATAATATTCAAAAATTATACATTAATATAATATATTAAAAATATGAGTTCATCTTAGAATTCTTATGAAAGTGGATCAACAAGTGTAACAAACACTGAAGATTAATTGAAATAAGTGGCTTGGGGAGTTGGAGAAGTCTTGGTTAAGGGAACAATTTGTGGAATAGCTCATTTAGCTGTATTTACAATTTTAAGACATTCATTTATTATCGATAAAATAAGATGAAAAAATATCATTATTATTAAAATAACATTATAATTATTTTTTATTTTATAGATGTAGAGGTTCTTAAAACCAATTACGATAAAATAGCCTATCTTATAAAAAAATGAAAATGCAAGATCAGATTGTTCAACTGATGAAGATCTTAGTTTTATAGAAATATTAAGAGTTGAAGCTCAAAACCCAATGATAAAAAATTTCTCACAAGTAGACTCAATTATAGATACCACATAAGATTTAGAAGAATTCCTTAATTCTCTTGATTGAAATCTATGATGCAAGAGGAGAACCACTTAATAATGTAAGCCTCTTTTCTGACTGATTATAATACATATCCAACAATTCTAATTATTCTCATTAAGTCATCAATATTTTACTTCATATTATGTTTTTATTAATCACAATTTACAAATTTAACTGTTAAAACTATCTTATTCTCATCATTTTTGAACTATGATTATTTTCAAGATAATTTCTATATTTTCAAAAACCTAACCAACTGACTTACTTTCTTTCTTTTAATAGTCTTGATTATTAAATATTTTAAATACATATTCTTAATATACTCTTTGAAATATATATTTGAAGTGTTTTATATAACTTTAGCATTCGTTTTTCCATTTTTTGCAATTACTACAAAGTAAAATGAAAGAGAAATAATGATTTGAATATACTAAGGTTTTTGAATTTAAGAACTTAATATAAAAATAGCTAGTTAGATAGCTTGTAATATAAAATTAAATCAGTTTAAATTGATAAATTTTTACAATGAAATTTGTGATTTTAATTCTAATTATTTTCATGTTATTAATTGTAAATTAAATTTTGATTGATTATTAAATATAGTATTGTTTTCTATTTAGAGATTAGAGTTTAATACATAAAAGACATATTATTATAGAGGTTTTTGTTGTAGTTGTGTTATAGTTTAAGAAAATAAAATATAAATTAATTATTAATGAATAAAGATAAATATAAAAAAGTAAAAGGAGATCCAAATCGTTCTAGATCAAGAGATAAAGAGAAGAATGATGTACTAAGATTTCCTCCAATTAATTAAGAATAATTTAGAGCTGTGGTTATAGAATTTATGTTAAGTGATTAATTTGATTATCCAATATCAGGTGGTGAATTGTACACTTATATAAATACAATATTTTTGGTATTTTATAAATTGATTCATTTAAGACTAAAACAAGTACTCCATATTTAAGAAATTTATAAATTGAACCAATCTTAATTTAATTATCTGAAGCTGGAGCAATAAATTTATCTAAACTTGCAGTAGGAACATATTTATAAGATTTCATTTTATCAATTTCAAAAGAGAAGTTAGGATAAATGAATATTTAATATTCAAAGGATAAACCAAAATAAATGCCTACAGTTGAAGAATGGATTAAAGAAGAAATTAGATCAATTACAAGTGGATAAACATTCTTAAAAATTGATCATTTATTAGATGAAGCCAGAAATTAAAAGACTAATATTAGTTTATTACCTAAAATAGCTGCTTAAAAAAAAAGATTAATTGAAAATGTAGGAAATATAAGTTTAAAATATGAAGATAATGTTGTTTAATTGGCTTTAGAGAGAAAAAGAGCAGCATTATTGAAAACTGAAAATTATGATGAGGAAGAAGCAAAAAGAAAATTTACAGAAAGAGGATTATAAATATGTGAAAATTTTACAAGAGATAAATGTAGAAATGTTTAATGTTAAAAAACACATTTTAGAAAGATATTAAAAGCAAATACATAAACAAAATTAGGTAATTGTACTTATTTAGATTAATGTCCTGAATAAGAATAATGTAAATTTATTCATTACATTCTTGATGGAAATGATGTAGATTGGTAAAAGAGAATATAAACAGCATTATCCAATCATAAAAGTATGGCACCATAATGGATAAATTGTGATCTAAGAATTTTTGATTTTAGAGTACTTGGTAAATTTGATGTAATAATGGCTGATCCCCCTTGGGATATTCATATGAATTTACCATATGGAACTTTAAAAGATAAAGAAATGAAAGCATTAAGAGTTGATTTATTATAAAATGATGGAATCATATTTTTATGGGTTACAGGTAGAGCAATGGAATTAGGAAGAGAATGTTTGATTCTTTGGGGTTATAGAAGAGTTGAAGAATTAGTTTGGATCAAGGTTAATTAATTACATCGTATTATTAGAACAGGAAGAACAGGACATTGGCTTAATCATAGCAAGGTAATTTATTATATATTTCATAGGAACATTGTTTAATAGGAATTAAAGGAAATCCTTAATTAATCAAAGGATTAGATTGTGATGTTATTGTCTCTGAAGTTAGAGAAACATCTAGAAAACCAGATGAAGTTTATGGTATTATTAATAGAATGTGTCCAAATGGAAAAAAAGTAGAATTATTTGGTAGACCTCATAATTGTAGACCTAATTGGATAACTCTAGGTAATCAACTTCCTGGAGTTTATCTCAAAGATGAAGGTATTAGATAAAGGTATTATATATTATAAAAATTATGATAGATTTATGGAAGCCTATCCTAGTGTAGATATTTCAGAAAACAATATGAATGATAATTTGATTTAGATGTCCAACTAAGAAAACTTAAATGTAATCTATAACAATCATATCGGTAAAAAAGAATGAATTATAAAATAATAAAATTAACAGACTTTGTGTTTTATTGAAAACTAATCATAAACAGTATTATCATCATTGATTCTCAATTTTATCATATTTCTATGACTTCATATTATTTTAATCTCTCTTCATAAACTTCAAATACTTCCTTTTAAATAAATAATTCGTAATTCAACAAATCCAGAAATTCCATCTCTAGTTGATTTATCTCTTTTAATGATAATCCTCCTACCTTTGCATAATATTCATTCTTAAAGTACTCATCATCATAATACTTTATAGCCACCATTATAGATACTATCATAAATCAACACAATATTACAAGTTCATACCTATGAATACAATGTGAATTCAAGATTAAATTTTAGTGCATCTCCTAAACTTTATCTAAATATATTAATGCAAACACAAAACAAACACTATTGCAATGAGTATATTTTGCAATCCTTTAAATGTAGCTTTGAATTGAAATAGATGGTACTCTTGATGTATGGAATGCTGATACTTACTACAAACCCAACTGATCTGTTTCCTTTAAAATCTCCTCCAATATCTTAGCTATTGTGATAAGCAACTTATTTATGGGTTGCATTAAGAAAATTTAGATATATTATCAAATGATTTTATTTATTAATACTCATTTAACTATATAATTTTATATATCAATATTTAAGCTCATTCGTAATTAATGTAACTCATAAGCATATCATAGACAGAAGCCTGGTTGTTAATGTCTAGATGTTCTTAATTTTATTACATAAATCCTTAAGTAGCTATCTAGAATTAAGGAGTGAACATCGAACCCTTAAATTGTTAATTCATTGGCTATTATTTGGATAAATCTTATGAGAGAAATTGATTATAACAATTAAATTAAAGGGGGTAATTTACAATATTTTATTCTTAATCTAACCTTTTTTATTCCTATCTAACCATTTCTTATTTAACTTATTCATTTTATATTTATTATTCTTATTTAATTTGTTCTTGTCTCAACTTTTCTTATCTTTACTATTCCTATCTAATTTATTCCTATCTAATTTATTCCTATCTAATTTATTCTTATCTAATTTATTCTTATCTTATTTATTATAATCTTACTTATTCTTATTATTATTATTCTTATTAATTAATTTAATCTTATTTTATTTTATCTTAATTTATAGATACTAATTTATTTTATATTGTTTATGAAACATGATCTTATTTAGATTGATCTGTATTTGATTATTAAAAAAGCAATTCTTTATTTTAATTATTAATATTCAAATTTTATTCTTACAAATTTTGATTGATTATATTTTAAGTTTAAGCTATAATTGATTTAGGCACATATGGACATTCATCATATTAATTTTTTGGTACATATATATATTTAGGCTAAAATGTATTTTAATTAGGAGTTCTTGGTTTGTAATTTAGTTAATATTTTCTACGTCCATCTTACTTAAAATTATTTCGATAATTTTCAATTTTCTCATAATTTTTATTTTGATAATCGAACTTTCTCGGAGAAATTTCTCTTTTTTTATCTCCTGAAGCATTTCTTGTTTAAGTTCTCTATTTATTTTCATTAAAATTTGACGATTATCTTGATTAATTATTTTCTGATTCATATTTATTAGTCACAGATTATGATCTTTTTTATTTTTAATTATTGTCATTTGATTTAGACATCTTATAAATAAGTGTTTTTCTTTTGCTTGTAATTTCAATCCAATCATCATCATCATTATCTTATTGATTTTAATTTTAGATTTAAATGCTAATGAATTCATTTGCAATCTCTCTATTGAAATCGAACTACTTATAAATTTTGTACAAAGCAAATTTCTTGTTAATTGTAAATTGAATTTACTTAGAAACTAGGATATTATTGAGAGATTAATTTAATGTCTTGCTTAATTTCTTAACTCAATTTATTTTTGTTTTCCGAATATTCAGCTTCATATTTTTCTTTTATGGCTTTATTTCCTCCTTTCATTTTTTCTTCTTACTATATTCTTTTCTTTTCAGCTTCTCTTTATAATCTCTCTGCAATATTCATTTTCTAATATGAGAAATAATTTAAATAATTTTTACCTCATACACTAAAATATTTTAAAATTATCTTCAATAATAATGATATTTAACAAATGAAAAATATCTTCTTTTCTTATTTTAAATACCATAAATTATTTTGATATGAATATAAATCTTAAATAAATTAACTCTTTTTATTCATAATCAATATACATAATCATTCAATTGTAATGACATTAGCTAAAGTTAATAGATTTGATCCAGAAATGTTTGCCAAATTGTCATAATGTATTCTTGCTAATTTGTCCTTGAATTGTTTTGTTTTGCAAAGGGAAAACATGGATCTTTAATATTTTATGATTCAATTTAGTATTTGATATTTAAAGATCAATGTTTAATGAAAACTTGTATTTTGTAGCCAGATAAATTCATAAAAATCAAGTTGTTAACCCAATGACTGGTGTTTAGATGGATAAATTAATTTCTATCATTTAGCTATTCTTAGAGTTTCAATAAAAAAATAGATAGAAGATTCTCTAAATTTAAGAGTACTTTGAGAAAGTTGAAAGATATTCAGTTAATTAAATAATATTATTACAAATAAATTGAATGAAAATATTAATTATTTGTAGATATTTACATAAATAAATAATTATGGTATAAATTACTCTTATAAAAATTTATTAATGAAATTTAACAATAAAATTTATGGAAAAGAAGTTTATCATTATTTCGCTGGAAGGTAACATAGGTGCTGGTAAATCAACTTTGTTTGAAATATTGAAATAAGAATACCCATAAGCAATTTTTTTAATGGAACCATTGGAGAGATGGCAAAATATTAATGGGAATTCTGAACTCAATATTTTAGAGAAGTATTATTCAAATGTAGAGAGATGGGGCTTCACCTTTTAAATTTATGCCTATTAATCTAGATTAATGACATGGGATAGATAATTATAATAGGTGTTAAAAAATACTTAATAAAATAAAGGTCCTGTTTTGGTATTTACAGAGAGAAGTATTGAAAGTGCAAGAGAACTATTTTTTAAGTTATGTTATAATGATGGAAAAATAAGTTAAATAGAATTTGAAATATATGAGGAATTTTATGAATGGCTAATGAAACATTATAAATAGTATTTGATAGATTGCGTAATTTATGTGAACACTCCTCCAGAGACTTGTTTAGAGAGATTAATAAAAAGAGGAAGATAAGAAGAAGCCTGTGTGCCACTTGAATATTTGAAGAAATTACATTAAAGACATGAAGATTGGCTTATTGAGAAAACTAATAGATTTTAGATAGTTTCTATAGATGGAACTATGAATTATGTTTAAGATTAAAATGTAAAAGAGCATATAAGATAATAATTATTGTTAGAAATACAATAATTAATGGATTATAATAATTGAAATGCATTCACTTAAAATAATTATAAATTTTTGCATTTAGTTAATAGTTTATATCTAAATAATTTTTAATTTATGAATAGATTATCCTAATTGAGTGGACAATTCGATGAAGAATAAAAACTACAATAACAAATAACTGAATTGGATAAGTAATGATTCATAATAATTTAATCATTTAGTTGGTTCAAGAGTCCACGTTTCAATAATGTTTTACGTCCATATACAGCAAAATAAGTTGCTGAAGTAAGAGGATAGATAGTACCTAATTAATTTTCTGATTTCATGGCTAGAAAGTTCTATAATTTGATGATGGATTTAAAATAAAGCAAAGGGTAATTAATTATTTAATTTTAGTTTCTCTCTTGCATGTGGAGCATTAGATACTGTTTAAGTTATCAATATGTCTAAATACATGACATCTATATATGTATCAGGTTGGTAATGTTCATCTTCTGCTTCGACAACTAATGATCCAGGACCTGATTTTGCTGATTATCCATATGACACTGTACCTAAGAAATGTGATTAGTTAGTCAAAGTAAAACTTAAATTAATAGTAGATGCAAAGATTTCAAGATAGAAGATAATAATATGAAAGAAGTTTAATTACTCCTGAATAACGAAAATAAAAAAAACCTTATGATTATTTAGTACCTGTAATATGTGATGCAGATGCTGGTTTTGGAGGTACAAGTAGTGTAATGAAATTGACTAAATTATTTATTGAATCTGGAGCTGCAGGAATTCATCTAGAAGATTAAAGACCTGATTTAAAAAAATGTGGACATATGGCAGGAAGAGTTGTTACATCTACTAATACTCATGTCTAAAAACTTATAGCTTCTAGACTTTAAGCTGATATGATGGGAAATGAATTATTTATTATTGCTAGAACTGATGCATTAGGTGCAAGATTTATAGAAACAAATGTAGATTTAATAGATTAACCATATATTCTTGGAATCACTAAATTTCATGATAAACCTTGTACTTATCCTGAAGCAGGAGTTTTTATTATTGAATAAATTATTGATAAAGAAAAGAGAATATAAGCTACTAATTAATGGTTGAAATAATGCGAAAATGGTGGAATCAAAAAAGCTAAAGAATTAGCAAAAAGATTAGGATTTGAACTTGATTTTGATTGGGAATAATGTAGAAATCCTGATGGATTCTATGCTCTTTAAAGTAGTGTTCATTATTGTGCAATAAGAGCTAAAGTACTTTAAAGAAACTAATAATTAGGAATACTTAAAATATGCAGATGCTTTATGGATGGAAACTTCTACTCCTGATTTAAAAATTGCTAAAGAACTCTCTGATGAATTATAATACGAATTACAAAATAATAAAGTCCTTTGTTATAATTGTTCTCCAAGTTTTAATTGGAGTAAATTTGGATTCTCTGATAATGAACTAAAAAATTTCAATTCAGAATTAGGAAAATTAGGATACACTTGGCAAGTATGTATTTTAATAGAATCAATAGTTTATCACATTAGCAGGATTTCATTTAAATGCACTTTAGAGTGAAAGATTCTCAAAAGATTTATCAGAAAGATATATGTTAGCATATGTTGAAGATATTTAAAGAAAAGAAGAAAAACATAATGTTGATTAATTAAGACATCAAAAGTAAATCAATTTAATTATATATTTTTAGATGGTCTGGAGCTGAATTAATTGATCATGTCATGACTATTGTTAATCAAAGTACACTGATATCTTCAGGTGAAGATTCCACTGAACATTAATTTGACAATAAATGATTACGTGTTAAATAAATATATCATGATATCAATGTATCAAAATATAATGCAAGCTACATATTCATCTGTTCTTTATGCCTTATTCTTCTCAAAATTTTATAAACATTCTTTCAATATTTAATCTAATTCACTCTTACTTGTAATTGAACCCCAATTTGTTGTTTACGTTTACTTTGCATCAAAATTTTAATTCTCATTCAACTTATCATCTAGATGTCTTGGAGAATATTATATTTATTTATCCACTTTCTATTTTACACTCAATTATGAATCATATAACTAATTTGTTCCCAGTTTTGGCGTTTCAGCATTCAATTAATTCTCTTACTCTTTCCTTATACATTCTAATTCTCTTGTTGTCATAAATGTAAATTTCTTCTTTACCCTTATTTCCCCTGACGTATTCTATCTATGATCCTTTTTTCCTGTTTCAACTTCTGTTAACGAAAATGCTCTCTTTTTGGATATTTACTAAATTCCTTACTAATTTAAGTTTTATTATTCCTCTTGTCTAGGAGATTGAATAATAGAACTAAATATATGAGAATATTTATTCTCACTAAAACTTTGAAAATTATCCAAAGGGGCAATCTTAAAAACGGGATTCTAACTAATGTAAATACATATTCATAATACAATTTTGTAATCTCAGTAATATATAGTATATTCGATTGTGATGAATCAAACTTCACACTCTCATATGACATTGATTTTGATTCTCTTATATTTGCACCTGAATTCTCATTTTATAACATCTATTAAATTATTTCGATTATAATTATAATTAAATACTCTTTTATTTTATTTTGTTTTATTATTATTATAATTTACCTTCTTTAAAATTCAATAAATATTTCTTAAAAACCCTATTCTTTAATATCCAATCATACCAATATTGCTTAAAATTCTTTATCACCACAACTGTTATCATTTTATTATCCAGAATTAATTCAAAATTTCATATTCTTTTAAACTATAATATTATAATTAAAATTAAATAAAATATTTTATTACATCCAAAACTAGTTAAAACTATTAATCTTTTCTAACTAAAAAGTTATGAACTATTCATTTAATTTAGTAATATCATAATGATAATAATAATGTATTTTATTAGAAAACTTCAAATCTCTATATATATCTTGGATAGAATATGGGATCAAAATTATGATTTGAATTGCAAAATAACTTTTTGATCTTATTATCTAAATTATTTTGATCACATTTATTCTTATAATTTACTTCTAATATTGAAGTCTCAAATATATCTGATAAGTTTAATTTAATACTATCTTCCGATAGGCATTGTTGTATTTTTTGTAAATTTATTCAGTTTTTGTTAAGTTGTCTCAAAGTTTTGAAAATTTATAGTTTTCTTAATAAATACTTTGAAATTTAAACAATATTTATCTTATTTATGTAATTCATCAGTGTTTTTAAAGTTAAATTAATATTAAAAATTTAACTTTAAAATATAGAATGATATTAATAAATCACTAGTTATCTATCTAGAATTTATTCTAACATAATAAGATTTCAAATTAAAAGTAACATTTGTGCTATTTATTATATCAATTCATTTTCAATAACTAATCTTTTATTTTGCATTTTACAATCTCTTTATTGTAAATATGAGAATTCTGAAGAATGCTAATTCTAAAAATTATGTATTAAATATTGATAATTTATTCTGTAAAAGACTATATTAATAAGTTTACATTTAATTATTCTTTCTACAGATAGCCTAAGCTCAAAGACCAAAATCTGCAATAATAAATTTCAAAATAAAAATTAATAAACTATCAGAATCCAAAAGTTATGTTATAATATGTTGTAATAATTTATAGAAATATATATTTTTCACTTTTGTATTCTAATCAAATTCAAGAGGAATCATTTGCTTAAATTGATCTACATTTTATTTATTCGACATTTTTAGATAATTTTTGATATTCTTCTAACATTTTTATTAATTTTTGCCTGTATTTTTATTCAATATATTGAGAGTCATTATGGTTTTCTTGTTAAATATCCTATTGAATTTTTTCAAGAGTACTAATATGGTTCAGAATTAATGATTCTAGGTAATCTAATCGAAAGTTAGCTTTTTCTGCTGGAGTCAATTTATTTTAACATTTCTTTACTGTTTTACTAAGTGGTGATATCATAAATGCAAAAAAATATAGATTTATAAAATAAAAATTATATAAAAACTATATAAAAGCGTGAAATTTTAAAGACGCTCTTATGATGTCATTTTCAACACAATTGATGCATCTATAATGATCATCATTCTAATTTTATCGAATCATAATTTCTTATAAAATAAGTGATAATAAAACTAAAATGAATACCTGATAATGATAAAAAATTTATTAATCTAAATAATAATAACAAGACAGAGTTTCTTAAGGAAAAATTTATCATTTTTTTGTGATAATCTGATTTGTCAATGCTTACTAAAAATTACTGTAATTATCTATTAAAACTGTAAAATTAAATGAAAAATCTAATATATTAATATCTAATAAATTAGGAAATGAAAATTTTCTTATTATTGATAACATCAGTTATTGGTAGTTATTGCTTTAATCCAAATGACTATATTACAATACCATTCCTTAGATTTCCAGATTCATTGAGTTATAATGTTTTAGAGATAAATTCATTTTTTGAATATTTGATAGCATGTTTATATATAGGGTAAATTGATAACATGATATAGATTATTCTACTATTCTATGTACTTTTGCATTAGTGAAATTTTAGTTTGGAGTCATCCAGCTCCAAAGACATCAGAGAGAGTAGCTTAAACAAAGGAAGAGATGAGGAGAGGAATAAAAGCTCTTTTTTATGTAATTTTGTTGACAACAGGTATAATATGGAAAGTACAACCTTTAAATCCTTATTATGGTTATTATGAGACTCATGAATTTGGGTTGAAAGAATTTTTTATTTCTTTAATCATGTAATATAATATTATTATGCATTAAGATATATGGTGACTTTTGATGTGTGGTTTTATACTTCTCACATAATTGGACATACACCCTTTTTTTGGAAACATTTTCATGGAGAACATCATGAATTTGTTGAACCTGGAGCATATGCTTAAGATGCAGTACATCCAGTAGAGGCATTAATTTAAGGTCCAATTGGACATTTCTTGCCTACATTTATTTATCCATTTCATCCTGTATGTCATCATATTTTTGGATTGCTTACATCAATATATGCTTAATTTGCACATGATGGAAGATGGGATCCAGCTGGACACACTTTACATCATTATTATTATTCTTGCAATTTCAGTATCTGGGGATTATGTGATTATATATTTGGAACTGGTTACAACTAACAAAAATATCCAATACCTTATATCCCTACTTGGCTTAGAAGCAAACTTAATCATAAGAATTAAGATAAAAAAATTATGTGATAGATATTATATAATTGATTATGATGATCACAATCTGGCTTTGTTGCTTGGGAATCCTAATCCTTAAGCAATTCTCTCTCCATATTCTGGATCACATTTTGTAAACACTTTAACTTGTCTCTCTTATATCACTCTGTTTGCATTCTAAAATTATAATTCAAAAATATACCTTCAAATGTCCTACAATATTAGTTATTAACCATTATCTTTCAAAATCATTCATAACTTTTCTGTATAGAACTCCTGGTTGAGCAAAATCATCATTAGGATGAGATGGCTTATATCTTCCAATCAAACCTGTTACTCTGTATTAACTAGTTTTAGTTTCTGGGATCATTTTTAATGGTTAAAATGAATTGGGTTCATAATTTGGTCTATTTCCTTAATTATTATAAGATTAAGGTCCATCTCTTTATTGATTGATGACTCTTGCTCTGTATGGACAATTTACAGGAAGTTGTGTGTAATTTGTTCCTAATCTGTGTCTGTGAGTGTCTGGATATGAAAATAATCTTCCTTATAACATCTTATCTAGAGATGGTTCAATTCCTGGTACCAAATGTCCTGGACTGAAAGCTGATTATTCAACTTCTTAGAAGTAATTTTCAGGATTTCTGTTTAAAACCATTTTTCCAAAATTAAGACATGGATAATCACTGTGGGGCCATACCTTTGTGACATCAAAAATATTCCATTTGTATTTAAATCCATCTTATTCTGGCATGATTTAAACTTAAACAGTCCAAGTGGCTGTTTTACCAGATGAAAGATGTTCAAATAAATCTTGAGTAGCATAATCTGGATTAGTTTTTCTTAGCTCATCAGCTTCAGCACCTGTCAAAGATTTGTTACCAGCATCAGTTTTGAAGTGTAATTTAATCCAGAATGCTTCTCCTTCTTTATTGACCCATCTGAATGTATGTGATGTGTATCCATTCATATGTCTAAATCCATCTGGTGTTCCTCTATTTGAGAAGAGTACTGTAACTTAGTGAGCACTTTCAGGTACTAAACTCAAGAAATCCCAAAACATATTAGCATCCTTCAAGTTAGTTTATGGATTTCTTTTTTATGTATGAATAAAATCTGGGAATTTATTTGGATCTCTAATGAAGAATACAGGAGTATTATTTCCTGTCATATCATAGTTTCCTTCCTCAGTGTAAAACTTAACAGCAAACCCTCTTGGATCTCTTTCAGAATCTGCTGAACCCTTTTCACCTCCAACAGTAGATAATCTTGTGAATATTGGTGTTCTTTTTCCAACTGTATCCAAAAACTTAGCTTTTGTATACTTTGTTACATCTGCTGTAACTTCAAAGTATCCATAAGCACCTATTAATATGTAATATAAGATTTACCTGCTCCTTTTGCATGGACAACTCTTTCTGGAATTCTCTCTCTATCAAAATGGGCTAGTTTATCAATGAGATGTGTATCCTACATTAATATTGGCCCATATTCTCCTGCTGTCAAAGAGTTTTAGTTGTCATCTACTGGACAACCTGTAGATTGAGTCAACACATTATCTGAATTGTCTGACATATTATTTATTAAATATACGTAATAATCAGCCCATACTCAAAAATCTTTATTTCTGTAATGAATCCAATTTTTCATAATGCTACTCAAATAATTTATAAAACTATCCACTATTCAATCTCAACTTATTGTGATCTATTTCCAATAGAATCCCTATTAAATAACTAACAATTTTAACAATTTTTACTTTAATATGTCATCTGATATTTTACTTATATCAATCTAAGATGGTGATATATAACCATCCTTATCTTTATCCAATAAATTGAACAATTTGTTACTAATTCTTTGTAGCTTGTCTTCATTTAATATTTCTGTTTTACATCTTGTTCTTCCTATACTTCCTACTCTTTAATTACAAGACTATCTTAATGGACCCATTTATTAATTCTTAGTACTTTATGCCTATTGTTTAATCTATTACAACACTAAACTACTTTAAGTCTTATTTCCATTCTCAAAAAATCCACACTTATTTTAAAATGGACTCTTTTAAGTTGAATTATTAGGTGATTTACTTTTTAATCTCTCTTGGCTCTTTTATTTAGACTATGACACTTATAATTTATTAAGTTATAACTATCTCTATAATGCTGATATGTTTTTAGTTGTTTAACTAGAATTAATCATCTAACCATAATCTGGTGTTGGAGATAATATATTTTAATATAGTTTTCTACTCATATCTTCTAACTTTTTTGAGTCTATCTAAGTACTAGCATTTAAGTAGCCAATCCCCTCCTTTGGACTTTTATATATTTCGACCGATGGTATCGATTTCCATTGTTTCTCTTCCATTTAGATTTCCTGCTAAAATGAATAAAATGAGTTTTCTTTTTCCTCTTAATTCATTATTTCCTCTAATGAATATTAAACCTTTTTTTTCAATGGTTCTTAATTATTAAAGTATTTCTAAAATTATTTCAATTGCTAAAATTCATCAATATAACCTCTAACTGTTATAACCATTTACTCTTACATATTCTTATTATTTAAGTACTAATTGTCTTGCAATTTCTTAACTCTATGTTGTTATCACTACAAAATCTATGAGCTATTTATAATGGAGTGTCAAATTATTTGATTTAGATTGGCTTAGAATTTGCAACTTTGATAATTAACAATTAATCGTTAGTTTCTTGCATTTAATTTTTTTATTATCGAATTGAATAAATGTATAAATAAATACTTAAATACGCAGTTAAAACTACATATATCAATCTAATAATAATGAAATATTTATTATTTACAATTTTATACCAAAAATTGGAATAAATAGAAATATTTTAAGATATGAATATAATTATTATTATTTTATTTTTAATATTTCTATTAATAAATAACTAGAGATGATTTGGGAGTAAAAGTATAAAATGTTATCTCCAGTATTTGGAATTGGTAAAATTGGTAACATGGAAATCTATTAGAATAGAAATACTTAATAAATATGTTATATGAAAATAATTCATTGTATTTCAGGCAGTGAAAAGCATATATAAACTTAATAAACTTTAAAAAAATTGCAATAAATAAAGCATCAGAATTTAGTTTAAATTTATGAATTTTTTGATGAAGAAGGCTCTTTTTATATATTTATGGAAAAATGTGATTAAGATGTTGATGAAATGATATAAAAATTAAAAATCAATTTAGAAAATTAAGAATCTTTAACTAAATTTATAGAGAATTTCATAATTTAAATCGTAAATGGTTATTGTAGATTAATGGAAGATAATATAATTCATAGAGATCTTAAACCATAAAATATCTTATACAACATCGTAGACGAAAACTAATATGTATTCAAAGTATGATTTATAAATATTTAAGATTTGTGATGATGGTTTTTCAAAAATTATAGATTTAAATCAAGATTATGGTATGACCTCTGTAGAGCATTTAAATTATTATTAAGCTCCCGAGTTAAAAGAAGATGAATATACATATAAATTAGATATTTATTCTGTAAATTAATATATAATTTCCAGTTTGGGCTTATTTTAGCTGAAATGATAATAGGCAGAAAATTTACAGAAGTAGAAAAATTATAGCTCTAAGATTCGGTAATTTAGTTAACTAATAATTCACCTAAAGATATAATTTATTTAATTAATTAAATGTTGGCCTTAGAACAAAAAGCTAGATTATCATGGACGCAACTTAAACTTAAATATTTTTATCCTTAATATAATTCATAAAATGAAAATTTGCAAAAAATTTAAGATATTAATGGTAAAAATATTTGTATCAAGCCAATTTGTAAAAGATAACATAATGCTTACTAAAATGAATTAAATGAGATCAAAATTAATTTAAAAATTAAAAATAATCAAAAACAAAATGATAACATAATTAAAATTATTGAAGTTTTAAATGAAAAAGATTATGATTATTCCTATATAATAATGGAAGAGTGTGAAGGAGATCTAAATTAATTGAGAGCAAAAATTGGATTGTTTAATTATTAAGATGTTCTTAATTTACTAGAATAAATCAACAATGGATATTAATTTCTAATTGAAAATTAAATTGTTCATCGTGATCTTAAGCCTTAAAATATATTGTATTAAAGAAATAATTCTAAGTATTGTTACAAAGTAAAATTTGTATATTATTTAGATTATTGATTTTTAATATAGTTTTGAATTGAAAAATTAAAACTTTTCTGCTAGTTCTAAAACTGGAACCCGCATGTACCAAGCACCTGAAATTGATGGTATATAAGAATACGATTATAAATGTGATATTTATTCTGTAAATTTAAATATTATAAACTTAGTTAGGAATAATCATATTAGAACTGGTAATAAATATAGAACTTTTTAAATAATTAATGGAAGAAAAGTAAAAAAAAGAATGTTGTGTACTTTAAATAATGAAATAAGAGCCCTTTAATATTTAAATATTAAATATAGATTAAAAGATACTAAATATATTAAATTAGATGATTTAAAAAAATCCAATATAAAGAATAAGTTGGGATTAATTGAATGAAATTATTAATAAAGAAAAGTAGGATTTAGAGAACAAAGAATAAAATCAAATGATGGTTTAATAAGTTAACGCTTAAGATAATTAAAATTAATACGTAAAGGAATAATACAGAGTAACATAGCAGTATTCAAAGACAAATTAAATTGTAAATCCATTATAAAATTTTAATCCTACTTAAAATATTCCTAATAATTAATCTTAAGTATGTTATTATAAACTATTAAAAAGAAATAACGTTATTTTGAACCTCCCTAGAATTTGGGTAATAATAATTAAGTAAAAGCTTTAGATAATTAAAATTAATAAGTAAAGGAATAATACAGAGCAACATAGCAGTATTCAAATAAAAATTAAATTGATTATCCCTTATAATATTTTAACCCTACTTAAAATATTTCTAATAATTAATCTTAAGTATGTTATTATCAAATATTAACAAGAAATAACATGATTTAGAGGCTCCTTAGAATTTGGTTAATAATAATTAAGTAAAAGTTTTAGATAATTAAAATTAATAAGTAAAGGAATAATACAGAGTAACATAGCAGTATTCAAATACAAATTAAATTGGAAATGCTTTATAAAATTTTAATCCTACTTAAAATCTTCCTAATAATTAATCTTAAGTATGTTATTATCAAATATTAACAAGAAATAACATGATTTAGAGGCTCCTTAGAATTTGGTTAATAATAATTAAGTAAAAGCTTTAGATAATTAAAATTAATAAGTAAAGGAATAATACAGAGTAACATAGCAGTATTCAAATACAAATTAAATTGTAAATCCATTATAAAATTTTAATCCTACTTTAAATATTCCTAATAATTAATTTTAAGTATGTTATTATCAACTATTAAAAAGAAATAACGTTATTTTGAACCTCCTTAGAATTTGGTTAATAATAATTAAGTAAAAGCTTTAGATAATTAAAATTAATAAGTAAAAGAATAATACAGAGTAACATAGCAGTATTCAAAGACAAATTAAATTGATTATCCCTTATAATATTTTAACCCTACTTAAAATATTTCTAATAATTAATCTTAAGTATGTTATTATCAAATATTAACAAGAAATAACATGATTTAGAGGCTCCTTAGAATTTGGTTAATAATAATTAAGTAAAAGCTTTAGATAATTAAAATTAATAAGTAAAGGAATAATACAGAGTAACATAGCAGTATTCAAATACAAATTAAATTGTAAATCCATTATAAAATTTTAATCCTACTTTAAATATTCCTAATAATTAATTTTAAGTATGTTATTATCAACTATTAAAAAGAAATAACGTTATTTTGAACCTCCTTAGAATTTGGTTAATAATAATTAAGTAAAAGCTTTAGATAATTAAAATTAATAAGTAAAAGAATAATACAGAGTAACATAGCAGTATTCAAAGACAAATTAAATGGTAAATCCATTATAAAATTTTAATCCTACTTAAAATATTCCTAATAATTAATCTTAAGTATGTTATTATCAAATATTAACAAGAAATAACATGATTTAGAGGCTCCTTAGAATTTGGTTAATAATAATTAAGTAAAAGCTTTAGATAATTAAAATTAATAAGTAAAGGAATAATACAGAGTAACATAGCAGTATTTAAATACAAATTAAATTGTAAATCCATTATAAAATTTTAATCCTACTTAAAATATTCCTAATAATTAATCTTAAGTATGTTATTATCAAATATTAACAAGAAATAACTTGATTTAGAGCCTCCTTAAAATTTGTTTAATAATAATTAAGCAAAAGCTTTGGATAATTAAAATTAATAAGTAAAGGAATAATACAGAGTAACATAGCAGTATTCAAATACAAATTAAATTGGAAATCCATTATAAAATTTTAATCCTACTTAAAATATTCCTAATAATTAATCTTAAGTATGTTATTATCAAATATTAACAAGAAATAACTTGATTTAGAGCCTCCTTAGAATTTGGTTAATAATAATTAAGTAAAAGCTTTAGATAATTAAAATTAATAAGTAAAGGAATAATACAGAGTAACATAGCAGTATTCAAAGACAAATTAAATGGTAAATCCATTATAAAATTTTAATCCTTCTTAAAATCTTCCTAATAATTAATCTTAAGTATGTTATTATCAAATATTAACAAGAAATAACATGATTTAGAGGCTCCTTAGAATTTGGTTAATAATAATTAAGTAAAAGCTTTAGATAATTAAAATTAATAAATAAAGGAATAATACAGAATAACCTAATAGGATTCAAATACAAATAAATTTATAAATTTACTTTGCAATCAGTATTATATTATTAATAATCTTAAAAACCCAAACTTTAAAAATATTAAGACCTACCCATAAACATAAGAATTAAATCATCAAAATTTTAAGCAATAAATATTAATGAATCATAGTTCAAACTTTAATCCTAATTAACATTCTGATTTATCATAATTTTAATGTCATTAAGATTAAAAACTTTCAATTGTGTAAAATTTCAGTTTTAATAATTAATAAACAAATCAACATTCATAATTTCAATTGAGAAATGAAACTCAAGATCAAATTTAATAAATGAAATAAACCTAGCGTTTTTTCTAATAAGATCATTATAGTTTCTCAGAAAGATAACAATTCAATAATTTACAAACAAACTTTTTATAAAAAGAACAATATTTTTAACTTAACAATTTATAATTTAATAACTAAATCTAATCATTTAATTAATAACAATTTATCGAAAACTAATAAAAAAAGTAAATAATTAGAGATTTTGAGAAAGAAGATAAAAATAAATGATTCTTTGAATTTAACATCTATTAGAAGGAATTTGATATAAATAAAAAAATTTATTTATTCTATTTTTTTTCATATTGGGTGGTGTCTTAATTTTGAGGAATTTTAATATAATTGTATAATATAAAAATATGATTAGTATTTAAGTTATTTCACCTAAATTAAAGAATGCAAAACATAAAGTAAATTTGAGTTAGCCATAAATAACTTAATATAATAATTTAAATAGCTTTAATGATTATTTTAGAAGTCAAAGAATTTATGAAAAAGGTTCGCGGCATAATTAAAGGATAACCATTACTGATAGCAGATGTAAAACTGATTCTCGTTTATTCGAGAATTATTCAAGCAGCACAAAAAGACTGTCAATGCAATCATCTACTTTATGTTTATCAAATACAAAATCTTAGAGTACTAGCCCAAAAACAATAAATTTAAGTTCAACTATGAATTTAAAATCCTAAAAAAATGTAAGTAATAAGTCTCCAAAAAAGCAAAAACATAAGCAAAGTTTAACTCAATCAATTCCTTTATCTAATGATATGAAAAAAAAGTTTGATGTGTTATTATTGAAAACTAAAACATTGATTTAACATTTTAAATAAAGAGAAAAATAATTTATTAAGAGAGAAAAGGAACTAAATCAAGAAATCTTAAAACTAAAAACTAGAATAGAGATACAAAATAGGTTATTAATTAATTACAACATACCTTAAACAAAATTTTGATCACCACTTTGATTAAACTATATTTATATGGATATATTCTTATCTTTTTTAAGATATTAGTTAGTTTTTTTTTTATTTTATATAAGACTGTATTATTGATTTTTTTAATTCAAACATTTTATAAAAATAAGTTTAATATATAAAATACTATTAAATTTATAAATAAGCAAAGAATTTAAGCTACATGTAATTTTGAATGATAAAATAAAGAAAAGAAAAAAGTATGTTTTCTTGACATTGAAAATTACATTAATTTTAGATTATATAAATATTTTAAATTAAAAATGCATATTGAAAATCCCTTTTACTCTTCAGTTTAAACTCCCTACATTCAAACTAATCTAACCCCTATTGCCAATATGTAAAGAAAAGAAATCGGAGATTAAGCAATTTGGACATTGTCATCTGCAAAAACAGGAAATGGAGTAGATCAATTAAGAGATGATAATTTGAATACTTTTTGGTAATCAGATGGAACATAGCCTCATTATCTAACAATTTAATTTGTAAAGAAAATGAGAGTTCAGGAAGTGGCTTTATATTTAGATTTCAAATAAGATGAAAGTTATACTCCAAACAAACTTTCTATAAGAACAGGAACTAATATTTAGGATATGAAAGTATATTTGATAATTAGAATTAGGAAGTTTAATTTATTGAATTGAAAGAACCTTATGGATGGTATGTATTTGCACTAAAGACTAAATAATTAAATTCTTAAGAAAAGTATTAGCATGGATTTATTAGGCCTTATGTTTCGACTATGAATATCTAAATAGTAGTATTATAAAATTAACATAGTGGAAAAGACACACATATTAGATAAGTAAAAATATTTGGACCAAGAGAGTAATGAATATAAATTGATTGTTTTAGGAAATAGAATCAAGGTTTGAGTTTTCCTGATTTTAAAACACCTGAAATTACTTAATATGCTTCAATACGTTGATCTTTATAATTATATAATTATGCATTTTGTAGTTAACAGAGATCCTGTTTTAAAAAGGAAGAAAGCTATTTCAAAACGCATATCTCAAGAATAAAAAAGTATATCTCCTTTGTAAAATGATAGAACTAATTGACGATTATGAAATTTTTTCATACCTCAAGAATGAAAGAAATAATCCTCCAGCTTCATTTCATGTAAAATCACTTCGCTAAGTCTCATTGACTTAAAGATCTTAAAAAATGGTCACACAAATAATAAAGGAAGAAATACAAAAGTCAAACAGTGTTGATAACAAGTAATAAATAAAAAAGAAAAAAAAGAGCTATTTTTAACTAAAATTGGAGAGATATCAAAAAGAAGTTTAAGAAGAGCAATCGAAAAGAAGATAAGAATTAATGATTAAGTCTAAAAATTTCTTGAAGAAAGATCTAGAAGATTCTTAGAAGATAAGTAATAAAGGAGTTAGAGAATTTGAGGAAAGATGCAATTTGTATAGGAAATATTATTCAGAGGAGATAATGAACTCTTATGGAATGTAAATTCAAATTATTATTTATGTGGAAGACAAGAAGATCTTAATCTCCCTCTACACAATCATTCAACAATTGAAAACTAAAACAAATATAAAGTTCTCTTGAAAAATAAACCAACTCCTAAACCAAGATTTAATTCAGAATAAGAATTAGACTAATATTAGACTAATACTGATAGAATTTAATTTATTAGTTCATAATTGGAAAAACTAAATATCAAAGTAAATAATTAAAAAATAAATTTTCAAAGTTAATTAAAAGACCAAATGATTAAGAAAATTAAATGTTTGATGCAATGCTTAAAAATGACAGTTTTACATTTAAAAAATTACTTATGGACAACAAAAACTTAATAAATATAAGAAATAGAGTATTAAAACTTGTAAAAATTTAGGTTCTAGAAACACCATTACATTTAGCATGTAAAGAAACTTCTAAGAAATTATTGAGTTATTATTAAAACATTAAGCAAATGAATCATTAAAAGATATATGGCGACAAACTTCGAGATAGTTATCATTAAAATTTAGACATTTAGAAATTTTGAAAATTTTATCGTATATATGAATACTGAAAATACTATTAATTAATAATAGAAATATAAGCTAAATCAATTATCGAATTTATGGTATAAGTATACGATTATAGAGGCTGCATTACTAAATTTGGTTCAAGGTGCTCCTACTATTGATATTTATTTGGATGGATTAGAAACAAGAAAAATAGCAAGATTCAATGACAAGTAATAAGGTTTGATTGGATTGCCTGTATATTCAGTATAAAATAAAATTAAAAGATGAGGGCAATGATGATATTACAGGTCTGGTAGATTTGAAGATGAATAAAAATAAGAAGATTGATCACTTAGGGTTGAGAATTGAATTATTAGGGAGAATTGGTAATTAAGAAGAAATAAATAAGAAATAATTAATGATTAGAAATAGTCTTCAGATTTTATATCTTTAGGGAAAGAACTGGAAACATAAGGAATTATAATGGAGGATAAAACATATAAATTCTAATTTAATAAATTTGAAAAACAATATGAAAGTTATTNCATTGACTTAAAGATCTTAAAAAATGGTCACACAAATAATAAAGGAAGAAATACAAAAGTCAAACAGTGTTGATAACAAGTAATAAATAAAAAAGAAAAAAAAGAGCTATTTTTAACTAAAATTGGAGAGATATCAAAAAGAAGTTTAAGAAGAGCAATCGAAAAGAAGATAAGAATTAATGATTAAGTCTAAAAATTTCTTGAAGAAAGATCTAGAAGATTCTTAGAAGATAAGTAATAAAGGAGTTAGAGAATTTGAGGAAAGATGCAATTTGTATAGGAAATATTATTCAGAGGAGATAATGAACTCTTATGGAATGTAAATTCAAATTATTATTTATGTGGAAGACAAGAAGATCTTAATCTCCCTCTACACAATCATTCAACAATTGAAAACTAAAACAAATATAAAGTTCTCTTGAAAAATAAACCAACTCCTAAACCAAGATTTAATTCAGAATAAGAATTAGACTAATATTAGACTAATACTGATAGAATTTAATTTATTAGTTCATAATTGGAAAAACTAAATATCAAAGTAAATAATTAAAAAATAAATTTTCAAAGTTAATTAAAAGACCAAATGATTAAGAAAATTAAATGTTTGATGCAATGCTTAAAAATGACAGTTTTACATTTAAAAAATTACTTATGGACAACAAAAACTTAATAAATATAAGAAATAGAGTATTAAAACTTGTAAAAATTTAGGTTCTAGAAACACCATTACATTTAGCATGTAAAGAAACTTCTAAGAAATTATTGAGTTATTATTAAAACATTAAGCAAATGAATCATTAAAAGATATATGGCGACAAACTTCGAGATAGTTATCATTAAAATTTAGACATTTAGAAATTTTGAAAATTTTATCGTATATATGAATACTGAAAATACTATTAATTAATAATAGAAATATAAGCTAAATCAATTATCGAATTTATGGTATAAGTATACGATTATAGAGGCTGCATTACTAAATTTGGTTCAAGGTGCTCCTACTATTGATATTTATTTGGATGGATTAGAAACAAGAAAAATAGCAAGATTCAATGACAAGTAATAAGGTTTGATTGGATTGCCTGTATATTCAGTATAAAATAAAATTAAAAGATGAGGGCAATGATGATATTACAGGTCTGGTAGATTTGAAGATGAATAAAAATAAGAAGATTGATCACTTAGGGTTGAGAATTGAATTATTAGGGAGAATTGGTAATTAAGAAGAAATAAATAAGAAATAATTAATGATTAGAAATAGTCTTCAGATTTTATATCTTTAGGGAAAGAACTGGAAACATAAGGAATTATAATGGAGGATAAAACATATAAATTCTAATTTAATAAATTTGAAAAACAATATGAAAGTTATTATGGAAAGGAAGTAAAATTAAGGTAAATAATATATGAATGGTATCTAGATATTATTTACGTGTTATTTTATAAAGGAATTATGGATAAGTGAAAAAGGAAGTAGAATTTGCTGTATAAATAGGAGAGTAAGAATAGGTAGATTAAGGATAGAGTACATTAAAATTAGAAGTAGGAATTGAAGATTGTTTACATATTGAATTTGAATATTTTAAATCAAGATATCATTTAAGGGATGTTGTATAAGGAAAGGTGAACTTTTATTTAGTTAATATAAAAATAAAGAATATGGAGTTAGTATTGATTCGTAAAGAATAGATAGGTATAGGTAGTAGTTAATAAATTGATAATGAGACATTAATAAAATATGAATTGATGGATGGATGCCCATAGAAAGGGGAAGTAGTACCAATCCGTCTTTTTTTGAGTGGTATTAATATGTCACCTAGTTTTAATAATGTGGGTGGGAAATTTAGTGTGAAATATATTTTAAATTTGATATTGTTAGATGAGGATGATAGAAAATATTTTAAACAGCAAGAGATTAAAGTTTATAGAAAGAGATGATAAAAAATATAATATATTTTATTGATATAAAAACGGATTATATTATTAATAATAATGAAAACATTTGTCTTAATTGTTCTCTTAGGATTAGCATTTGGAGTACAAGTGAATGAATAAGCAACAATATTATAAAATGCTCTAACCAATAAATTAAAAGCTACAAGTATGGGTAGAGCAGTTTTAACAATGGTTGAATTAGGTGAACCCAATTTCAATCCTTTATTTGATGCATTAGAAGCGTGGGCTTCACTTATTGAAGTAATAAATAGATTTTAATTTAAGCAAAGTATAGCTGATGAAAATTCATCTTATGGAGCATTTGTGTAATAAGCAGAAACAGAAGAAACTAATTATAAAGCACTTATAGCTTAATATGAAAGTGAATTAGCTGAATACAATATTCAAATCAGAGAAATCTTAAAGTCAAGAATTAGTCTAGAGGAAGACCTTGAAAGAACAAGAAATGAATTAGGTGCTACTAAACAACAAAAAGCTAATATCGAAAATTAATAAAGATAAGATTCAGCAGATTTCAAAACAAGAACCAGTTAATTAAGTGCTGCTATTGTTGTGATTGATGAAGCCTTAAAAGTTTTAGATAAAGCAAAATGTATATTATTATATCAACGTAGACTCATCATTTGTTGAAGAAGATGCTTAGCAATTATCTTCTCTAGTCTCTGGAACACCAGAATTACATTCTTTATTACTTTAATTAAATACTGAAGATTACAAGAGTGCATAAAATTTATAAAAGTATTCATATTCATTATCTTTTAGAGTCATTAACTTATTATAAAATATCAGAGATTAATTTAATTAAAACATTTAGACTTTATAAGCAGGCTTTACAGCAGCTTAATAATAGGCTTAAGATCTCTTTGAATTATTAAATGCTAAAATTGATTCATTAGTAAAAGATGTTATTCCATAATTACAATAAGATATCCAAGGAAAAGACAGTAAGAATATCTCTATTTCCAAGGTGAAATTGATTCAAGAAGACAATTAGCAAATGAATCTTAAGCCAATCTTGATGCAGCAAGAGAAAGCTTGAAATAATCCATTTAAGAAAAGGGCTTAGCTACAAATAGTCATAACATTTTAATTTCTGAATATCATAGTAATTTAGATACTGTAGCTGAATGCATTAGTGCCTTACATGGAAGTGGAATTAAAAGATAATGAAATAAATACATAATAATAAATAATTTTACTCAGTAATGATCAATTTATTATGATCTCGCTGAATGATCGAAATCTATGTTTACATTATGGTTCATCTTATATCACTCGATTGACTTTCTCATAAATTGTTGAATATATCTATTAAGCTGTTTGCATTAGATATTTCACTGATTCATCCTTATTATTAGGAATATAGTAATAGACACTTGAAACCAATTATTGTTATTAAATTAAAGGTTCATTATTATTCTATTTCTAAAGTGGACTTTCCATTTCCTCAATATCAAATTATTTAGACTATAATTATTCATCTTCCATTTAATTTGTAGATGTCTATCTTTAATGACTGCTATTCATAGATGTTGTAGGCAGTAAATCTTTATGATTTAAATAAAATTGATGCAAAAACTAATAATTTGCATTCATCTTTTTTGCTCTTTCCTAATATCGAAGATTTGAATTTGTTAGTAATTTTATTCTATGCTTTAAATATTAATATAAATTACTTCCATATCATTGCAATATCTCTATAACTCATCATTATGAGCTTAAAGAGTTTTGTTCAAAATCATTTCTCTTTAATGATTCTTCCTGAGTTCATCTAGTGCTTTCTCTAATTTTTAAATCCTTTCCATGCTTTAAATATCATTCAATGGTTTTTAAGTTTATTACATCTATCTCTTTGCATTTATTTCTTGTATTTATTTTGCTCTTGTTAAATCAAGTTTAGGTATAACTGTTCCCTTAGTTGAATTCAATTAAAATTATTATATTTTTGGTGAATAATTTGAATCTAAAGGAGCTTCTGACGATTTAGAAGATGGAGATTCAGATGAAGAAGAATTATTGATTAATTTAAGTGCTCTTGATTAAAAATCAACTAATTGTTCAGGATCCTAATTCATGAAGATCAGTTTATTACCAGCATGAGCTACACTTTTTTATTACAATAATTCATTCATTAATCGCTAATAAAATAAAATTCTTAAATTACTAAATTTAATCCTTGTATATTTGATTTCTCTTTCATCAATTTTTATTTCTGTTTCTATTCAATTAATAATTATTCATTTAACATTTAAATTTCATTATGCATTTTTAATCCTATAAGATCAGGATCACATACTTCCTTAAATTTTATCACTACTCCAGCGACTTCATCATATTCTGGTTTCAACTCCTCCATTTTTGCTAATTTACTCTCTGCAGACTATAAATTTTCTTATAACCCTTGCATTTTTTATTGTAATGATGCAATTAATTCTTTCTCTTATCTTTAAACTTCTTCTGTTATTTACTAATTTATCAACTAATCACATTAAGCCTCATTACGCTCTTTAACTAATTTCTCTATTTTTATTTGTAATGTTTCATTCTCCTCTTATAAGTTCTTCAATACTGTTAATAGTCCCTTATGTTATTCATCATTTGTTTGAGGCATCAAAACCTTCAAAGCTTATTTATTCAATTAAAGCAATCCTTGGAGTTCATGAACCTACTCTTGCAATTGCTAATTTTCTTGCTTGAGATAATCGAGAATCTCTAAACTCATTATAAATTTAATTATTCAAATTTTATTCTTTATTTGCATAAATTCAATCATTATTTATCTATTATTCCTCTATATTAATCGTTATTAACTTATAAAATTATATACCGCCATCATTTAGAAATATTCAAAATATTTTACAAATGAAAACAAATATTTAACAAAAAACATATAAAATCACTACACTTATTTATCAATTGTCCATTTTTACATATTTTATTTTACTCTATAAATGAAATCTCTTTTCAAAAAAAAATAAGTCTTGCATTTACTTTAATTAATTTAATTTGTGTATAATTACTTATGTTAAAACTAATATTCAATTTCTCAAGAGCTTTTTAAAAACCTCAAAATCTTCTAAATCAGATGAAAAAGAATCGTTTTTCCATTATTGATGATCCTAATATTAATTAAAAAAAAGATGCTTCATAAATTAAGGAATAATTATATTTTAATCAAAAGAATAATTTACAATAAAATCGTCAGAAAGAAGAAGAGAATAAATTAGAAGATGTTATTGAGTAAGTGAATTAGGAAGTTAATTTTAAGAAATTTTAAACAGCTTAGGAACTATTGGATTTCTATGAATCTAAACCTTTAAAATCTAAAAAATAATATTTAGAATGGTTTAATTAATTGTCTTATTGTTTAAAATTTCAGGAATAAATTTAATAAAATAAATTGAACTATCATTAAAAATTTTCTGATAAATACAAAGTCCAACAATATCAGGAGATGCCTAATCAAATTATTTTAAATTCAAATTAGATTTTAGAGAAACCAATCTTTAACTAAGTTATACAAGATTTTGTATCCAATTGTGATGTTAAAGAGTGGCTTATTGTAAGAAAATAAATTAAGAAAGCCTTCTAAACTTAATTTTATCTATTAGACTATTATGCGATTTAGAGATTATGGGAAGAGAATGCATATCCATTACAAACTATTTAATATCTTTTATAAATGATCAAAGATATTTGTATTTTTCAGATTTTATTTTAGCTTAAGGAAAGTTTGAGAAGGATTAAGAGCCATCATTTTTAGAATTATTTGACGGTAAGTTTGAGCAAGGTTCATCCTTGTAAAAAATATTGGAATAGTTTTTAATTGAGAAATTAAATAAAATTAATTTTCTGGATTTGAATAACCAAGATTTTACAGATTATCTTTTTATTTACTACTAATAATAAAAATTACCAATCCTACCTACATTCTTAAAAGAATTGGTTAATAATGTAAAGGCAAGAGTTAGCACTTTGACTTTGCTAGAAAATGTAAAAATTTGTCAAGCAATGTTAGCAATAGAGATTGGTGACAATTAAACCTATTGTTATCTTTTGTGGAATATCATAAGATTATAAAACAGAATAAAATCTGATAAATAAATAATAAATGGGATTATTTTCATTTTATTGCATTTCAAATAAAACATCTTGTTTGTAAAAGCAAGTAGAAATTATCCAAAACCAATTATTGTCAAAGATGTAATGCTTTTTTCTGAAATATTTAATTGCATAATTGAAGATGTAAGTATTTTTGATTTTGTCCAATTAAGTTAATTGCTAATGATTTCAAATAAGAACTTTGCACATCTATCTAAGATAAATTCAATAATATTTTTTTTATTTTAAAAGTAAGAAATAAATTAAAATAATTAAATTGATAATAAAATTGATTTATGTTACTAAGCTTCCTAACTTGGAGAAGCAACAATTGATATTACTTAAATTCTAAAAAATAAAGTATATCATTTGTAATCACACTCAAAAAAAGGTAACTTTGAAAAGAATAAATAAACAGAATAGAATTAAATTATAGGATTCTATCCATATTATTCGGTTTAATTAGAATGCATGATTAAGTTAATTTGGACTAGCATCTTGTCAGATAGTAAATGTTTTGAAGACATTAATTATTTAATATTAAAGGTGAATGAATTGACTAGATTGTAAACAATAATTAAGATTGATAGAGTTATACAAAAGTTGATTTCCTAAATTAACTAATATATTTCTCTTATAGGATAATCTAACTTTCCAAATAAGATAGATATCAAATAGATTTTATAAAACTCCAATATAATCAGAAAATAAGACTCTTATGCTCATCCTTAAATGTTGCATTCTAAATTGTTTATTAAGGAAAAATAGTATTTTTCTAAGAAATATGAAAAGGATTTAGAAAAGGATGTATTTTATGAAGATTTGCTCATAGATTATGTATATACTAATAGGAAAACAGGAAATAAAGCAATGATTCTATTGAATGGGGTATGCATATTTTAATATTATAATAGTAAAATAATTACAAAATTTCTGCAGTAGGTGAAATGATTCAAAAGAAAATGATATAATTTTAAAATGATCTCTTAGAAAAATTGAATATTCCAATCATATAGATAAACCTTCCAGATGTTATTCAATGTTAATCTAAGTATAGTTATCTTAAATATAACTTAGGTCATATTATGAAGAATAATTAAAAGATATTCTAGGAGATGGGTCACTAGATTATGAAGAAATCCCAAATATTATTTAAGATTTAAGAAATTTAATAAGAAAAGATTTTAGTTACTTATTGATTCATTAATAAAACGATGGTGAAGATATCAAGGAAAAAAAAGAATTAGAGATTGAAATAGATGATAAAGAGATGCTTTCAGATGAGGAGAAGTGATAATGATGATATAATGTAATTTTTGTCTTTGTATTCCCAATTTATATGAAATATATATATAAATATTTTTATTAATGATAAGCGCTTATCGATTTAATTATGAACATTTGCCAAAAGAAGTAAAGCTGAATACTTTTGATGCTGAAAGAGGCCTTATTTATAATGAGATCATTCGCTTATTAAAAGATTTTGAAATGAGGTAAAATGAATTCGTAATATTAGTTCTTCAAAGCATTGGTTTCCTATTATGAATTTGCTTTAAAGATTCAAATAAATTTACTCCTTTTTGAATGAAGAAAGACAGGAGCTTGCAGAATTGATTCTATCAAAGTTGGGAGGATTGAAATCTTGCGTAGGACTTCAGAATGGATTTAGCTTAGTTTGCACCATTATTTAAAATAAGCAAAAATATTTGTCTTTAAAAGTTGATTGGAGATATTGGCATTAATATTTATAAGATAAGTTTATGACAAATAAAGATAAGACTATAACAAGTTAAACATTCAGCACTCAATTATTTATGTAATTTTGTTAATTTCTTAAAACTGTAAAATATTATTTTGATGCTGATGTTGTTTAATTTGCATTTTTAAAATTTCGCGAATATTTAGGCTACCAAGATAAATAAGTAGCATGGGCTTATTTGATGTTGTTTGTGCCTTTTAGAAATGACATTCCATAAGATTCTTATAAAGATCTTATAAAATATTTAATGGATCCTTTATTAATTTTTGTGGAAAAAGACAATTGTAGATTAAAATTTATTTTAAATTATTTAAGAGTTTATCCATAATAAATGAATCTAATGCCATAAATGATGAGATTTTTTAATGGTTATTGGCGTAATGATTTAGGTTAAGATGATAAAAGTAATAGTATATAAAATATTTTAAGATGAAAAATTGGTTGCTATGTTATTACCAGATGATACATTGGGAGTACCAAGTTTATTTAAAATAATGCCATAATTATTAGTTGAATTAATTGGTAATTCAAAGAGAGAGGGATATTAAGATTATATGTTAACAATGAGGAGATTGTTTTCTTTGGTTGATTCAATTACTTCAGTTTATTCTTAATAAACGATGGATGATTAAATATTTAAACTATTAAAATTGATGGTGGGCAATTTCATCTAAAAATATAGAAGAGATTAACTTTTGTTAAGGATTTATGAGATGTAACAAAATAAATATTATGATGAAACTGTTTCAGAATCATTGATGTAGGAATTAATTGATTAATTTAATGATGTCCATATTCAAGATTTTATTGAAAGTGATAAATACATTCTTGAATTACTCTTTATAAATCCAGATTAAGGATATTCAAGCTTTTAAATAAATTATCCAAATTAAAGAAATATATCAAAAATTCATGCTACAAAAATAAATATTGATTAATTACTACCATTTTTATTGGATGAATAAGCGAAATAAGACTTTATAGAGATAGTAATGGATGTATTAGATAAAGTGATTTACATGGAAGATTAAGGATATTCAACAGCAAAAACGATATTATATTTATCTTGTTTTGAACCAAAATTAATTGATTTCTTTTTAAATAAAATGAAATAAGCTATTAATGATGTAACAGCCTTGTAATTTGTTACAATAAAGAGTATTCTAATATTTATGGCTATTCCAATTTTATAAGGAAAATGGTATTTATTATAGTAACTGTAAATTTTAGTCCTTATTCAGTTCATCATCTTTAGGAATTTATGGATTTGACATACAAATTGTTTGAAGTCTAAGGAGTAAGCGAGAATATAGATTCATTAGAGTTTTACTGTAAAATATTTATGAATGTTCCCATCTATACTCCTGAAGAATATCTAGAATTGTATGGTGAAGAAAATGAATTGTGTAGATATTTAAGTGATTTTGTATCAGAAGTATTTAATTTGGTTATTAAAAACTTTAACTTGGTAAAGTACAAAGATGTAGATTATGGATTTGTATTGCCAAATCTTATAAATATATTTTGGCCATACATAGCAAATTCATCTCCAAAAATGTTAGATTGTATAGTGGATAAAATTAAATAGCATTTAGAAAATCTTGAGACATAAGATTTAAGTGCAATGGGAGATTTGATTGATTGTATTTTATACAGAGATCCAAGATTATTGGAATATATAATTGAAATTTGTATGGAAAAGCTTCTTAAATAGAGATAATCTCCACTTAAGAAACACTATTTGAGTTTTATAGTTCATTTATCAAAGCATTAAGATTATATTTTATAATTTGAACCTACAGCTGGTAATAAATTATCAAAACTATTATGGTTGACACTACTTGAGAAATCACTTACATATGCAGGTAAAGCTACATAATAACATGATAAAAAAATATAAGCTATTGTAATTAATTATTTAATGGATGAAGAAGATGAAGTATTTACAAAAGTTAGTGATATAATCCATTCAGTTATAATAACAAATCAAATTATTAAAACTAATAATTTATCATGGTAAAATAAAAGTTCTTAATTTTTTAAAAAAGATTTCGATAAAAAAACTTTATATTAACCACAAGATTTAGTTGTTGAATGGATTTTACCAACTCGATAGGATTGGGAATATATTTTTGATTGGAATAGAATGTTTATGTTTGGTGTGATTGAAGAATTCGAGAAAACTTATATGAAAGAATATGAATTTTATGAGATGCCAAGAGATTTCCCTAAATTAATTGATTTAATGATTTTTAGAAATCCTCCAATGGATCCAAATCTTAAACAAATTTGTTATCGAATATGGTTTCTTGTTTTTGGATGTTTTACAGGTTCATCTCTATTTACTCCATTTTAACCATAAGATAAAATAGAAGGTAGCAAAGGACATATAAAATTATAAAAGATTCAATAAGACTATTTAAAAAAGGTTTGTCCACCTGAATATTGGGATTTAAGATAAAGATTAGGAACTTTTGCTATTAATTCTATTTGTTATGCTATAAATACAGGAGTAGCACACGATAAAGATATTAATGATCTTTTAGTTACAATAGCTTCAGAATGCATTAGTTCATAAACTCTTAATTAAGAATTATAATTAGGTAGAGAATTTATGGAGGGTTGTAGATAATTAATGCAAGCCTCTTAATGTAAATTATACTTTGAAAGTAGAATTTAATGTGTAATTGATATTAATACCTATTTATATCAAAGACATGTTTTTTTATTGCATTTATAAGGCATCCCTATTGAATACAATTAAATCTATAATTACATTATTGTTCTTTACTTATTAGGCCATTCTGAGTTTAGCAGTCCATAATATTTGTTACCTTATTCAGAATAGACAACTTATACATTAACTACAGGAGTCAGAAATAACTTTTTCGAATATTTACTTGGTATTTTAGATTACAATGATAAAGACAGCAAATTAAGTAAAATAAATCAATTAAATGAAAGAAGTAAAGAATATAAATAACTTATTGATTTATTGTAAGGATTTAATTCTGCAGTTTAACACATCTCTTCTGATATTGAAATGAATATGTCAATTTAAAAATAACTAAATTAATTTATTAGTGTGATGGAATATGTTGACAATTAAAAATGCAAGTATTTAATTATGGAATCATGTGTTCATCATTTAGCAATTCAATATGATGAAAGCACTGTTGTTTTACATAATGATTATAATGATAGAATTGAAATGATTAAAAATAGTATCAAAGCTTTACAAAGTCAATATTTCTGGAAATGTAAGATAATCCATAGTTTGTCTCTACTTAATAATATTAACATCATAAAATAAGTACCAGATAATTGTATCAATGCTTATAGAGATTTATGTATTAGTGATCATGTTACACTTAATCAATTAGGAAGAGCAGGATTATTTTACTTTCTGAGATTGGCTAAACAAATGATTTACTAAAAATAATAAGTTAACAATTCTAAATTTGAAAAGTACCTACCTTTTAATAAATTTGTTTAATATCGATATTTGACTGAAGAATAATTAACAATTATTGATAAATCATACTAATCAATTTTAGAATTGGATGATATTCTTAAAGCATAACAACCAATTTATAGATCTAAAATGCATGAAAAATATATGTTTACCTAAAATGATATCACTAAAGTAACTATAATCAATGATAATATTACTCCTTTTATAAAAGATCTTAGATAACTCTTCACAGATAGATAGTATATGAGATTATTTATGGAAAAGATATTAATAGATAAAGATGTTGCTCCAACATCAGAATTTGATATCACAGATGCTCCCTCTTAAGAAGTTTAATTTATGTCAGCTTAAGGCATTACAAGATATGTCTAGATCTTTTTCACATATATTTATGGAAAGAATAGAAATAGATAATCTCCATTTTCAGCTACCTAATCCTTTTTCATGTCAGATTTCTATTTTAGATTATTTAAAAAAATGTTTTAAGTTTGTGGTATAGCTGCATTCCATTCTACAAAAGAAATAATTGATGAATATATAGAATAGTTTGATCAAAGAGAAAAGTAAAGATTAGTAAGTTGTTATTTAACAGCACTTCATCGATCTTTATTAAGCGTAGGGTCCTATATTCAAGATTCATTTATTAGGATTCTTCCAAATATTACCTAAGAAATCTTTTATGATTATCATTTAGCCTTCTTTTATATGTGTAGAGATTAAGATTGGCAATGGATTTCACCAGTTTATCAGAAGATGTTATAATGTTGTTAAGATCTTATTCCTTAAGGAGGATTCAAAGGTTTAAGATATATACAATTATTAAAAATTTTAATTCAATCATAAGGACCAAGAATTATTACATTATAAGATTAAATTTTACAATAATTTGCTTCCATTATAATCACATATCCATCTAGTGTTTATGTTGAAGAATATACATGTACTTTAGCTACTGCATTATTATAAACTATCTTAATTCCTATTCCTATTGATGCTCCTTATTCAGATGAACATCTTATTGCAACTACTACAAACTTTTAAATTTGGTATAACAATGATCTTTAAATCTTTTTCAATAACTTTAATTAATTTCTTTCTAATCATTCATAAACTGATAAAATCAAATTTTATTAAGAACTATCAGCAAGAATTTTAGAATTTATAGCAATTAGCAAATTTGATAATTATTCATGGAAGTTCATAGTTGAAGCTATGAAAATCATTTTCCAAAATAATCAAACTGAAATTGATGCTTAAGAAATCCTAAGAAAATATATCGAATGTGATTATGATGAAATTACTGAATTACTTGATATTGCAGAATAAATGACCAAAAATGAAACATGGAATATAAGAAAGCGTGCTAACTTCTTTCTAAGAGATTGGTATTTCAAAGCTAAATTAGAAGGTACCTCTTTAAACCAAATACCTAAATAATTGCTTAATATGTTCTAAGACAGCAATCTTTAATTATAATTCTAAGCTGTATCTTCACTTGCTGATTATTTAAAATTATATACCAAATAAGAATTAGAAGATTTATTCAAAACTACTTCAGAAAATAGAGTCTACATATTGATGAGTATGCTTCTATCACGTCAAGATAGAAATTTTAACTGGACAGATTAAGCACTTTCTGAAATATTTTAAGAATTAAAAAATAAAAGGTATTCAATTTATTTTATTAAAAGAATTCTCTAAGAATTTGTATCTGAATATTGGAAAAACAGACAAGATTGGTAGAGAGTATTTAAGGATGAAATTAGTGAAGAAAATGTTAGAAAATTATAAGAAATTGTTAATCCACATCCTTATTATGCCTGATTGTTTATTAATATAAAATATGTAATTAAGGTATATTATTAAGCTAATTTTAATTTTTTATAAATCTCCAGTCCATTCATTATAAAATAACAATTTATCTAATATTTATTTTAAAGTATTTAAATGATTTTTCTATATATTGAATAATTTTAATTATATCTTTTGAAAAAAAACATTTAATTTAAATAAATGATTTTTAAAGTAACTTGAGAAAGTTAAACTAATCGTTGTATTTAAAATCTTTCATTATTAATGAAAATATGAAATGATTTATGAAGATAATAAAATTATTCAAAATGATAAATTATATACTATTTGAACTATTTTTTCATTTAAATTATTAATTTGATATGTTTGCATAAAATTGATCAATAAGTCTTGGTGATAATAAGTTAATAAATCATTATATTTATCGAAAGAAAAAGGAAAGGAGAGTAATAGAAATATTATTGAAAGCTAATTATATATAAAATATTTTATAATTTCATAAAGATTTCATTAATTATACTAAAAAGCCATGAGGAGCAAAAATTCTACCAGTGCAATCTGCAGATGTACTGAGAATAAAAGGATAAAATGGATGCCATTTGCATAAAACGACTCTATCTTCATGATCAGTAATTTAAGTAATCAATTTCTATTATTCCCAATCATAAAGTGCAATAGTTGAATCAAAAGATACACTACATATATATCTACCAGTAGGATCAAATTCGACACATCTACAATCCATAGTATGATGTTTCAAAGTCTTAATACATTTTTAATGTTAAATATTCCAGACTGATACAACTCCATCAGAATGTGCAAGAACTGCTAATCCTTAAGATGAAAACTAAGGAGCTTTCTTAGAACCTTTAACTAAATTTTATAGATTATAATTAGTAGTAGATTCTGAGAGGGAAACATAGTTAATTTCTGTCTACATTGTCATAACTCCTTAGGCTCTACTGGTTCTTTAATCCCATATTCTTAAAGTTCTATCCATACCACAAGATACCTAATATGAACCATCTCCTGCAGTCTATAAACTATTTCACTTTATATGTAATTTGGTTACCAATATATTGTTTATGTATGGCCTTCAAGATTTCTTATACATTTTTATGTTTCCACATCCCAAATTTTAATAACAGCATCTTATCCAGCTGACATTAATCGATTTTCATCACTGAAACAAACAGATCTTACTAAACCTCTATGACCAATTAAAACATAATCTGTTTCATCTTCTATATTATATAATTTGACAGTTTTATCATTACTTCCAGTTCCAATTAATCTTCCTGATCTACTCCAATCAATACAATAAATAGATCCTTAATGATGATTTTATCTTTCCATTTACATTACTACTTGACTTTCTTATAAAACTGATTTCATTGAAAAGATTCTTAGACTTTTAGAATTAGTTCCAATAGCAAACATTTCTCCATCAGATGAAAATGCAGCTGCTCTAATAGGATGAGTATCTGATAATGTTGCTACTTAATCCATCTCATCAAATTTATAATTAAACAATTATGATTGTATACTACTGTTACTATGTGGTGGAGTAACATTCAAAAAGCTTTCCTTTTTAATCATTGATTAATCATTTTCATTAATATCTGAAATATGTAATTTCTCAATTATGATATTTTTATCATAATCTGTTGGAAGTTATGAAGAACTAGACTATTATTATACTTAGAATTAAGATTTCTTCTTAGAATAAACTAATATATTCTTTAATTATATCTTTACATTTCGAATGCTTATTATTATCTTCATCTTCTTCTACTTTCTCATATAATTATTGAAGTGTGCTTCCATTATATTTTTCTATTCTGAAAGTCTTACCTAAATTCTTTAATACTTATGCTATCCCTTCAAAACAATCCAATCTTCCCTATAATTTTAAAAACACATAGATTTTACCTTTTCTACACTCCAATCACCAAAATCTGGATGATCACGTATACAAGATAATGTCAAAAAATAACAAAGATTTTTATATACTTCAGATGATGCCAATTATTCAATTTATCGCAATAATGTTATTAGTATTTCTACATCTGGTTTTGCATTTATCAATTCAAAATATTATTGTTTCTTCAATTCCAACAAAACATAAGAAAATTAATCATTCAATCTTGTTTTCAATGGTTAGAGATATTGCTCTGCACCCATAAAATTACCATCCAAAATTTATTAACGAAGAAATTATAATTCTCTTGTATAAGTATCTATCGAAATCTATTCAAAGTTTATTAATCTTAACTTACTTGTGTTTCAAGTTCTAAATTCAAAAGGCTTTTATATAATTTTTAATCCCTTAAAAAAACTAACACCATCTATACTATTTGTTAAGTTTATGGCATTTTTGACTTTTTCAAAGATTAAATTAATTATAAGTTTTGGTTTATGGAAAATAATCAAATTATCTTCATGAGCCAAGACGATTAAGATTATTTATTTAGTGATGAAGATGATTAAATATCGTAAATAATTGAACAAGATTCCACAGGTCGATTTTGTAAGGTAATTTATCGAATTTATTTTTAGTATAATGAAGAAATTGGTAAAGGAGCTTACAAAAGTGTATTTAGAGGATATGATAATCAAAGTGGATGCGAAGTGGCTTGGAATGTATTTTAATTGAATAGTGTTCCAGAAAGTAAATAAAATCAAATATTTAATAAATAGACGAAAGAAGAAGAGTCAGATAAGAGATATCAATTCTAAGCAGTCTTAAACATGATAATATTATAAACTTCATACATTCATGGCATAATAAAGCAAAAAAAGAAATTGTATTCATTACTGAGATCATAAATGGAGGCTCGTTGAAAAAGTAAAAAAATTTATATGTGTAGTTATTTACGTAGAATAACTAGGCCAAAGTTAAAGGTTATAAAGAATTGGTGTAGATAGATACTCTTAGGTTTGGAATATCTTCATAAATAAAATATCATTCATAGAGATATGAAATGTGAAAACCTTTTGATTGACACAAATAATAATGAATTAAAGATTGGTGATTTGGGTCTTTCAATTTAGTAATACATAATAATTAAATAAAGATTGTAATCATCATTTACAACTTCTGTTCTTGGTACTCCCGAGTTCATGGCACCAGAAATTTACTAGGAACATTATGATACAAAAGTTGATATCTATGCTTTTGGGATGTGCCTATTAGAAATGGTTACTGGAGTAAAACCATTTTGTGAGTGCAAAGGAGGCACGGGTTAAGTGATTAAGAAAGTGATGGAATAGCAGAAGCCTTAATCAATTGATGCTATTCTGAATGATAAAATCAAAGCAATTATCTTAGAGTAAATTGATTTTTTTTGCAAACCAGATGCCTAAAACCACCAGAAGAACGTCCTTCTGCGACTTAATTATTATAGACTCATTTTAATCTTCAAATGACCGATAATGACAACCTTCCTGTTCCAATCAATGACCAATTCCTCTAGTAATTAAGGGATGACAGTAAAAGTAATTGAACTTAATATTATTATAGATTCATCTATTTTAAAATGTAATTTGTCTAATAAAATTATGCTAACAGCAGGTAGTAGTAAATTTGATACTAATTCAGAAATTAGTATTCAAAAATAAAATTAATTATTAGATTTAAGAAAGAAAAATCTAATTATTTAAACAGAAGATGAAACTGAACAAGTTTTTTCAAAATGTTATAAAGATTATATTGTAAATTATTATTATATTGTAGTGTTGTAGAAATGATGAAACTTTATAAGATCTTGAATAAAGATAGGAGAAAGAATTGCAAATGTTAAAATAATTGCATTTGTAATAAAAACAAGAATATATAAAAAAGGCTTCAAATAATAACGTAAACATTAAAACATCAACATAACCATTTCAAAGTTCTGAGTTTTTATCTCCTGGATCTTATTAAAATTTTTTTGATTTTCAATAAGAACTAGGTTATACAAAATAAGTGATAGAAAGTCCCTGTTTAGAGAGGAATAGTAACAACAGATTAGTGAGGCTGGGAATGGTAATTAATATTTATTATTAAATTTTAAGATAGTAGATAACAGCTCTGGAGTTTAATAATATTAAAATCAGTCATAATAAGTTGGTATTTAGAATCAAATTATTGTAGATAAATAATTAGAGGTCAATATTTGACAATCTAATAAAAAACAACCAAAAATATAAAAATAAATTAATTCAAATATCTTTCTTGTTTACATCATCAACTCTAATTTTTTTAATAGTAAAATTAAAATATATTTAATGAAAGACGAAAATCATTTTGATTGGCCTGGTCCTACAAGAAATGATCTCATGTACTTATCAACAATCAGTATATTCTAAACTAAAATATTAAGGAAATTAAAATAAATTACGAGCGATTACTTAAGATTATAAATTTACAACAAACTTACCAAAATAGACATATTATAACAAAGAAACCTTTATTAATAAAGTCAATGATATTCCAATTAAGTATAATAAATTTGAGACAGCAAGGGAAAGTCTATATATTAATGATATAGCTGTATATAAATTAATTCAAATTTAGGGAGCAAAACCATAGATAACTAAGTTTAAAACAAATAGAGAAACAAATCCTATTGAGCCAATATACAAAATCCCATCATACTAAGAAGCTGATACTTTTTAGCCTAATAAATTTATAAGAGACACATTAAATATATCAGATATAGAAGGAACAGTTCCAAAGATTAAAATAAATAATCCAAGAAATATAGATCCTTACACTTTTATTGAGGGTTCAAAACCTAAACAAATAAGACATGTAATTCGTCCTTCTGAAGAATAAGATATGAAGAATAAGATATGAAGAAAACTTCAATTCGTTAAAATGATCCACTTTAGCCTGTTTATAAATGGGGAGAAGAGATAATAGGGCCTGTAGATGGATCATAACCTTATAAGCATTGCAAAGAGAAAAATAAATTAAAGAGTCTATCATTATACACTAAAGACATAACTGGAGCTTAATCAGATACTGTTAAGAAAATCCCAAAAGAATCTTAAAAGATAACAAATAATACTCAAGATATTTATAGAGCCTAAGCTGATACTATCTAAAGAGGGATGTAAACTAAGAGATAGACTAATCCATTGCAACCTGCTTACTAATTATTAGGACATTACGAACTATACAAAATGTAAATCAAATGATAATGATATATATATAAATGATCATCTTTATAATTGATTTATTAAATTTGCTTATGATGGGTATGATGACATGGCTAAAGAATAAGGATAGTTGTTTAAACTCTGAAAATTACCCAACATGTTTTAATTTATTATAGATCTCTATTGGTATACTCCACTCTGTATTTGAGAATATTCATTTGATTGCATCATAACATAGGATCTAAGCAATTTAGGATCATAATAATAGGATCCCATACTATTTTGATTTGAAAGGTTATTCTCTTATTATTTATTTTTCTAATTAAATTCTGTTTTATTTAGATATAGATGTAATTATTCAGGTGATACAAAAAATATTTAATCTTTTTCTTTATTTACTAAACATGGCTAAAATTTACTCATTTCAATTTCTGTTAGTTAACTATCTTTAACTTGCAAATTAATTTTATCTTAAATTTTCAATTATGATGGTATTAATTCCATTTTTAAAGGTTAATTCAATTCAACTTTAACTTTTTTAATAATATCTAAATGTTCTTCTTTAATATCATCATTTTAAATATTTTCTCTAAGGTTTTCGCTTTGTTAGATTCTCCATTCTATTTTTTTAATAATAGTATGAATAATTTTGATTTCATCATGATTCAATTCTTCTGCAGATTAGAAATTAGAATTCTTAGATTCTTCAGATTCACTTTCTCCTTCATCTTTTTTCCTTTTATAATTAATTTAGCTTACCCTACTTTTTGACTTCTTTCTTTTCTTAATAGACAATTATATCTATTTTTAACACTATTTTCACTTCGAGGAATTTTAAGTTTTTTTGAAATTAAGGCCCATTTTTTTCCATTTGAGATTAATTATTATAACAAATCTAAATCTTCAGTCAATAACCAAGGATTTCTTATATTAAATTAATAAAATAATATTACCTATTAATGAAAGGATTAAGATGATTATTCCAACGTTCTCTACATTATTTACCATTTCTATGAATATTAGAAGCACTAATTTAATTTAAAGTTGTAGCAATTTAACTCCATTTATTTCCTTTATTTTAATTTTAGTAATCATATATTATTGACCTTAATTATTCATCTTCTGGAAGTGTCCAAGGAGCTTGTTGTAAGGGTAGTTTAAGCATTTAAAGCCACTTTTATTTACACTTAAAGGCATTCCTTCTTGGCATCATGTTAGAAATTGAATTCCAATCAGCATCACTCTTAAAATAGAGTTTAATAGATATACTATAGATTAAAAGTCTCTTTTATTTAAAACACTCCATTTACCAACTAGCCATATGAGTACTTTTTTGTCATCATCTGTCCAATTCTTTTTAAGTTTATTTTACTAACATTGTAAATTCAATTTGTTATTTTGTTGAATGTCATAGACTTCTTAATTCTCAGGAAAAGTATCTATACCAAGATTATATAATTCTCTCATATAATTAAATCTAACATTTATAATATCCTTAGTCTGAGCATAGAAATCTTGAAAGTTTTAGAGAAAATCATCAACAAGCACATTTTCAGATGATTTCATATATTTTATATATTTTTTAAGTTTCCTTATTAATTTAAAAAAATTTAGTGCTTCCCCTTAAATAATTTAATTTAATGAATTTAACTACGAGATTTGTGGACTCTTTTAGTCTAACAGATGATCTGCTGACTCAAATTATTTAAGATAAACAGACAATAAGTTTATCTTTGAGACAGCTAAGTAAATTACATCATCTTCAAAAAATGTTAGAAGAGTTTTAATTTCTGAATATTGTTTACAGTGATTAGAGTAGAGTGAGGTAAATCTAAATTTTATTTTAGAAAGATGATGTTAACAAGAACAAAATCAAATCTAAATCTTCAATAATAATTATGTTATTAAATAGATAAGAAAATAGATGATTTCATGGTATAAATTGTAAAAATGTTTTAGAACTTTTTTAAGAAATTGGACTCAATATTGTTTTATACTATGAATATGTAACTTATTTCTGAAAATTGTTTGGAGTTTTTATAGCAAATAGCGGATTTAATATTGGGAAGTCCTGCATTTACAGTTATTTATGAGATTAATAAGAAAGTGAATGGAATGTCAACTCATGTAAAGGATATAGAGAATGCTTATCAGAAGTTATTGAAATTTAAGGAGAGTACAAATGTAGAAGGGAGTGAACTTGATAACTTATTTGGCCCAAATTAATTATATGTTTACAAAAACAAATATTCATACTTGATTTATGATGTGAAAGATGTGCCATTTAAGGCATTTCCAGATTATAGATTGATATTGGATTAGTTTATATCCCTTGCTTATGATTTTTAGAAAGAAATATATGAGTGAGATTTATATCTATAAACATTTAGCAAAGAGAATTTAGTGAGCATAATAAGAGGAATAAAGTCAAGGTTTATAAAGAATTCAACGAGAATTTGTTAAGAAATCATTCGATAGCAAGTTACTGAAGTATTATCTAGTTAATGGTATAATAATTAAATTAATAAATAGTTGGATAGAAATGCCAGACTAAATACAATACATGAATGATTTAATAATAGATTAAAATGGTTATGTGGTATTGCCAGTAAAATTAGATAAGAGAATCAAATATTATATAAAGATTGAATCTCCAAACATAGATATGATTACATTTAGTGATTATGTAAAATTAAATTAAAAAATATTATAGATTTAATAATTATGGTAGAGATTGACATATCAGTTAAAAGATTTGAAGAATGAAGAATTTTTAAAGTAAATGTTAGAAGTTAATTCTCCAAATAAATTATATTTGTAATTAGATGGAGAAGGTAATATAAGATATTAGAGCTGTTGTATACCTGATTCTTGGTATTTTATGTTAATTAAGGGGGGCACTCTTGAAGATTTACAATTAGAATAAATAAATAAACAAAGCTTGATTTAAAAAATGCAAGAATTAAAATCTTCAGCAAAAGGTGCTGTTAGTGTTTGTTAAATATGTTTTGGTGATAAAGCAGTGGATGTTGATTTATTTGCTAAAAGAAATGAGGAAGATGAAATTACTGATTATTATACTGTTTTTAATGCACCTAAAAAGTATCCCATCTTCTCTATCTAAGGAAATATGAGGATGATCATAGGATATCTGCATAGTTATGTAGTGAAACTAAATTGCAAGAATTGAGTAAAGCTGCTTTGATTAATATTAAAATGGAGAAGTTATCAAAAGCCTGTAATGTGATGAGAGAATATCTGAAGGTTAATCTTACTGATGAGGAAATCATTGATCTACTAAAAGAGAAAGATATTATTAAAGAAGTTTATAATCATTAATCTATTACTGATGATATTAGATCATCTTATGTGATGGAATATTATAAAGCTGAATCATCTAAAGTTATGAGAGATTCTGTTTAGGGTAGTTAACAATACATTATTGAATCAGAACTCACAAATATCAAAAGTAATGTCCATATCTAATTTTTTAGAATTTGATCTCTATACTTTAGATGCAAATGATATTTCTAATCTTAGTGACTATTCATTTGATATTACTGTTGTTCAAGATAAAAATGAGTAATTGAGATATACATGGGCTCTATTTCATTTGTGTAATTTCATTGATCTTTACTAAATCAATAAAGAAGTATTCTATTAATTCACTGTTATTGTACAAGAAAAATATACTTATAGGTAAAATCCATTTCATAACTTTGATCATGGATTTACTGTTGCTCATGCTTGTTATTATATAATCAAAAGTAAAAGCATGAATCAATATTTTGATAAATTCATTTAATTTACTGCTCTACTTTCTGCCTTATGTCATGATATTGATCATACTGGACGTAATAATCATTTTGAAAGTCAAAAATTATCTAAATTAGCACTTAGATATAATGATGAATCTGTTTTAGAAAATCATCATGCATCTGTTATGTTCAAAATTCTAAAGAAGGAAAAATATAATATTTTGAGTTCTCTTAGCTAAGATTAATTCCTTATATTTAGAAAATATGCTATTGCAAATATTTTAGGAACTGACATGAAAAAACATTTTGAAATTGTTAAATAACTAGAACTTAAATTATCTAAACTCCCAGATGAACCATTTATATAAAAAGAAGAAGATAAGAAATTTTTATCAAGCGCTATTATACATACTTGTGATTTAACTATGTAATCTAAAACTTTCAAATTGGCATAGAAATGGTCAAATCGTATAGCAACTGAATTTTCAGATTAAGTTTTTGAAGAAAAATAATTATCATTACCTATTACCTAACATTTTTTACCATTAGGAACACCTAATTTCAATTAATTATTAGCTAAATAAGAAATTTCATTCATTAAAGTATAAATTTGTAACTATATTTTTTTTTAGTTCATTGTTAAACCTGCTTTTGATTTAACAGCATAAGTTTTATAAACAGGTTTAGAAGTACCATTAAAAAATCTAGAAGAAAATCTTAAAGAGTGGGAAAATTAGAAATGATAAAAATAAATCAGTTGTTGTAGTAACGATAATATTTTGTACCCTTTTTTTATTAATATTTATTATTATTTTAAATGTAAGCGATAATCATTTAAAATGGCTCAGATGAAGAAACTGAATTTATTTATGATTCAAACACTATATAACTAAAAGAATCAAGAAATAAAATTTCGAAAGCAAATGTATATATTTTTTTATTAATATTCATTAGGAAGAAATTAAATAATTAACTGAGTAAAACAAGGAATTGATTGCTTAACTTAATCGTTAAAATGAGCTACTTGAATTAAAAAACAAATAGAATTAATAATTGCAAATAGAAAGTAAGTATAATATTTATATGTATCTAGCAAATAAATTTAAAGAATAAGTGGATGACAGAGAACATAAATTATTATAGTCAATGAAAGAAAAACAATTTTTATAAAATGAATTAATATCTATGCATGAAATTTTGGATTAAACAACCCAAAGAAATGATTAAATAAATTCTGAAGTTTTTGCTCTAAAGTTAAATTTAGAGCAAATGTAATGTAAAGATTATTAATTAATTATGTAGAAACTGCATCAATTTGTAAAGAGGAAACGACTTAAGTATTATAAAGAGAATTAAGATTAAAAGCAACTATTGATTAATTAAACAAGAATTTAAAATAGTAAGAAGAAAATTTGAGAAAAATTACTAATGAAACTCATTTGAAAGATATTTAATAGAAATTTGAATTGTAAAACAAAGAATAAATTATTTAAGAATTAAAGAATTAACTAAAATAATAATAATAATAGAATAATGATATTATAAATGAATTAATAGAATACAAAAATTAAAAAATTTAAGATTCAGTTTATGGCCAAGATTATAAATCAGAACTGACTAAAATTACAGCAGAAAATGAAGAATTAAAAAATAAATTCAAAGGATTAGGGTTTCAATTGAATATCTACAAAGAAAAAGAATCTTAATAAATAAAAGAAATCACTAATTTGAGATAGATTTAATCAAATTTATCAGTTGAAGTTGAAAGATTATATAATAAAATAAATGAATAAAAATTGGAATTATTAAATCATTAATAGGAGAGCTAAAATGTTTTACAAGAAAAAGATGCAAAAATCAGTTAATTAATGAAATAATTATCACTTTTAAAAAATTAAGATTAAAAGATAAATTTGCATAAGAGTATCTTCCATAATGGAGAGGAGAAATATTAAAAAGATATTCAATTGAAAAATGATCAAATAGTTATGTTGTAAAATGAAAACAATCAATTGGTAAAGTTAATAGAGAATCTGAAACATCAATAAAGTAATTTATTGAATATAATTTAAGTAAATAATTAAGGAAAAGAACAAATAAAAGTAAAACAATTGGAATCAGAACTAAAGAATTTATAATCATTCATATATGACAGTCCTCTTGTAGTTTTATTTAATCTTTTAGAGGATCGATTATCAAAATAATAGTAAAAGAGCTTTGAGAATAAGGGAAAAATAAAGGAATTTTGGTCAACCTAATTAAAATAATGGATAGAGGGATTTGAAGAGTTAAAATAAGCATTTTCTGGATTAAAGATTCTATTCAAGTATGATCTAAAATATGCTAATTAAACATCATAATAGAATGATTGAAAATATTATTTTATATAAATGAATAAGAAATAGACTATAAAAGTATCTATATTGACATTGAGAAATTTCACTTTTTCCCTAATTTCAAATCCATAAAATTTAATGATTAAGAAATGTAAAATTTTTCAAGACTATTATTTTATTTTAATGGCTATGGAAACATTATGACATGGATTCAAACAAAATTTTAAAAATAAACAAAAAGCAAACTTTTGCTTCAAGTGCATGGCATTAACTATAAAATACAAAACCATCAAAAATTGGATTATAAATAAGTATTCAGTTCATTCTGTTTTGAATTGAAGAAATTCTTTTATTATAAAAATGGCTTATTTGGAAAACTAATTAGTTGATAAAACTTTTGGAGAACTTAAAATAAGCCTGAAATTAAATAGATAATTTTTATTATCAGTTATGTTATCGAATTCATCTTTTTAATCTCTTCAATTGTTGTTTTACACTATAACATTCAGTACCATAAATAAGACGAATTCTATTAGAATATAGGCTCAATAGAAAAACAAGAAGGAAGAATAAATCGTTGATTCACAAATTTTAGTTTAAACTTAATTAATTATCATCATCGGGGCTATAAATATTAGACAACTCTTTGTTACTTATTTATATTANATTAAAAGATAAATTTGCATAAGAGTATCTTCCATAATGGAGAGGAGAAATATTAAAAAGATATTCAATTGAAAAATGATCAAATAGTTATGTTGTAAAATGAAAACAATCAATTGGTAAAGTTAATAGAGAATCTGAAACATCAATAAAGTAATTTATTGAATATAATTTAAGTAAATAATTAAGGAAAAGAACAAATAAAAGTAAAACAATTGGAATCAGAACTAAAGAATTTATAATCATTCATATATGACAGTCCTCTTGTAGTTTTATTTAATCTTTTAGAGGATCGATTATCAAAATAATAGTAAAAGAGCTTTGAGAATAAGGGAAAAATAAAGGAATTTTGGTCAACCTAATTAAAATAATGGATAGAGGGATTTGAAGAGTTAAAATAAGCATTTTCTGGATTAAAGATTCTATTCAAGTATGATCTAAAATATGCTAATTAAACATCATAATAGAATGATTGAAAATATTATTTTATATAAATGAATAAGAAATAGACTATAAAAGTATCTATATTGACATTGAGAAATTTCACTTTTTCCCTAATTTCAAATCCATAAAATTTAATGATTAAGAAATGTAAAATTTTTCAAGACTATTATTTTATTTTAATGGCTATGGAAACATTATGACATGGATTCAAACAAAATTTTAAAAATAAACAAAAAGCAAACTTTTGCTTCAAGTGCATGGCATTAACTATAAAATACAAAACCATCAAAAATTGGATTATAAATAAGTATTCAGTTCATTCTGTTTTGAATTGAAGAAATTCTTTTATTATAAAAATGGCTTATTTGGAAAACTAATTAGTTGATAAAACTTTTGGAGAACTTAAAATAAGCCTGAAATTAAATAGATAATTTTTATTATCAGTTATGTTATCGAATTCATCTTTTTAATCTCTTCAATTGTTGTTTTACACTATAACATTCAGTACCATAAATAAGACGAATTCTATTAGAATATAGGCTCAATAGAAAAACAAGAAGGAAGAATAAATCGTTGATTCACAAATTTTAGTTTAAACTTAATTAATTATCATCATCGGGGCTATAAATATTAGACAACTCTTTGTTACTTATTTATATTATATATCAGAATCTCAAAAAAATTCGCAAATCTTATTTTTATTTATCTTATTATTTGATTACATCCTCCACCTTTTTTTCATGATGATTAGTCTTAATAAAACTATTTGGGATGGTGATTTCAACTTTTTTCTCCCTCCATATTTAATATTTATATGTAATTTTATCTATTATCCTTAATTAAAACTCATAATTAAAATTTATAATAAAATATTCATATATTCAAAATTTAATTTATTATTTTAATAACTCGATATTTATTTTTTTTCTTTATATTAGTTTCAAAAATGAATCAAAGTCAAATTATCCTTTCTTACACTTAATAATTATAAGATTAAATAAATAAATTATAATATTTTAGTAACATATTATCCTATTATTACAATTTTGATTTTCGTAATTTTATCATAATCTTTTGATTGTAATTTATTTCATATTAAATTTTATCAAAATTCTTATTTTTATCTAATCAGAAACACAATTTTGGTGTTTTAACGAATCTTTATTTATTTATTTAATTAAGAAAAATAAATTCTTGTTTTAATGAATTTCGACATTAAATACATTTGATTGTGGTTATTTACAAATTATATTTCTAGATAACTGACAAATAATTATAAGTCCAAAGAATATCTTTTTTTAATAATTAAATGCAAATAACAAAATTTCTAGATGAAGTGAAGACAAATAATAATAATCAATTGAGTAAAATTTAGTCATTTCAAATTTCTTCTACCATTTCACCTAATCTGCATTTATTTTCAGGGGAACATGTCTCTATTTGAATATAAATAAATAATACTTGATATCATCTCTAAGTTAACTTACATATGTTTCTTCTCAAGGCTTTTGAAAGCGATCATTCCTAAATTTGTTTGATCATCTGAATCAAGTTTATGTGTATAATCATCAAAAGATGCTTTCTTTGTAAACTATTTAGATGCAGCACAACCCATTTATTTATTTTATAGCTTATTAATAAATATATATGAAAATAAGATTTTTTTATTTTGATTAAATATCTTAATCAAAAGAAACACGCGTCATTGCAATTTGTATAATAAGCTTTAATTGATTAGTTAAATGATTATGATAATATAAATTGACATTCACTTCTAGAGAATTTCTTATTTTTGACTGAAATATAAAAATATATATACATAATTTTGATCCTATCATTTCGATATATTTATTATATTTATTTGAACAACTCTTCAGTTTCAGGTCTTTACTCTTAATCATTTTACAAACACTATGAGATTAATGATATTAGTTTATTATTGTAGTCAAATCCATTCTCTAAAAGTTTTTTCTCAATAGTTTTGACACTAAAATTTTCTTATCTTTCAGTCTAATCTAAAAAGCCAAACTAAAATAAAGCTTATCCTCTATTTAATATTAATAAAGAAACTAATCCATAAACGTAAATATCAGATTTTATTGTAAATTTCTCCATACTTTCTGGAGGGAGATATAAATATTAATCACCTTATTGAGTGCCTTGATTCAAATCTTATTCTTTAGCTTTTTCAAAATCTCCAAGATAAAAATTAGCACTCAACAAATTTTCATCATCTAAATATATAGATGATGGAGAAATGTTTCTGTGCATAAAACCTAATGAGTGGAATGCCTAAATTCCTAGATTATAGAAATAATAGTTTACCACTAATTATTTGTTTTAAAATTTTAACAGCTAGCTTTTAATATTATTTATTATTGATTTATTAGCTATTTATTTTACTTTAAGCACTTAAAAGGTTCATAACGAATTTTACTTCAAAAAAAAAAGTTTAATCAAACAATGTTAAATAAGAAAAATTTATAACTATATTTTTACAATCAGACAATTTTTCTGATATTTAAATCTTTCTTTTTTAATATTCTAATAATTATTATTTATTAAATCTAGATTGATCAAAACTTTTGTATAAGATAGTCTTTGCTTTAATTTTAAAAACAATTTCAAAAACTTTTGGTGTTACAAATTCAATTGTATATACATCCTCAAATCCCTTAGAGGATGCAACTTATTGAATTTTAAAGAAATTAAGTAATCCAAAATGATTCTATTAATTTATTACAAAAGCTTAATTTAAGGATAATAAAGATTTAATTATTTTTTCAAAACTATCTTATTCTATAAATTATTTGTATTGTTAAAAATATCTAGATGCGAAATTTTTAAATATTTCAAGATTTGTAATATTCATAGAAAAATGATTATCATCTAGATCAACTGCTTATAAAAATATACATTCTTCAATCAAATACAATTACTTAATAGAATAAAGATTCCATGTTATATTCTTTAAACTTAAATCATTTAAAGCTAAGTTATAAGTTATAATAAATCAATTACTTATAGCAATTTATAGTAATATACTTTGTATAACTTTTGGATTTAATTGATTCAAAATTTGTTCATTCAAGCGATATTGTGACCAATCTTTTATTATAATTAGAATATCTTCATTTTAGATTATTTTATCATGTGGTTAGAGTATGTTAAATAATTTCAAACTAAATATTGATTGGAAATGCTATTCATTATGAAAGAATTTAGATTTTATTTTTCTCAATAAATAATATGGCTCTGAGTATTCATTTTTGTATTTTTCTTCTATTTTATGAAATATAATAAGTGAATTTTTATTGTAATTCATTTCAAGAGTCTTGTATACTGCTCTGTAATCATCAGAATCCATAGAGATGTAATAGAGTATATTTTAGATAAAATAAATAATTAAGATTGAATAATATCATCCTAAATTTCTTATAACTTTAGTTCTAAAATTTTACTACGACTTAGTTCCTGGAGTTCTTGTGAGGGAAGTAAAAGTTGTAGCATATGTTCTTGCAAATTAATTATCATCTTCATTTTCTTCTGGAATTTCAATACCCTAACTATTTAATTCCCTTTTTTTTTCTCTATATTCCTTATTCATACTATCTAATTATGTTTTTAATTCTTATTTCTTCTCTCTTAATTCTTTACATTATTTTATTAAGTGTTTATTTTAGTCTTAAATAGTGTCATAAGCAACTTCTCTTTAACCAAGCTGATATTTTACAGAAGCTTCAACTTCAGAGAGACTCTATTACAAATATTATTTTTGACTTGACAGTGCTTTATAAATAGCATTTTATTAGCTTTGATCAATTTATTATTATAGAGGATCCTTTTACATATCCTTTAAAGTTTCTTAAAAGACAGGATTTTTTATCGTTATTGCCTTAGTATTCTCTTTTTAGACCATGTGATATAATTCTTCCAACTTTTCTGGCCAATCCTCTGTATCACTATTGATTAATGTTTATATAGAAGATTTAAAATTCTCCATATTTCTTTTTGATAAAGATAAAACAGTTAAGGCAGATTTGAGTTAATTTTTAAAAATGTTTAAATCTGTTATTAATTTTCTTTCTTCTTCAATTCGAGATTACTTTAATCCTGATTCTTCTATCAATTCATTATAGAGGTTTTTTACATGTTTCTAAAATAATTAATTTAATTTCTTTTTACTTCCATATTTTTTAGATGATCCATTAAAGGCTCTCTTTCATCTTTTAATGTATTAACTCTGTAATCATAAACCTTTTAAAAATTTTGTAAATGAACATTCTTCATTCTAAAATCTTTGATTTGTTATTCTCTTTAATTTATAAGCTTTTCCTTCTCTCTTAAATCTGCCAACATCATCTTATGCTTTTCTTCATATCCTTTCAATTCTTATCGTAAACTTTACAAAGATTCATCAGTCTCTATTTAATTTAAATGAATATTCTACCTTTTTTTAAATTATATAGAATTTCTTTTCTATTTTGATATCTAACAATTTCTTTTTTAAACCGAGATATACTAGATCTTAAGATTTCTGTTTGAGTATTATATTCTTCTAATTTTGCCTTTAAAGATTATTGTGATTCTTTATAAAATGTTTCATAATCCTTCTCACTTTATTGCAAAACTTCTTTGAATTTTCTCTGATCCAATTTCATATTAGACATAGCTTAACTAAATCTAGTGAATAAGTCTTAATATTTCTAACAATATTCATCATCTACTTAAGAAATTGATTATTAGTATTCAGAATTAACTAATCTTCTTTCATCATCCTATTATTTAATTATGTTTTATAATTTTTCATTTAATTTATCCCTTATATCATAAATTGATAATAATTTCTTAGAATTTTATTCATTCATTTCTTCAATCATTTTTTTGGAAGTGGCAATCAAATTCTTTTTATCTTCTTTAATCTTATTATTTTTAGCATCTGATTATTAAATTGTTTGTGATAATGAATCTTAAACTTTTTGAATATCTTTAGAATGTTCTTCACGTATTTTCTTAAGTTTATAATCATTATTATTTAATTAAACTTCTTTGGCATCATCAATATCACTCTTGAAATTCTACAATCTATATTCTAATTCTTTTAACTACTCTTATCTTATTTCTTAAGCAGTAGTAGAACATAAACATAAACTATTAAGTGCAAATGTATTAGTAATCTTATTTTCAATATCACCTCTGGTAATAAGATCTAATTATGTAATCTAAGGTAAATAAATATATATATGATTACTTCTTCACCATTAATGAATTGTTTGATTTTACTAAAGAAAATACTTCCATCAATTGATGAACTTATTAAATAGCTATTATCGGGAGATACTTTAATAGCAGTAACAGCTAATTAATGTACAGGAATTTCTATGGATTCCATCATTTTAGGATTGAAATGATAAAAAGGATATGAATATACTCTAATTGATCCTTAGGTGGTCCCAAAGAATATAGCATTGTATCTATGACTAATACATATGGCACTAAATTATGTAGGAGAAGTATCCACTTCTAAAACCAAATTCTATCCTTTTTCATGATAAACCTTTAATTTTTAATCAGAAACTCCAATAACAAGATCATATTCAAAATCATAACACAAACTTTGATATTTATTCTATTTTTAAGCATGTTCCAAGATTCTTTCTCCAGAGAGTAGATTCCAAACATATAAAATACCAAATTGACATTAAGAAATCAATAGATTATCCTATAATATTAAACAATTTGATTACTCTATCTATAAATAATAGATCCTTAAGATTTGTTTAATGATTAGGTAATACACTTATCATTTTATAAGTTAATGGATTATATAATTAAATTTGATTTCCATTTGCTGCAGCCAAGATGTGTCCTCCTTCACTATAAGTAAGAGCATTACAAACTTTAGTAGTCTCATTATGAACTAATTTAAGATCATCATCCAATATAAAATAGAATCGAAGACTACAAAATTATTATATTAATTTAATTACCCATCCTTAAATCCAATTGCACATTAATAACTTAATGGATGAATAGCTACTGATAATGGAGTTTCATGAAATTAATGTGAGAACATCTCTTTAAAATCATTTGAATAATCCCAAAATTTAATATTTTTATCATCACATACTGATGCTATTATTGATCTCATAGGAGTAGTAGCAATATTAAATATTGTACCTTTATGAACACCCTTCTCAAATAATGGTTCAAATGGATCCTTTTAAACTGATTTCAAAGCTTCTACAATTGCCAAATTAAATGTAAATAATTCTAACTTTCCTTAATAATTCTCCAATATTTATTCACATGAAACAATATTATTTAATACTTATTATTAACCTAAAGCAACTTAATATGCAGAACGATTAAAATAAATTACTGTTAATGCTGCATACATCTCATCAGTAGCCAAATGAATTTAATGAATACCATATATATGTTCATCTTTTATAAAATATGTACCCACCAAATTTAAAATATAATTTTCTTATTCTGTCTCATCTTATTCTATCTCATACACCTACAAAGCAGGTTTACCTATTAATCCAATTATAAATCCTTTATTAGTTTTCGCAATTGTTGATATTCTAACATTTACTAATTTTTCTTATTCAGTTGGCTTATTTTTATCCTTATTAATTTATTCTAGCTTAATAATTTATTGAATACATAATAAATGATTTGATTCTTTTTGTTAAGTTTATAGTTCAAATTTGCCTACTCTCTTATCTCCTTTAATCATAATAAGATTGTTTTTACTAGTTGCAACGATTGCATACTTTTTTTCAGAATTAAAGCAAACCCCAACTATATTTTCATCTTATTATAATTCTAAGATGTTTATGAAATTATTCTATATTTCTAATCCACTTATGTCAGCTTAATATTTGTAGGATGTTAGAAATTATGGTCCAATAAGAAAAAACTCTAAATCATTTATCTATTCTAACATATTTATTTTTTATTTGATGAGTGTATAAGAAAGTGAAACTTCTTTACTAACTGCAAACAAACTCATTCCATAACCATCTTCTTAGGTTGATAAAGATATTAGATGCTATTTATTAAATATAATGGTACCTTTCCATCATTAATGAAGAGAATCTCATGAATGTTACTATTTGGCAATAAATGAGAATGCACACATTAATAGAATCGTTTCTTTTTTCGATTGTAAACCTTTACAGTTGGAAGAATCTTGCTTGTAGATTTGAATGCTATTGAAATAAACAATTTCTATCCATGTGAAACATGAAAATTCAATGCCTACACAACTTCGTCTTCTGCACTCTTCATTATATATGTTTATCGCTTTCGTATAATATCATAAAGCACTATATGTTTACCACTTATAAACATAAGAGTGTCATCATTCACAAACATACAATTCTTTCTTATTGGGTTCTACAAACATCCAAATGATGCTTCTAATGTTATTGATACACCATTTATTATTTAATGTGATGATTTAGATAACATTTATTGCTTTATCACTTTTTTTCCATTCAGAAACCACTAATCCTCCATATGAATTTTAGGTTAGTTATATTTATAATTAATAATTCAATATACTTCCCTTATTATTTCTTTACAAGATCGCATAAGATTATATGATTACAATAATTGTGATGAAAATTTCAAAAATACAACTTCATTTCCCTCTTTTCTTTGTCTACATTGTTTACTGTTCAATGTTTGTTACTAATTTTTCTACCATTACTAATTCTTATTCCATACTCCTTACTTAATCAATCAGAAAATTATTTCGAACTTCCAATTAAGCTATTTTCTATTAACTTTTAGCCATCAAATCTTCCTCTACTTTCTTTTAATTTTCTTATAAAGAAATTCTTAAATAATGCACTTCACTCACTTATTGATTTAAATCTAATATTGCCTCATGATAATAAACAGTTTTGCCTATCAAAAAGTCTAGTTTTTGTTTTACAATTTAATTCTGCTCATTCAATTCTTTTATTTAATTTTCATATTTTTATTTTATTTCCTACAAAACCTCTTCATTTTATCTTATCTTTTTAGAATAGTATAAGAAATCTGATTTTTATTATTCTTGATTTTGTTACAACTAAACTTACATTACTTTACAAATGTCATTTGAACAAGGATTATTTGATGTTCCATCCTATTTTTGACTAACCATTTAAATCAATTACTCTACAATCAATTGCAATAATTAATCTTATTCAAATTCAACATTTCCTAGTATATGTTTTTAACTCAAAATCTTATCACTTAACAATTCATAAGATTATTTTAATTTTTACAATTCTGAAGTTTTTCTTTATACTTTCTTTTCAAACATCTGCTTATCTTAATTTAGTTTCAACAATAATTCTTTCAATTCTTAATTTTATTTTAACACTTCATCAAGGGTTTAATTTTGCATTATTTTTTATAAAATAATAATTTTTATACATATAATCATTGATTCAATTGAGATGATCTAAATACTTTATAATTAAAAATTAAATTACAAAGAATTAATATAATTTCTGTTAATTCAGAGATTCATTTATACTGTGAGTTATTTCCAATTAAATCTTAATTTTTATAGAATATTGCCTGACATAAAAAAACGAATAATGGAAAATAGAGAAATCGAGGATTCTAATAAACTAAATAATGCAATAAAATAACATAAATCTACAGCAAATCAGGCTTATTTCAATTTTATTAAATCAAATTTAGGAATAGGTATATATATTTTTTATTATTTCCTAAGGTGTCATTGTACTTCCTTTTGTCACTTATTAAGTAGGCTTGCTATGGTCTGTTGTTCTATTCATTCCTATAGCCTTCAGTTGTTTAAAGTAAATTTATTTGCTAAAAGTACGATAGATCCAGTCATTTTCTCATTGAAATAGCAGATGATATGAATATAGAAAATATTCTCTATGCTAATATAATAAAATAGACTTTGGGATATATTTGGGCTCAAATTCTAGATATCGCCATAATATTACAATTAATAGGACTTTGCATTGCATATTTGATATTTCTTACAGAATCTTTAGCTTAGTCTTTGCATCAAATAAACATTGAAATGACTAAATTATAATGTCTGTTGATTACATTAGTAATAGTGATTCCCTTAACATTTGTAAGAAAAATTCATTTTTTCCATTCCACCAGTAAATATGGCTTTTATTGTGCTTTGGCTTCATTCTGCATTATTTTATATGATTGTCAAGATAGAGTTTCAGTAGGAAATTTTCATTTTTCAAATTTAATCCACTTCAAAAGTAATTACAAAAAATATATTATATAGATACATTCAATTATGTAGGAGTAGCTATTCTATGTTGTGAGGGGGTTTTCACAGTTTTACCAATTAGAGACAGCATGAAGAATAAATTTGAATTTAAATCTGTTGCCTCATAGAGTTTATTGACTGCCTTTGGAATTTCAATTTTTTTATCATTGATTAGTTCTTCTACTTATTAAGGAAATACACAATCAATTGTTTTATTTAGTATAGAAGTATTTTATCAATTAAAAAATAGAATCCTATTTTAGAAGTGATTTCATTGATTTTATACTCTATTAGTTTATTATTAACCTTTCCACTTTAACTTTTCCCAGCTGTTTAAATAATTGAATAAATGTTTTAAAAGAATATGATAGAATTTATCAATTTCAATGATATAGAAGAAAATTCTAATTAAGAATCTCCTATCTCGAAAAATATTGCATCTACAAATGATAAGATTGATGATATTGAAGTTGATAAAGATGATTAAGTTTTCGAAGATAGACTTTTATAAATCATTATAAGAAGTCTGTTGATGATTACTATTTATTTTATAGCCTATTAAATACCACATTTATCGCATTTTTTGAATTTAATTGGAAGCATTTTTGGATCCCTATTACAAGTATGTATTTAATAAATATTAATTAGTTTTGTTTTCCTGTTCTTGTTCACATTATTTATTTCAAAAATTCTAAGTCAAATAGACCTGTTATTCAATATGCAATCATCTTGATTGTTTCAATGCTAGCAATTGTCTTAGGAACAGCAGAATCCTTAAAGCATCTAGTTTGAAAAAGCAATCAAAATTGTAATTATTATTTTGTTTTTATAATTAATATTAATGGATTCTAATTTATATGTAAAATTATCTCCTTAAGGTACATAAAAACATAAGGAACTGGAATAATAATGTTTGAAGAAGTTTATATATTGGGTAGCTGTAGCAAATATTTCAGGTGCACTTGGAGGTTAACTTATGATGTATATCCCAATGTCAAGCAGATAAAAATAAATGAGGTAATTTTAGAACGATAATTTTATTTTTAGATTTAGAAATGGTATTTTTTTAACAACTGCTTTAATGTTGAGTTATCATGGCTATAAATTATCAAAAAGAGATTTAAGAATTGGATAAAAAGAGATTATTCAAAATAAAGATTATGTATTATCACCATCTTGAGATATTCTTTATAAGGCTATTTAAGACAATTATTATAATTTATCAAGATGGTTACTATAATTAGATTAAATACAACCCAATAATTCAAAATTCAAAGATGTTACAAAAAATATTCTTTAAAAAAATCTTTTATTCTTGGACATTAAGAGAATTATTCTCTATTCCTAATCTAGAGCAAATTCCTTTTTCTAAAAAATCTATCTCTTTTTCATCAAAGAGTAAATTAAATAGAAAATCTATTTTGTTTGATACTAAACTAATTTTTTTAGATTAGAAATAAAGTCTAAGTTATGATAAAATCCATTTAAGAAATTCCTCATCTTGAACACTAGAAATGTTAACAAATTTCCCAAAATCGATTTTTTAAATAGATGATTACCTTTAAGATTTATCAGATAGAGTCATTTCATTAAATTGTACTTCTAATTCAGTCATTTCTTTTAAGTTTTATAGAAATTCTTTAGATCTAGGTTTTTTCTTTTCTTTTTTGATTTTAGTTTTTTATGTTTCTTCATTTTAATTGAGTTGATCCATAACCCAACTTTCAAAAAATGATTAGTTCATAATGGAATTGTAATTAAAAAATTACTAAAAAAATAGTTGATAATTAAAAAGCATCATTTATATTCTTTTTGTTAGTTTTTAATATTAATAGATTAATCTTTTAATTTATCAGGTTGATTACATTATTATTAATGAAAACCTTCATATTAAATGAATAATATTGTAATATAATATCATCGTTTTTTCATGTTTTCAATATAAAAAAATAATAATACCTCCTTTGCTAAAAATTTTCAAGGGATTATTTATATATTAATTAAATTAGATCCTAATAAAATAAATCACTTTTGTTTATGGAAATAAAATAAGTATGGAAGATCATAGTATCTTTTCTAAATTCAAACACACTAAATTTTTGATTATTCCAAATAAATTTTCTCTGAAGGATTAGAATAGGTAAGCCCAATTTAATTATAAAGGATTAGACCAGTTAATCAATCATACTTTTAATAGAATTATATGTACATTCTCATAGTTGAGTATTTTGTAAATATTGTGATAATTCATCATAATTTATTAAAATTAGAATTTATTTATTAATAAATGATGAAGTTTCCTAAAGGTCAATTTTTAAATACTCTCTAACTTTTTAAAATAATTATTTAGATAAAGATTTTAAAGAATATTTAAGAATACTCTTAGTAGGAGTGTTAGCTCATTTGGTAGAGTGCTTGATTTTCCAATTAAGAGGGAGGGATCGAAGCCCTGCACTCCAAACTTTTTTATATTTATAAAATATTTTTATCCAGTTTAGGAAGTGTCTTCAATGTTAGGTTCAATTTAAGTGAAAGTATATATCAATTTTTAGACTTAGGAATACCCAATCTTTGATGTTAAGAAAGGTGTATTAACTAAGAAAAAAGTAAAATTCCATATTATGATGATGAAGAAGTTGAAATCAAGTTTGAATGTGAAGAATCTTAATATTGTACTGCTAATGAAAAGATTTTAAAGATTTCACCAAAAGGTTTTTATAATAATCTATGTTTAGGACTTGATTTATTAAGAATTAGAATTTTGGTTCCAAATAATTTTTAAGATAATTAGATATCATTAACAGTTGATGCTTATGATAATCATACTGGTTTAATAAAATGGAAGATCATATTTAAATTAAATATTGTGAATTCATGAGAATAATAATAATAATATATAATATAAATATATTATAATAAGAATGTCAATAAAAAGTAAAATAGTTACTCAAGTTGAAGATGGATAAGCGGAACATCTTGCTAAATTGCTTTATCCTCCATATTAAACATATTTCCATTAAGCGAAAGTAGCTCATTCAAAATAAACTCTATTATCTTCATTATAATAGGTTGGATTGAATGTTTAAGAATTTTAAGACAAACCTGTTCAATTGATCATGTAAGAATGTGAGTAAAAGTTAAAGAAAACTTATACTGTTAAAGTAGTAGGAATTAAAGATGGAGAATTAGCAGTTATCTCGAAAAGATTTGCTTTGCCAAAGAAGAAATCAATGAAGTAGATTTCTAACAAAGGTATAAATTATATAACTTTATAGAGGATCCAATATTTCAATTATCTTAATAACCATACTAAATTCATAGTTAATTTCCAAATAAATAATTGAAAGCTGTCAAAAAAGTAAAAGATCCTTAAGATGAAGAATTTAAAAAGAGATTATTAAATTGGCAAGCTGAATAATTTGAAAAAATGAAAGGAAAACCCTAAGTAGAAGATACTTCAGATGAAGAATAGAATTAAGATTCTCAGTCTTTACCATAATCATCCTCTATCAAAAACAAAAAAAGTTTACCTAGGATTAAATTATAAAAAATTAGAAGATCTGAAAGTCCTAAAAATGAGAATTCAGAAAAAATAGGAGATACTTAAGAAGTTTATGCAGTTTTTCATAATTAAAAATAATCTCAAAAAATGTCATATAGTAGATTATTAAATCATGTGAATGATAAATAAAAAAAGAATGATAAAACTAACCACAGTCCACCGTTAACTAATTAATTAGTTGTTGTTAATATCAATAAAAAAGCACCTGAGCCTCCTAAATTAGGTGGTGTTATAATGGAATTAGATGAAGAACATGAAAATTATCAATCAGATAAGAAATAACATGATGAATAACAATAATAATAAACTTAATAAAGTTCTTCGTTATAAATTACTCAATTTGTTTTGAATGATACAGATGCCATGTAAAAGAGACTTAAGAAAATTTAAGAAAAATTACATCATAGTGAACCAGAAGGATTATTTTGATTACAATTTAAATAATAAAACTCTAATAAACAATTAATAATAATATCTAAATATATCATTTTAAATAATCTATTCTATTTCTCTGCCTAACTGCAAGCAATTCTTAATGCTTTCTGTAAAACTTTATTAAATTCTCTATCATTATTGTTAAACATTTTTTTAATAGTAAGATATTTCTATATTTATTTTTTTTTATGCTTTCTTCCTCTTTATACTAAAACTTATATTTTATTTATTTCTGATAGAACTATTAAGAAACAATCAATATGTTCAAATTTTCACTTTAAATAAGAAGGTCTAATACCTTTTGAATCACAAACTAATTTAATAATTAGATCCATTTTAAGCATTTCAATAAGTCTTTTTAGTTCTTTATTAAATATATTAAATTAAATTTAATTACTACTTCTTTTTCTTTGTAATAGTTATTTATTAGAAATTTTTTTAAATACAGTTGAATTTTTGTTATAGCATTTTTTTATTTCTTTATAATTTTCCTTACTCTAGATAATTTATTATTAATTATATTTTTATTCTGTGATTAAAGGATTTAAATGATTTGAACATTTATTGACTGACCTGATAGTTACCATGATGATTATTATATTCTAATACTTCTATTTTCTTTATTTTTAATTATTTTATAAAAAAATGATTAAAAATAGGTTTGATAGAATTATTTCAAATTATTTGCAAAGTCATTAGATTAAATAATTTTTAGATGTATTTCTATTATAAATGATATTAGAACATATTAAACTAAGTTAAATAACTTACAACAATATTAAAATATGGGTAATTCTGAATTTTAGAAATAAGAAACTGTATACGAAGCTAGAAGAGTTTCAACAAAGCTGCATCATTCATCAGGAATTGATATTAGTTCTGGAGGTTATTTTAAACATGAAGGGGTGATAGTTAGAACATAATAAGGTAATAGATATCTAATCCATCATCCTGGTCTAATTTCAACTGTTACTGTGACAGATGATTTTCAGGATAGAGAATGGGAGACAAAAGAAATTATAAAAGTTAAAGGTACTCCAACAGTGGATGAAGTAAAGGAAAGCGCTGATGGCCTAACAAATCTTCCAGTTGTAAATTATCTAACAGCACTTACTTGCATTGGAGCTGCATCAAGAGCATAAGAAACTTTAGAAGGAAAATAACCTATAATCAGTAAAGGACAAACATTAGGTCTTATAACAACAGTCTTTTTAACATTTTGTCAATGAATTTGAAAAGATTGTTTATTTAAAACTTGAATATCTTCATTTCTTTAATTAGATTTATAATTATTGATGTATAATGTAATAAGTATTAAAAATAGTTAATCTATAGACCTACCTTAAAATTCAGATGGATTCACTTTTATTTTATATTACTGTTTATTATATTCGTTTATTAGTTTGTAAAAGTTAATTTTCTTCTTTTAATTTAATTGTGATAATTTCCTAAAATTTGTAATATATATATAGATATATAGCTATTTAGTTAATATAAAATCTTATAGTGAAATATTATGATCACTAAATAATACTGTTTCAAATAGTTTGGAATAGATAATGACTTATTAATCAATTTCTTATTGTTTAACATTTAAATAAGAAATCCAGTAATTCTAGTGATTCGAGTGTCTGAATAAGTAACAAGATTAAGTGGCTTGTCTTATTTGAAGTCCAATCTTACAAAGTTTTAATAGTAGTTTGACTGATAAATAATGAAGTTTGTTTTAGAAAAGAGAAGTTAATCAGATATAAATAATTGGATGTTAATAATAATAAAAAATAACAATTTTAGAAGAGAATTATCGGACTAAACAAGTTGTAAATATGAAAATATTTAGTTTAAATTAATAAATATAGAATAATGGGAAATAAATAATAATAAGCCAAGTAAAGAGATAGCAATTTGAGTATGGTAAGTTATGGTAGGTCTGTTTCCACTGCACCAACAAATGAATCAGGGATGCTTAGATTTACTACTGATGGAAGTATGAGTTCTTCAATTTTTGGGGGAATAGAAACATATTTCAATCGATTACCAAATCCAGTAGTCGATGGAATTTGCAAGTTTCTCACAATTAATGATCTTACCAATCTCTATTGCACTAGCAAATTTGTTTATGAAAGATTTTACACTTCACTTCCATACTCTATTAAATGTGGGACTCTATTGTACAAGTTGTATGAGGATCGAAGAGGGATTGTTAAAAATGCTATTGAAACTAAGCATGGATCTTGGCCTTAGGTCTTAGAAGTTTTTATGCAAAATAAGTATTAATATGTGTTTATGATCTTTAATAGAAAGCAAATGAAGAATCTCCAATCCAATCTCAAAGAATCACTTTAACAAGCTTATCAATAACATATTATTTATCCACCTTTATTAATGGATGAAGTCACTAAAGAAGGTTTAAACTCTGATTTCTAGAAACAAATCATGCAAAAGTTATAGAGTTCTTAAGAATACCAATCTATTACTGAAATACAAATTTTAAATTAAACTAGAACTTTTTTCAAAAAGCCATAAAACTCTAAATAATTAATGATTACTAAGTTATTAGAAATCAGAACTCTAAGAGAATTTCAAATAGATTTAAAGTAATACTATGTTTTATTTTTAGATTACCATAGTTATTCAATATTATTATTTTAATATGTTCAACTATTAAATCCCTTTTGTAAATTATTGCTTTAACACTTGAATGTGCAACAGCTACTAATGATTCTATTGGATAATTAGATTTCTATCTCTATAACTTTCAGATGTATTTAATATGGATGCAACAAATAGATTAACATGTTACTCCTTATTTACATCTTTTTGATATTACACTTAAAGAATAAATTACTTCTTATCATTTCCCACCTTTCACAATTCAATGGATTATGATGAAAATGTGGAATCAATATATTTATTCAAAATCCAAACATAATTTGAGATCAATTTTCTTATAATAATTATATGCTGTTAGAATGGATACATCACTTAAATATGAATAATATCTTTTAAAAGATTATGTCAAATCATTAATAGATTTATCAACAACCTAATCAAATGTTAGAATGGCTGGTCATTCAAAATTTAAATATATTAAAGACTTAGAAAATTTATTCATTATTGTTATAGAATAAACTTCCAATCTTTATTCAGAAAATAAAATTAATTTTTTCAAAGACATCTCCGTTCTAGGATATATATTTTAAAAACATATCCTAGAAAATAAATTAATTCCATCACTTTTAGAATAAAAATATTCAACAATTTAATCTCAAATTGAACAACTTAAGTAAAGTTCTGAATTTTAAAGAAGAATATAAAAATATAATGATGAAAATTTACTTATGACATAGCAAACGGATTATTCTTTTTAATTACTCAATATTAATAAAGTTTTTTACAAAATAAAATCAATTATTAATTGCGAGCCTTTGCAATAATAGATAATTAGATTAACAATTAACTATTAAAAAAACACTTATGACAAACTATCAACTTATATAAAAGATTATCATTCAGACCTTTATGAAGAAATCTCAAAATTAGCTGACTTAGATGTAGTTTCAACTGAGAGTGTTTAAATCAGAGATGCAATGATATTATATAGAACCTAATCTGAAGCATATGATGATCATCTTATCTCTTACGATGAACTTATTGATGTTGAAACTTTAAAATAATTAATCAAATAAAAATCAGCTAGTAATTCTAAAAAGAATTCATTATTGTTAAAGAAAACCAAATCGGAACCACCAAAATTGCATTAGCAACCAGATTTAAATAATTTTTTACCAATTACAATCGTTACTGGATTAAATCTAGCCTAAAGTTTAACCGAGTAGTTCATTAGCTAATAATGATTCTATATTTAATTCAATTTTGTTTAATATTTAATAATTAATTCAATTTTTTTATTTTATTAATCAATAATTTATAATTTTTGTTGTTATTTATGGTCTTGTTAATTTATGTTAAAGAGAATAACTTATTATTGATACTTTTAGGTTTCTTATTTATGTAATTCAAAACACCATCTATATTTTTTATCTAAATTCTTTCTAATTACACTTTTAAAAGATGATTTAGTAAAATATTTTCAACCATCTTATTCATTCTTGAATCTTGTTCAATTAATAGCTTCTTTGTTATATTTAAACAAAGATTTATTGAATAAGCTACAAATTTTCTATTAAAGTCCAATCAGTTCATATTTTATCCATATTCAGAAAAGTTTATAAATTCTATCAATTATAGTAATAAATTGTTTTTCATTGACCCAAAATTCTCAATTGTGTTTCCAAGTGTCCTACTATTTCTCTTATTTAATTAATGAATGATGTTTTGAGAAAATTATTATAAAATAGCAAATTTATGTTATGGTTTTAAACGTTAACAAAAACATGAGGTATCCTTAGTATTTCACATAAAAACTATATTATTTTGAAATGGTAAATATTTAAGAGAAATAATTAATAATAAAATTTTAATAATATTAGCAAAACTGATATATAATATAAAAGTTCATAAAATAGATTTTAAAAAGTTATCAATGTTTTTAAACATCTTTTCTTATTATTTAATATCAGATTCAAATTCTTTGTCTCCATTTAATACTAATATTGAAGTATTTTTATGATTTTCTCTCAATAACCATTCTTCATGTCTATTATGAATTTATATCAGATATTCCTAAGAAATTGTATTCTTAAAATAATAAAAATAGAAGTATTACTTTTTCTTCTTCCCTTGCTCGCTTTTGTATTCTTAAATGACAGACCTCTGGATCTACTTGCAAATAAATAATCATTTGCTTTTAAACTTTCTTTCCAAATACTTCTTAACATAACCAATCATAGAATTTCTCATATAAAGCAAATTCTAAATTGTTTATTATTCCATTTTTATGACCATTCACTGCAAATATTTCTTTGTCTGCTTCTATACTTCTTTCACTAAGGATTAGATGTTTATTTTTTGGAATATTCGGATCAGAGAGAACTTCTTTCCAATGTTTTAATCTACTAAAAAAGGCATAAACCTGCATTGTGTAAGCCCATCTAGTAGGGTTTTCATAAAAAGAACCTAATAAATTTAAAGTTTCATCTCCATTAATATTTCTCCATTCATTAACAGGTTCAGGAATAAATCGTAACTAAATATATAACCAGAATTACATCAGGATATTTTTATTATATCAATTTTAAAAGTGTGCTTTTACCAGAACCTATATTACCTTCAATTGAAATTAGAGTATATTAGTTTGATTTCATTAAAATTAATATGATGAATGCTTTTTATTTATGCTTTATGAAACAATAAATCTCATTATAATTATTAAACATATTATAAATATAATTTCAATATACTCAAAAATTAGTTAGTTTTTTAGTGAATATGATAAATAATTAATTAACAGAACTAATAAATCATGAATCTTACTCAAATCCTTCATTTTAATAAGGTTCTTAAGAGTCTTTTTATTAAGATTATTCTAAAGTTATAAATAAAGAGTTAGCTTATTAATCTTTCTTTTAATCATCTGTTTCTTCTAATGGATTTACAATATTATCATTCACAGTTTTAGCTTCAATTGTTTCTATAACTTTTATCAAATTATTTTGATTTACACTTTCTAACAAGTTGATAGATTACTCAGTTTATTATTATTTTAATAACCTTTCATCATTAGATTTAACTTATTCTTGTATCATCTTAATAAAATTGTTATCATCTTACTTATCTTATGAATTTTTTATACTTTCTTATTTGAACTGATTGCTTTCATCAAGCTTTTCAAAAGTTTCTTTGTGTTCATCTTCTTCTGGAATTTTAAAAAAAGCAGTTCCTTAAAGTGAAATTTTTTCTTATTCATTTTTATTTTATTCAGTCTCTACTTAATTTTAAAATATTCCAGATTCATTAGAAAAGTCTTAGACAACATCTTCAACAATTTCTACAGGTACTTTAGTATTGGTTTTAGCAATATTAGATTCAGTTTCTTCTTTTTTTTCATTTTATGTATTAGCATCAATAATTTTGATTTAAAAAGGAATATTTTCTTATCTTCCATTATTTTTTTAATTAAATTATACTTTTGATTTCTATTTTTCTATTTTTTAAGAAGATAATTTTTTAAAATCAAATTTTAAACTCTTTTATTAAATTTTTGGTGGTAGAGTATCTCTAGCACCAACACTTCTTGATTATAATTGAATTGGAGATTGAGAAGTATTTGATGATGTATTTTCATTTCTATTTTATTTAGGTTTAGTAAGAACTAATTGAATTTCTTTTTGGTATTTTTTTTATAATGATGGCAATTATGCTATTTAAACTAATTTATTTTATTGTTATTAAGATTTATTTGATTAATTATTATTATTATTTTAGAAATTATTTTCATTAGGATTTTATAATTATAATTTATCTGTTAGATCTCTATTAGATTCATAAGGTTCGAAACCATTATTTTCATATTCATCTTAATTTTTTTAACTATTTTTTTCTAAAGTTCTTTATGTAATGATTCCTACATTATTTCCTGGTGTTTTACGATATTTTGAAGATTATTCCCTTCCTCTTTCATTATTTGAATTAACAGAGATTTCAACTTTTTTAATTTATGGTAATTTAGAAAAGTTTTTTTAGGTTTTAATATTTTCTACTTCTTTTTTATGAGTCATAGAATTAGCTCTTAATTATCTTGTTAAAAGTTGTGTAGCTTGATTAATTTTTTTTAATTCTTTTTGTTATTTAATAATAGCACCATCAATTTATTCTTTAGGTAAATATGTAATTACTAACTGTTAAACATTCTAAACTGTTGTAATTAAAGAATCAAGAAATGTTACAAAATGTTCTTTAGAAAGTGATCTAGATATTTCAGATATTTATGTATTATTAGGTGCTTTAACAAAAGATTAATGTAAAGGTGACGATGATTTTTAGATACCAGATTTAAGATTAACTTTGGATTGATTCTATTCAAAATGCAAATCAAATAATTACAGAGGTTTAATCAAAAGACTTCGATAATGAATGAGGCAAATTACGCTAACTCAATCTATCTTGTTTTAATTTGCTCATCATTTATTGCATATGTAAATTCAAAAAGTATTATTCAAGATGAACATCCTTTTCAGGCTTATAATTAAGCACTTTACCTTTTTTTGCAGCAGCAATACCATCAAGTAAAAATGGGGGCTTGATTTTAGATTTTTATAGTTACATATATATATATTATAAATGAATTATGCAAACCCATTTTCATTAACATCTTATACTAGTTTTTTAAGTCCAAAAGACTAACGTAGCAGATTGACTAGTTTCCAATCTAATAATCAATCCATTAAATCAAATAAATCTGTATCTCCTAAAATGAATTTTATTCCACAACCTTAATTCCTTAAGACACAATAATTATCTCCTAAATCTTAATTCTTATCATAACATCAAAATCAAAAACTTACAAAAAAACCTATTGAAAGAATTAAATATGTTTCTGAACATACATCTACTCCATATTTATACATTCAAAAAAAACAGAATTCAATTCACTTTCCTGTTTTACCAAAATTATCACCTGAATCTAAAATTGAAAGTCCTAAAATTCCAAATATTAATATAATGACTGAACCAACTATTATAATTGAAGAATAAGCAGAAGAATAAGAAAGCAACGTCAAATAAAAAAAACAATTACAATTACTCTTAAATAATAATTTATTATAAGTCTCTTAATTATCACAGAATTAAGATGATCAATTATCAAATAGTAAATTATCAATAAGATCTAGATTTAAAAAAGCTGTGTAAAATTCCTTTCATTCTCCACCAAGGAAAGTATTATATTATATATTTAGTCCTTATTTAATGTAATTATATCCCATGAATTTAATGTACTACATGAAGAAGAGAAACCTTAACTTTTAAAAAAATTTGAACCAGGCAATTAAATTCTGGCTTAAAAGTTTACTATGAAAATTGAAAAAAATGTTTCAAAAAATTTAAAATATATAAAAGATATTCATCTAAAAAAGCAATTTGGACTTATTAATTTAGAATAATTTAATGTCTCTACTAAAGCATTTTAAAGAAAAATAAATCTAATTCATTCTACATCTTCAAGAAGTCTTATGCATTAAGAATAATTTTCATTATTACCCAAATCCTCAAGAAAATCTATTCATAGTATTAGCTCATAAATATAAAATAATGCATTTTTTATTAATTCCAATAAGAAATTAGATAAAATTAATTAAAATTAAAAATCACGAAATTCTAAAGAAAAAAAGTAGAATTTAGATTAAACAATTGAAGTTGAAAAAACTAAATTTCATATCATTATTACATATGAAAATGTTGAAAAATTATCTTTCCAATTTAATAAACCTCAACATTTAAATTAATAAAAAGTTATTACTGATGAAATAGTACCTCTACTATCACCTTAATCACCTAGATAAATAATACCATAATCTTTGATTTCTTTAAAGAATCTTTCATCAAGCAGATAACTTAATTAAAATTAATCTTCAAGAAATTTAGTTGCTAATAAAATATCTAAAATATCAATACCTAGTGTATTTTCAGAAGAAGCAGGATATAATCTTGATCTCAAATATGATTTTAGTAAAGTAATTATATTTATAATTAAAAAAGCCTAATCTATATGTTAGAGTTTACTATTAAAATAAATTATATAAATTGATGTAAAAAACTAATTATACAAAATCGAATTTAAAAGAAATAGAAGAAAACTTTAAACCTAAAATAGCCCTCAGTAATAGTACCATTATGACAAATGTTTATACAGTTATGTCTACATCAGAATAAGGTATCAGATAAAGAAAGATTACAAATGAAAATCTCAATGATAAGTTCTAATTTTTAGGGATTCAATTATCAAAATATAATATTGAAAAAGAAAAAATAATTTATCATTATGATGATGAATATTCAAATAAATCTGAAACCTTAACAAGTTAGGATTCTGATCAAGATATTTCATTAGACAATTTTTTAGAGAGTCCTATTTATAATAACAGTAAATTATCATATAAAAAAAAGTTTAGAACCAAAATCAAAGTAGATTAATTCTTTAAAGAGCCAAAAAACTCTATATTATTAAGACTAACATAAATAATAGTTATAAACTTAATTCATTAAAGATGATCCCATAGATGAAAAATGTAAATAGTTTTCTTATAAATAGAATTATCAACTGGAGCTTTGATTTTGATTAAAAAAAGAATGGCATTTTAAATACCTCTCTTTCTCTAACCAATAATAAGTATATTAGAATAGAAAACTAAAAATCATCTTTTAACTTATAATGTAATAATGTGTGACAATTATAAAATGGGAGTTTTGACTGATAAACATTAAAATGTTTATGAAAAATTGATTATTTATTAAAGAAACTCAACTTTAAATAAAGTTATCTGTTAGGCTATTGAATTTCGTTATCCAAGTATATTAATTGGAAGATACAATTGTTAAACAAGAATGATAGATGTTGAACATTAAGATCCTATTTCTTAAACAATGATACTAGAAAAACAGGAAAATAAATAGGATAAGTCTGATACTTTACCTTAATAATAGACATTGATAAAAAGTTCTGCAAGAATAACATCAAAAGAATTGAAAGATTCAATCACTAAAAGAAAAACAATTAATGCAAAAAGATAATAGGGATTAACTAAATAAGATTCACTTTAAGTTACTTAACCATAATAATGGAATAAAAGAACTATATTATCAGGAGAGTTAACGAATCCACTTACAATCACAAATTAATAAAATACTAATTTATTTACATAAGCTTCAACAGTTATGATTACTAAACCTACTTTAGCATCTCAATAATCTGTGTTTAAAGTACCAAGTTCTAAACATATCGATCTTAATAGTTCATAGTAAGATATTAGTTCGTCTTTTCACTCTTCTTAAAATGATGAATCTAGACGTTCTAGTAAAATAGAATAAATTTAAAATCAACATTCTTCTTAAACTTAATATGCTTAACCACCTTAATAATAAGTATTGAAAATGCAAAATTAAAATGAAGAAAGTTTTAAAAGTGTTTAAGAATAAAAAGATAAATTTCATTTATTACAAGAGAGCAAGGTATTTGTAATAAGATGATTTAGAATGCATTAAGTATGTATATGTATGCTTTAAAAATGAGAACTCATATTAAAGAATCTTAACGTAGATAAAAATTAGATACAAAATAATTAATTTAATTAGCTATTTATGATTATAATTTTACAGAGGTATTAAATTCCAATAATTTGTCTTAGTTTATAGATAATATTTAATTAATTCCTGAAATGTAAATAGATGTTCCTTTATAAAATGGAAATACTTATTTGATTTTAGCAGCTTAATGTGGATGTAAAGAGATTGTTTATGAATTAATAAAAAGAGGAGCTGATATCAATATTTAAAATGTATTATTTTACTAAGGAAGGATAGAATGATGGTAATACAGCAGTTCATTTAGCTTTAGCATATGGTCATTACTAAATTGCAGATATGTTAATATAGGCTGGAGGAAACACTCATATTTTGAATAAAGAAGGATTAAATGCATGGAGTGTCTTATGATACTAAATATTATATTTTTTATATTATAATTAATTAATAAATGGATTTAGACTAAAAGAAAAATAAACTTATGAATATCTATAAGTAAGTAATAATGTAACTAATTATTAGAGAAGCCTAAAAAATAGAAAATAAATTAAAGGTCTAAAATTTATATTCACTAAAAAGCATTCTTAATGAATTATCAAAATAATAAAAGAAAACTCCAAGTACATCTTTGCATACAACAGCAAGCAAAAGAAACTAAGAGTCAAAATTAAAAATAACTAATTTAGCATCTTCACCTAAAACTAGTTATCGTTCTACTTTGCAATTAACTAAAAGAAATCAATGGATCGATTTAATAAACTAACAATATTAACAATATATTCAGTCTGATTAAATTTCTATCACTGAATATCGGTATAATTACTATTCAAACTAGAACAATCTCATAAATGAATACAATTTTAATATCTGACTGGAGATAACCCTATTATCATAATGATATTCAGCACAAATCAAATGATATTGCAATACAGCATTTGAAAATTGTCGAAATGGAAAATTGGAAAGAAATATTATCCTAAAAATTATAGAAGAGAATATCTTAATGATATTTTAGTTAAGACAATTTTGAATAAATCACTAGTCTAACAATTCTTTAAAATATTAGTGTTTTAATGCTTAACTTGCTGTTATTCTTTCCTCTGGTATATACTTCAATAATTTACTATATGATTACTCAAATCAATAAAATTACCTAAGCAAATCAATAAATAAATCTTTATCATCTATATGTTCGAATTTTTTATTTAAATTGATACGTTCATAATTGGGGAACTCTTTAAATAATTTTCCATTGAAAGGAACTACTTTTTAATAATATTTAAGATCCTATTTAGAAAATGATCCTAAAATTCTTAGAATTTTAAAAAATTAATCTCCATCTGATTTCCCAATAAAAAAAGGTTCAAGTAGAGCTAATTCAGCCATAATACAACCCATAGCCCAAATATCAATTGAAACATCATATTCTGTTATTCCCAAAAGTAATTCAGGAGCTCTATAAAACCTAGATACAATATAAGGTGTATTGATAGTAACTGGATGAAGTTATTTAGCACTGCCAAAATCACAGAGTTTGATTTTCCCATCTTTCACTAAAATATTTTCGCTTTTTAATAATATTCTAAATTTACGGTTTTAAATCTCTATGAGCAATATGCTTTCTATGGATCTAATCAAGACCTTTAAATGTCTAATAGAGATAGTTCTTTAAGACTTTGCAATCTAAATAGATTTCCTTCTTTCTATGTTCTTGAATTATATCTTCTAAATTTTGATCCATAAATTCTAGTATGATATTTTAGATCATTTTATTATCTTCACTTTTACTATAGAATACATCCTACATAATATGTTCTTATACAAGTATTTTAACCACATAACTGCATTATTTTAATTACTATAGGATTTCACATTCTCTACTTTGAAATTTACCTACTTTTTGCATTCTTTTTAAGGCTACTTTTTAGCGTCTTTATTAATCAAAGGCTTCAAATACATATCCTTGTAAATATCTAAAAAGATTACCAAATGCTCCAGAACCAATAATCCTTATAATCTCGTAATTGGGCATACTCTATAGTTTCTCCATTTATGAAAATATTGAATTTAACTTAAAAGTTAAGTTATATATATAGATAATACGCATTATTATTTATTACTATGATTATATCATTAGATTGAATTTATAATAATTAATAACAATGAATACAAATCTCACTTAAGATGATGATTCAATTGAATTTTAAAAAGCTGTAACATCTCCATACAAATGTCCTCAACATCTACTAATAATAAATGATAGTTTATTCTTATTATCCATAAGAGAGTATGAAGAACCTGAGGAGACTTTTCTAATTGTTTCTGAAATTTAATAAGACATTCAGATTGTTATCAGTTCAAAATTTGTTAAAGTAAATATTTAAATAATGATTAGAGAATTAGATACACTATAACAAATCCATATAACATAGAATTGATGATAAGTTCCTTAAAAAGAGCCTAATAATTCAAAGATGATAATTTATAATAAGTACATAGATATTGAATATTTAGGTTCATTAATACATGATTGAAAATTAAACTTCTATACAAATCTATTCTTCTTATGCAAATTAGTGTAATTACTTATAGGAAAGAATTTAAAATGAATCTAGAATATTATAAAATGAAATTAAGTTAAGATCATATCTTTACAATGTTTTAGAAGGACTTAAATATATTCATGAAAACAATTGTGTTCATATGTGTATTACTCTATAGAATATAGAATGCCATAAAGAAGAGTATAGATAAGTAAATAATTGTTTAATTCTAGTTAAAAATAAGTCGATTTGAGACTTTATCAGAAATCAAAACTAAATTAAATCCTGATCTTCGGAAATATTTAATAAAAACACTTCCTCATATACCTCCCGAATTAGGAGATTCTAATTATATAATTTAACCATCTTTTGATATTTATTGTTTAGGAGTGGTACTATTTTAAATATGCACTTGTCAATTACCAGAAGATAATTAAAGAACGAATCGATTAATCCTTAAAAAGTTTATTTCAAAAGAATTAGCTAATATGATTATATTAATGTTGGATCTTAAGGCTGAGAATAGACCAACAGCTATTACTTTAATTGATAATTAATGGTTCAACATTTGATATTAAATATTATTCACTAGTAGTATCTAAATATAAATATATTAATATTAAAAATTAAAATGTCAAGATAAGCTCCATCCTCAGCATAAAAGAATGACATAAAAGCTCCTCCTCCACCACCTCCTTAAAAAGGACCAAAACCATTTAATGCTGAAGATTATGCAAGACCTCCACATCTTACAAAGGAAGAAGTATTAGAAGTTAAATAAGCCTTTGACATTTTTGATAATGATGGATCTGGATCTATCGATCCATAAGAATTAAGAGAAGCTTTTGAAGCTTCAGGAATTAAAACTTACCATAATAAATTTATTTATTAAGTCTTGGGTGAATTAGATACTGACAATAGTGGAGGAATTGACTTTTCAGAATTTTTACATCTAGCAACTGCCAAAGTTAGTGATAAAGATACTAGAGAGTAAATCTAAAAAGTCTTCAATCTTTATGATTGGAATAAGGAAGGTAAATTATTACATTATTTAAAGGTCGAATCACATGGGATGAATTAAAAAGAGTAGCATAAGATTTAGGAGAAGAAATGACTGATGAAGAAATCTAACATATGTTTAAAAAAGCTGATTTAGATGATGATGGCTTTGTAACCTTTGATGATTTCTATAATCTAATGACTCAAAAGGAATACGGAAAGTAATGATAAATATAAATATATACATTCAAATTAGAATCAAATATTTCCTTAGCGCTCAAAAAAAATTAATTCATGATCTTTATTGAATTACAAGATTCTCAATACAATTGATTATAATGTTTTCCTTTCTACTTCTATAAATTGTATTTTCTCATCTACTTTAAATTATACTTTTATTTCTTTCATTATCCATGATCCTTATTAAATACTTTGCATTTCTATTAAATATAATTTGCAAAGTCTATCCTAAATTATTATGGATTTTAATTCTTAGTTTTCAATCTCAAATGTACCATATTATATATAATTATCAAAATCCTTACTAATCTTTACATCTTCCTTCTTTAAAGGATAAAAATAATCTTATTATTACAATTAAATTTCTATATTAAATATATTTTCTATCTTTATTATAGCCATATTTGTTATTATTATAAGCTATTCTTTAAATAATTTTATCTAAATTTATTTACAAAAATACATTCAAAATAATTTATTCCTTTTTTAATTCAAATTTTTTAATTAACTTATTGTTCCAATAAATAAATATCAATGATTAATGAGCCAATATCAGACATTTGTTACATGGACTCAATTCTAAAAATACTTTTTATTCAAAATTAAATTAATAGGGAAAGTACTTGATTTTAAGAGGATTTTATAATTACAGAATTAATTCGTTGATTTAATCTAAAATATATATTGTAGTTTCTGAAACTGTCACAAATAAAGAACCATTAGGATTCATTACACACTAACATTAATTAAATTATACTGCTAAAAGAGTGGCATTTTCTAAGTTTAACTATTTATTTATTTCAAGTTCTTCTTTTCTTTCTTCAATTTTAGTTCTACTAAAATCCATCTCATATTAATGGATGATATTGTTTCTGTCTACCATGAAACTATTTATTATTTTTGGGTTTTTTGATGATTTATTTATTGTTACAAAAGAACAAAACCCATTTTTCAAAGTTGATCTTACTACTTATTCACCTTAATATTTAAATATTTGTAATTCTGAATCATAGTTAACTAAATATATGTAACTATTTTCTTAAGGTATTCTTTAAATATTTGAGCTTAATAAAGATCTTATTATTTGTCTCTCATATTAACTCATATACAACCAATGTCTAAAACTTATATTTAATTTTGGGGTCTGATAACCAGATGGAAGTAAATTTTAATATTTATTTTCCTAATTTTCAGAGTCATTAATTCTTAAACTTTCCATTTGTTTAATATCGTACATTGTTTAAGAAAATTATTAATATTTTCAAAATAAATTATTAGTTCATGTTTTTAGTCAAATATTATTAACTTATAATTACACTATTTTTAATCCAAATAAACATAGGGTATCAATAATTGTCAATACTAAAATTAGAAACAGATATTTTAAGTTCTAAGAAAAAAGCTTGATAATTTTAAGAATTAATAATTTTCATAAGAAAATCTACTTCAATGAAATTCAATAAGTTTTAGAAATATTGATTTCTTGTTTATTGTAACATAACTAATTATTAATAAGACTAAATAAAAAAAACCACAAAATTAAATTTAAGAGAATTAAGTATTTGGTTAATTTTGAAATTGAACAATATCAATCTTATTAAACTAATATGTACATATATTTTTGAATTTTTATATAAATTTCATTATTCAATTCTCATTTTATTCAGATTCTTCTTCTTTTTTACGATTTGAATTATTTTTTTTACTAAAACAATGAAAAAAACATAATTTGCAAAAGAATAATAGATCTGCATCCAACAATGCTGGTCCCAAATATACATCATTAGAATTTTCAAAAATATATTCTATTTATTCAAACCTTTAAAGTGCTAATTATAAAAAGCAGATATATATGACTCCAAAACATGATAAAATTGCTATAATTAATATATCTGACCGAGTAAGTAAACATAAAATTCCAGATATAAATGCCACCATAAGAATCACATTACAAAATTACTTTTTTACTTTCATACCTTAAAATTATTTCTCAGCTTATATTAAATGATTATATATACCAACAGAACCTTTTATTAAATACATTAAATATAGTATAGAAATTCCTAAAGCTAAAGTGATCAATTCACATTTATATTCTGAATACCAAAGTGACACAAAAACAAGGAGTAAAACTTTAGAACATGAGTGAAAAATAAAAACTAAAAAGTTATATGGTAACTAGAAATATTAATTTATTTACTTATGAAACTGCATTTGGACAAAACTCTGAAAGAATTAGTGTTATTAAATATAGAGTTCCAACAAATTATTCCAAAAACGGAAGCCATGTTAAAATCCATCCAAAACGATTTAATTGCAAAATGAACATTGTCAAAAGACTTGTAACAAAATATTAAATTGCAAGAACCTTCAAAGATGATTCTGAAGCAGTTTCTAACACTGCTCCTTATATAGCAAGGATTTATTATACTTAATACAATTACTCTTCAGCTGCTTTATCAGCTTCAAATAATCTTTATTAGTTTATCAAATGTACGAATTCAATTTTTTCTCAATATCTTCCTTCTTTTTATCATATTCCATTGGAATAGGTATTGGCGTTTCGTCTCTTCTTTCATTCATTATTTTATTAATAAAGATTATATAATTATTATATTAAATATATATATATAAGTAATTTATCTCGGCATAAGACTCATTTATTGATGGAATTTCAGAGAAGATAATCTTTTATTTGAATTACACAATTGTAATATTAGAAATAAATTAATTAAAATATTCAAAAGATGATATATAAAAGAAGAGAGATGTAAGAATCTGAAGTCTAAATATTCGATCATAAAGAAGAAATTTTAAACGTAAAATATAATTTAGTTGTACCAATTTTTGTGTAATAATTATCATAAAGAGGATCCTTAGAAATTTATCTCAGAAATTTAAAAGATAAAAAATATCAATAGAAGATAACCCAAACACAAATACTCAATTCCCCTGCTAAATAAATTAGAAGTCCAATTAGTTAAAATATCAAAGTCTAATTTAGATTTATAAGACATTGCAGAATTCTTTAGAGGAGCTAAAAATCTGAGAAAATTAGCAATTTTAAAAAGCATAATAAATGTTTGATTTAAATTTCTACTCAATTTTATTTTTAAACTCAATTTCTTACTAACACTTAAAAAAATCTAAACAAATTATTATTTTATTTTTATGTTAAATTGTGAAAGAATGTAATAATCATATCAATAATCTATTCTTACATGTATTTAATCAATAATTTTGTATTTAATTTTGTTTCTTTTTTATCTAAAAAATTAATATCAATTTGTTTACTTTTTTCTATTTTATTAAACAATCATACTACTTCATTTTAATTTGTTAAAATCTAATTCCTGAATACTTAATTTTTAAAAAATTTTCCATTAGTTATACAAAATTTGCAGCCATAGATGAAATTGTGTTAATTCAAATAATGAAATTTGATTAAATTTTTCTAGAATAATGAACATACAATTAGTTAATTGTTCTTTTCATCTTATATCATTAAGGAAATATTATAAATTATTCTACTAAATAACTTTCATTTTGTTCAGTTATAGTCAGAATTCAATATTACTACATCTAATCAATAACTCTATCGTTTGTTTAAAAGAAATTTACAATCGAAATATTTAACCAATTTAATCTAGAAATATCTAACCTATCGAATTATTGATGCCAGGAACTTAACAATAATTATGATTTTTAGCTATCTTCTTGATAACATTTAAAATTAGGAAAGAATTGGAACTCATTTTATGAGCAGATTAAGTTTTAATATTAATATCATAATTCTAACATAAAACCCATCTCTTTGCTACTTGTGCATTGATATCTGTAATAAATAAGACTAAATCATTATCTTTAAGGCTAAATGATGCTGATTAAATTGCCATAGCCAAAGCCATAATAAATTATGAAGCATTTTTAAATTAGTACCATGTTTAATCGTTTTGAAATCCACATTTAAATATTGCATCCTTTATGAAATAACTACTACATCCATAATTGTTACAAAAGATATCTCCTTTTGATGTAATGTATGAATCCTTCATACATTTAACGTGAACCCAATCCCTTGTTACTTTTCCTCCACATGAACAAATTGGAGGGCAAGTACATGATAGTCTTACATACTTTAACTTTGGTTCAGGATTCATAAAAATAATAAAAATATTAGAACCAAAAAAGAATAGAGTGGACATTTTAAAATCAAATAATATTCTATTATATAATTANATTAAACAATCATACTACTTCATTTTAATTTGTTAAAATCTAATTCCTGAATACTTAATTTTTAAAAAATTTTCCATTAGTTATACAAAATTTGCAGCCATAGATGAAATTGTGTTAATTCAAATAATGAAATTTGATTAAATTTTTCTAGAATAATGAACATACAATTAGTTAATTGTTCTTTTCATCTTATATCATTAAGGAAATATTATAAATTATTCTACTAAATAACTTTCATTTTGTTCAGTTATAGTCAGAATTCAATATTACTACATCTAATCAATAACTCTATCGTTTGTTTAAAAGAAATTTACAATCGAAATATTTAACCAATTTAATCTAGAAATATCTAACCTATCGAATTATTGATGCCAGGAACTTAACAATAATTATGATTTTTAGCTATCTTCTTGATAACATTTAAAATTAGGAAAGAATTGGAACTCATTTTATGAGCAGATTAAGTTTTAATATTAATATCATAATTCTAACATAAAACCCATCTCTTTGCTACTTGTGCATTGATATCTGTAATAAATAAGACTAAATCATTATCTTTAAGGCTAAATGATGCTGATTAAATTGCCATAGCCAAAGCCATAATAAATTATGAAGCATTTTTAAATTAGTACCATGTTTAATCGTTTTGAAATCCACATTTAAATATTGCATCCTTTATGAAATAACTACTACATCCATAATTGTTACAAAAGATATCTCCTTTTGATGTAATGTATGAATCCTTCATACATTTAACGTGAACCCAATCCCTTGTTACTTTTCCTCCACATGAACAAATTGGAGGGCAAGTACATGATAGTCTTACATACTTTAACTTTGGTTCAGGATTCATAAAAATAATAAAAATATTAGAACCAAAAAAGAATAGAGTGGACATTTTAAAATCAAATAATATTCTATTATATAATTATTAAATATATGAAAAATAAATAAATTTATTATCGAATAAATTTTAAAGATATAAATATGATTTTATAACAAAGATTCATTATTATATTATTTATAAACTAACATTAATATTTTATTATCTTAAATAATGATATTTTTAGCTCAAATTAAGAATAAGAAGGCCTCTTTGATTTCTGGATAGCATAGAAATTATGTTCAAGTAAAATATATTCAATTCAATAAATTTTATTCATATTAATTAAAAACTATAATTCTTTATATAACATATGTATATAATAGATATTTATAATTAAACTTATTATTTCTCTATATTTGCTTAATTTTTTAAGCTTAGAGATATCATTACAAATGCATCTACATCTTTCTCAATAAAGTTCAATAGTTTTTTTATTGATATTAATATATGGAATGATATTTTTGAATATAAAATTGATTATTTTTTTTTTGGTATATCCAATTATATAAAGTTCATTCTACATTATTTAATTAGATATATTAGATTGATTTTTGTGCAAAATAATAGTTGTTTTTAATATTTATCAGATTTTTCTTTCTTCAAGTAATTGCAAATTCTTAATAAGATTTCAACAAATTATGATTTTCTCTTAGGCTCTCTAATTTACAATTTTCAAAAAAGATTCTAAATTAATTATTTTATTCAGAATTAAATTTTTCTAAATTTTATTAAAATGAAAAATAATTTAAAAATAATCTATTTTTAACATTGTTTTCTATATTTAAATTTAATTCAAATAATCACTAATTTATCTGATGATTTTCTTCTTCAGTTCCCAAAAAGAGAATTTTTTCCAAATCATACCTGGTAGATTTAGCTGTATGAATTCTACCTGGACTATTCATAATAGATAACCTAAATAAAGCTTAATAAAAATACCTTGTATTTCGTAATTAAATTTTTGTATATAACATCAGGTAATCTCGTAATTTTACAAAATAATTTTAGAGCCTTTATTCTTTATGTTTTTGTTAATTTAATATTTTACCAAAATAAACCGTTAGCATAGAACTATTGCTAATAAGTTTTAATAAATTATATAAACTAGTTAATAAAGGAATTTTATATATTTTATAATATATTCTAAACAGATTTTTTACAAAAGGATAGCAAAGTCGTATAAAGAATCCAATTATTGTAAGTTATATTATTGTTTATGCGTATTCTATATTTTATTGTTCACTTATATATTTAATAGCAGCTAAAAAAATAGTAATTGAGCAAATTTATCCAGATTATAAATCTAAAGAATTAAATTTTTGAATAATAAAAGGCTTTTGATTAGCTGATAATAATTAATAAATTAATAAGCATAAACCTAATAAAGATGCTTTTAATAAAATTTATGTTTCAAAATAAGTCATGATAAAAATAATTAAAGCTTTTTTGAACTATTTAATTTATTCCCAAAAATAGCTTTAACTTTAATATTCATTTAGTATATAACATATATGTTTTCTAAGTTTGATTTCATCTAAATTGTTTTAATTTATTATTAAAAAGATAAAGATAAATACAGGGATAATTAGACCAAAAAATATTATTGCTGGTAAAACAAAATAATACATCCAAGTTTAATGATTTTAATCCCCAAAAATTTAACTAACATCCCCTTAAATATAATTGATATTCGAAATCACACGAATTGAAATAATTGAAGATAGCCTAAAAATAATTATTTAGTATACATTTTTATTAAACCAGCATAATTTACCACATATAAATAAAGCAAAGTATTAGATAGTATGCTTAAATCAAATTTATGATTTATCTTTATGAAATAAACAAATGAAATTAAAAAAATGATATTAAATTACGAGACTATAAATGTGATCAAAGTAATGAGTTTTAGATAAATTAAGGAAGTATTACTAAGATTTGATAATTAACAATCTATATCATTAGCTAAAGAATAAGAACTATTGCTAGTTTATTCAATAAATTAAAATGATAATGAAAAGTTGATATTAAATGTAAATATCGCTGAAAAAGTCCATAAATAATTTATCATCATCTTTATTAGAATACTCTCATGATCTAAAATTAGTTATAATAAAACTTACCTTAATTTAATTTAAATAATATTTTATTAAATCTCCTAACTAATTTAAGTTATGCGTATAATTTATTTGATCGATTAATACTTCTCAAAGATAAAGCAATAGATATAAAAGTCCTAAAATAATTGTATTATATATATATACCAAATTATTACTAGTAAAATAGAGAATATACCAACCCATGAGCCTGTACATCTTAAACATTATTAATCCCATTAATTTTTATAAAAATTGCCATAACCTCTCATATCAAAAATATCGCACTCTTCGCATAATGCTCCAAGATGCCCATTTATACATAAATTATTTCCAACAAGCCATCCTCCTCTACAAAAAGCTAGATTTCTAAAACATATTTCTGCGAAGTCTGATAAATTATGTGGCCTCCAGTATCCAGGTAATAATTCTATCATATTAGAGGATATTTTTGCAAATTTTGTCTTATCGAAAATTGAACATTTCGTTGCATTATAAGTGACAGAATAAAAACCCTAATTTGATTAACATATTTGACATCCTTCATCAACATAAAATTCACCTAATTGACATTTTAAACTTTTTGTATTTATTATATACAACAAGCCACTATTCTATAAATTAAATTTGCATTATATTGATAGTTATAAATATTCATAATTTTATTAAAATGGATCAAAAGTGAATTATAATGGGGATAAATCAAAATAATATTTCCCATTATCAAGTTTATAAACTTAGTTATTTTATAATTTTATAACAGAAGATTGATTTTTTGTTACAATAGATTAATTAATTAAGCAAGTTGAATTTTAAACATTTTTTAATAACTCATTTAGACTATTTTTGTAATTTAATTAGATATTTTCTATGAATGATTTATATTTAGATTATTTTGTATCAAATATTTTGAAATCTTTGATTATTTAATTACTTGGGAATATCAAGCAATCTGATTTTTGAACTATTCCTTGTTCAATTATTCTATAAGTACTTAATTTTATTTTATTAGTTTAAACTCCATTGGTTTTTAAATCAGTGGAAGGAATCTCCTTTTAATTAATATATAAAGCTAAATGAGATGGATTCTCAATTAGATTATTACCTTATTCTGTTGCTGTATTAAATAATAATTAAGTATTAATAAAATTATTTTTATTTAAAAAACTATCTCCTTACAAATAAATTCCTCCACCTGCTTTTGCATTATTAGATAAAATTATTGATTATTTAATAATATAATTACTTTAGTCGATTACAAGATAAATACCCCCTCCTAACTCACTAGCAGAATTCTATATTATTTTACTTGACATAATCTTTAAATAAATATTCACACACATAATAGCAATCCCTTAAGTTCCTTTATTATGTAAAAAATTTGAATTTTAAATAGTTACTTTAGCTTAAGCAAACTTTTTTTTGGTAAAATATAAACAACCAAATTTTTTTATTTAATTAAATAAACAATTTATATTTAAAAGTCTTATTTCTTAAAATTCTTCTACTTCAAAATACATCAATCCATGAATACAATATGTACAATTATTATTAATTAATTGAATTTAATCAAAATAAAGTAAACTTTAATTTGAAAAACTTTGAATATTCAATAAAGAACCAACTTCTATATTACTTTATTATAGTTAATAAGCATTTTCATTTAAAAAATTTTATGAAGACCCTGGAATCAAGGTTTCATATAAAGAAACGCTTTAGATATCTATTTATTAGAACTTTATTTTTGATTATAGTTTAACCACTTAAATTATTTAGATTAGAGTTAATTAGTAAAATATTTCAATATTATTAATTTTTAATGATTCTAATGAAAGTTGCAGAACATTTTTAAATCTCATAATAGGTGAAATACAGGCCCCTTAAATTTAAAGATTTTTAATCATCACACTACCACTACTTATAGAAATTAATGCATTATCATTTTCTACAATTTCATCTAATTCTTAAATTTATAAATTTTTAACTTTAGAAAAATATTAGGTCCAACTTTATAAATGTTATATGATTTTAATATTTCTAAGTATAACAAAATTTTTCTCAATTATTATTTAAGAAAACTGAATATTCATAATCTGACTAAATAAAGAAAAACAATTTTCAAATTCAACATTTTATATTTATAAATAATTCTAAATTTTTGAAGGAATAATGGTAAATATTGAAGAAGCCATTCTATTAAATATGTTAAAGAATTTAGCAGTATTTATGATCATGTTTAATTTACTATTAGTTGAGTATACATTAATACATCCTTAATATTTTTCTCTCGTTTCTAAATCATTTTCAGCTTAATTAACTGTTAAGTTTAATAAACTGATATAACCTTCTTCTGTAGTTGTAATATCAAATGCAAAACCTTCTTTAGCAAGTATTCGTTCAAAGAAACAATCTATACACAAAAATTATGAGGCTTAGACTTTTCCTGCTCCTCCAATATTGCTGATTTTTAAAGTAGAAAAAATATATTAATTAAAATTCTCTTGATTAAGATGATCAACTAATCCAAGATCAAGATCATAATATTGGCACCATAAGGCATTATTTAAGTAGTTTTAATTTTGAATTGTGTAATTAATAAATTATAATTTTTCAGAATTTATAATAACAAAAGTATTTGAGGAATTTGTTAAAGCGTTATAATAGCAGAAGATATCTTTCACTTCTATTGAACCTAAAGAAGACCAAATATATAATAGACTTGCAGAAGATCTTAATGCATTATTTGTATATGAATGAAATATATTGTAGCCATAAGAAATATTTTACAATAAAATATTTATATAAATATCTGATTCTATGCTTAATAGTGATAATCTATGAATTTAATTTGTTAATAATTAAATGTTTCCTTAAAATTTAGCATTCTGAATATTTATATGACTAATTTACTTTGTTTTAACTTGAGAACTTTGAGTTATCTCAATTATATATTCATCAAAATTAATCTAATTTTCTACAATTAAATTAATAATTGATGTTTATCTTATACCTTGAATAGTAAGTAGTTTATTTCTTTTATTCATTTATAAATCTTTTAATGATAATGGTATCTTAAAATCCATTGGAGTGCCTTAGTAGAAAAGATTTTCAATTAAAATTTTTTGATTTTCTTATAAAAGTAAAATCAATAGGTTATCATTATAAGTTATAGTCATTAATTTTAAAAAGAATTAATCACAGTTTATATCAAATAGATATTCAAATTCAACTTGATTAGTTAGTTGATAATTTTAATACATGTAAGTATTTTAAATATTAACAATAAGATTATTGGTTGAATATGTTGATAAAATACGGAATAAATTTGAGCTTTAGTATAAATTTTCAATTACTTAAAGATCCTATATTAAACATGGGATAGTCTACATAAATAATTTCTAAATGATAATAACAAACTAGGAAGATTCAAACTTATTTTTTTCGATAAGAATTTATAATAACGTTAATTTAGAATTAAGCCCTATGATTATCGAATTGTATAGATAATTGAATTTAAATGAGAAATCTTCTATTCTTAATTCTACCAGATTTGTAGTATTAATTAAATTAGATTCATAAAATTAATTGTTTTAAACCGATAATGGGCTTAAATTAATCAAAATATGGCCTAATGTTTAAGTGTCAAAATAAAAAATAGAAGAATGTTCTAATGTACAATTTTGAATTTAAAAATTTTCAAGATATATGTTATTTTATAATTTTGTAATATAAAATAAAGTTGAATCTTTAAATGTACAATTATATATATATAATCCACTAATAGAAATGATTCTTACTAATTATTACTTTATGAGTCTAAGAATCGAAGAATTTTTAAATATGGAGTTAGATATTGTTAAATTCTTCAAATTAATAATATCATAATTTTGAGTTTCAAATAAAGAATTTAGATCGTTAAATTAACTTTAGTAAATTTTAATGTTGGATAGTGTTAAATTAATCTAATTTGAATCATTGTCGATAATGAAAGTATGATTATTATTAATAATAAAGCTTAAATTTTCAAATTAAACTTCATCATAATTTGAAAAATATGTTGATTAAATAGGATAAATAAAATACTACTTTTCTGAGTATATTTTAAATTGAGTATGTTTTAAAGTGAAAATTTATTATTTAAGTTTGGTTGAAAATGATAAAGGGAAAAATAGATAACATATTTCTTCATCTATGGTGAAATCAAATTAAAATTCTATCGATTAAATTCCAATTGAATTACAATATTTAGTATTGATTTATGATTCATAATTGCGATTAAAACGTATAAAATTGCAAGAGTGAATTGAAAATCTGAATATTAAAGAATCATCGCATTCCCTATTTAAACAATACCTAGCTACTTAATTATATGGATCAAAATAAATTGCAGGATCAAGATAAGGTTTAATACATTTTTTTGTATAAATTAAATTCTCCTCAGTGACCAAAAATTTTGGTGAATAAGCCTAAATATCTAAAAATGAATACTTTAATTTCTATATCTGAGCGAGGAATGCAAACTTAACACAGCTGAGGACAATCAGAGCAATTTTAACCTTCCTCAACCTTGATTTATTATTTAAAGTAATTTAAGCGACATTTTTTACAATAATAAAATACATTTTATCCACAAATTAAACAATCTGAATCACAATAACCTTCTTCAATCTATTGGGGCAAAAAATAATATTGATAAATATAAGTATATAATGAAGGAATAAATTAGAGCATAAAACTTTGAATTTTACTTGTCCAACTTCGAATAAGTTGATCTGGAAGCTCTTCTTCATTAGGAAAACACTGATTATTTTCTACAAGAAATCCATTTTGACAAATAATACATTAAATAATGTTATAAATATTTAATGAACATTGTTAACAATTTTGAATGTACTTTTAACAATTAATTATTTCTGGAGCAATGGTAAAATCATCAGTTGTTGATAGTGTGCATTTTTCTGAACCATCCAAATTAATAAATGAACGTTAACAACTTTTTAATTAAGATATTTAATTTATGCATAAGTTAAGAGTGAAATCAAAAATATAATTATCTTTACAAAGTGCGCAACCAATTTTAATATATTCGAAATCATCCTCAGTTATTGCATATGAAGGATATAAAGAACTAACATCTTAATCGTAGCTAATGTATTCAAAACATAAAATACAGTTCTTAATTGTGCATGTTTTACACTATTTTTAAAAAGTTAAATAATCAGGAGGGATACAAATAGGATCAATTTACTAAAAATTATTTTAAGTACATTGTCCTTTCATAAGAATATAACCAATCTCACATTGAATGCACTCAAGACCTGTTATACTGATAGAACAAGTTAAACAATTATACAATCTGCATAGATAGCACATGAATGTATTTTAAATAATATTTTCTTGTTATTGACAAAACTATTTAAATGCTATAGAAACTAATCTTAGCTCTACATACATATTTTCAATGCTTTCTATGTTAGTTTGAAATGAAGATTTATTGTAATCTTGCCTATAATTAATTTATGCTCCATCAAAATAAAATCTTTCTATACCTTCAAAAATAATTGATTCCTATAAGCTGCCTAATTCTTATAAATATAAATTTTATTAACAAGTTAGATCAAACTACCAATTTGATGGATTTTTGTAACATTCTAAACATGTAATCATCTTTTTTTTGACAATAGAAGGACTAAATAAATTAAATACAGTTTTACCATATAAAGCACTCTCTTTCATTTTCAAAATAACCTTATTAGCATTTTGAGACTCGATGACTTTTTTGAAGTATTAAATTAGAATCTTCAAAAGTTTTACATTTTCCATCTTAATCAATTGTATTATATGGACAAATACAGACTTTATATTATTATAAGTAAATTCTTGTTGAAAATTCAGAACAAGATAAACAGTTTTCATTAGTTGGTCCATCACAAGTAAGGCAGCTATAATGACAGTTTTGGTAATCCAATTATTAATAGCAATTATAAAATTGAAAATTTTTAATAGCAACATTTAACTAATTTTTAGATTATTATAAACAATTTCCAAACTTCACTTTTATTTAATAATTATTAAATTATTTAACATTATACATTTTTGTAAAATGATTTAAAATTTTGTTCTCATAAAATTTTACATCAATTTTGAATTAATCAAATTATAATTCTACTTTTATTTAATGCCATTAGGTGATCTCATTACTAATTTTAAATTTATCTTTTATAAGAAATGGGTTTTCTACAAAATTTGATGATACATCTGGAAATTAGTAACTATATGTTGTTATTTCAATGTTATTTTCTTCTTCTGAAATATAATAAAATAACTAAAAAGGAGATAGATTTGAATCCTCCAACATTAATAACTCTGAGTTTGGACTAATTTTTATGAATTAATAAATAAACTCTTTTGAATCTATTGGTATTTTTTTTATTTAAATCCATCCTATTAATATGAAAGAATCACAATTCAAATTTTACGATATGTATTGACTAAATTTTAAATCTTAAAAGTCTTAATCTTCAATTAGAAATTTTTCATTAGGCTAACAAACACAAGTTTTAAAAGATTCATAAGTTACTTATGCTATTTCTAATAAATTTAGTAAAGGAGCTTAAATCTCTTCACTATATTCCTATAATCTAATTGCACCTGGAAAATATGAAAAAATATCTCCATGTTTAATGTTTAAAATTTTGGAATTACTTACAATTAAATTACTTCCAAATGTTAAAATCAAATTTTTATCATTATATGGACTCTTCATTTATATTATTTCGTGAATTTCTTATGATTATTATTTACTTAATAATAATTCAAATCTATCTAATTGTGGCCATTAAATTATTTGCATAAAATACCAAATATTTTCATACTAATCAGAATCTATATTTATTGAAAATGTTAGTTGTTCATTCTTATCATTTATAAACTAGATTGTTTTTTTGATAGTCTTTAATTGTTTATCAAGACAATCATAATAAATAAAATTTAAACTTAAAGAGTCTACTTCAATTGCATTGTGTAAATGAAAGCAATAGCCATCAAACAATCCGTACATTCCTATTTAACTTATTTTTCCAAGTGGATTATACTTGGACCATATGCCATATGTAAAACAAAAATTTGAGGGATAGTTAAGGTCTTCTAATTTAATAATTTTTCTAATTTATTGGTTCAACGGATTCATTTCAATTGTTTCTAATGTATTCGCTAATATTTGGATTGCTAAAAAAGCACCTACTAATATCATGATATTTAAATTTACTAAGAATTTTAATCTGAATATTTAATCACAATAATCATGACAAGAAAATTATTTCAAAATTTTAAGTAGATAAGTTTCCACTTGTGCTTGATTAGAAAGAAAGTCTTATTAAGGTATATATAATACTAAAATATCATTTTAGTTAAAATTTTTACAAAATTCGTTGGGTAAATTCTTCTAAATAAACTTTATCCATTTTAAAATACATGATGAAATTCTTTCTTTTAATTATTATAATAGGAATTAAATTTAAACTTTAAAGATAATTATTTTTGTTTAATTTGAAAATGTTTTCTGAACCTAAGTATATTAATAATAGTCATTCTTTCTTATTAAAAATTTATATAAAAATAAAAAAGGTGATGGGAAAGAAAAGCTTAAGAAAAATAAATCATAAAGTAAGATTGGCAAATGTTTAATAGATGATGATGGAAGTTTGCGAAATTTTTAATTAAATTAATAACTTTATCTATAAGCGACTTATTTTTTTAGTAAACTCATATAGATTTTGTATCTAACATAAGAAATAGCTAAATTTCTTAAAAACTCAAGTGATTATTTTCATTTAATTTTATTGGTTAATTTTTTAATAATACCTAATTCTAAATATAAATTATAATTTAATGAATTATAACTATTTTAATAATAATTCAATTTGATTCACAATAATATTAAAAAATTTAAAAATGATTTTCAAATATCTATTGGAAATTCGATTAGGTTTATTTTCAGCATATTGTTCATGCTATTTTATGTAGAAAATCTATTTAAAATTAAATAATCAAATTAAACTCTATCTTTTAATAATAATACTATAAAAACTTCATCATATCCACTTACAGCCATTCAAAAATAATAATCTCTTCGGTGTCTTAAAAATCACAATTGTTATTATATCTTCTTTATTAATATAATTAATTTTCGAAGTTTAAAATTTGTTTTTCTAAATAAAATTTTGGTGCAGTAAGATAATTTTATCAAAATTATGCCAATATTTTGGTATGAGAAGGCTAATATTGCTCAAATTTATTTAATATATCCTTGTGACTCATTACAAAAGTTCTAAATTTTTCAAATAGTATGTGAGTACTATTAATTATAAAAGTTTATTTTAAAAGTTTTAAATTCTTAAACAAACTAACTAAGGTTATAAATTAAAATACGCGTTATTTATTTTCATTTCATTCTAGCTTAATATTAGGCTGATATTTTTTCTATAGAAGCGACTTTGTTCTGTTATAAAAAGTTATTGCTAGACAATATCAAGATATTTCGAAATTGTGAACTATCAATCTGTTTATCCAGTCCATTTATTTAGATGGCTTTGTTACAAATAGATATTTGTAATAGAAACTATATTTAAAAATAGTAAAAAATCACTTTATTGCTCAAAGATTACTTCTGAATGCTTTGAAATTAATCAGATAACAAATTATCAAATTTGATAAGAATAATTCATCATCCAAACAAATTCAGAAATCAGCTAATAATATAATTACTTAAACTAATGTTATGATTATTCTTTATTAAAATTTATCAAATGATAATTTCTCTAAAAAGATAAATTTCAACTTCATTCTAAAAACAGATTAATTTTTCTTCAAATTAAATTTGCTAATGCTTTGCTAATTCTTCAATAAGGTCTTACTATACATATTAGTGCTTTTTTAATTGTGTTTGCTCTATATTAATAAATTATCAACCAATATTAAAAAGGGTTAATCAATGCAATTTAGGTCATGCCTAATTAATTAGGGTTTTAAGAAGTATTAGATATTTTATTTATCATTATAATTATTCTTATATTATAATTAACTTAATTTATTAGTATATAAAAATTTAATAAAAATAAAATATTTATGAAGAATTTTTTCTTAATTAAATTTAATCAAACACAAATTTAATTAATATAACTATTGCAACTTTCTATAAATTGAATTTAGAACTAATTATTTAATCAAGATTTAGACTTAATAAATGCTTTTCAGTTTAATTATATATTTAATTATTTATCATTAAAACACAATCGCCTATCATTTTGAGAGAAAATAATTTTGGGAAAAGATGTTGGTTAATGGGATATTCAATTTAATTATATAATGAAGATAGTAAAGGGCTGTTTAATAGAAAGTTATGGAACAATATATAAAAGAAAAATAAAATAATTTAGTCTTTGAAAATAATATGATGTTGGTTTTCAAAGATCAATTCATTGATATGAAAGCATCGTTTCCTGCACGATGCATAAATTATAAAGTTGAAAGAAAATGATTTGATATTAATAATTTTATTGTTACTTTAAAATAAAAAGTAATAGATCATTTTTATTATTTAAATATCCAATTTTTTCTTTTTTCTAGGAATCTGGATATAATCTAAACTTAATTCAATTATTTTATTCAATTGATATAGAAGTCATACCATTAGACTCCACCTCTAGCTCCATCTAAAATAAAGGATAACTACTCTTTCAAAATCTAAAACTTGAATTAGTTACTGCTAATATGGAAGAAAACATTTTTATTGGATGGACAATAATGATAAAATGCTCTAAAAACATGCTTTTATGTTAACTTTTTTGGGTCATACTAATAGTAATTTATAATAAATCACTAAGCAAAACAGTAATAACCTAAGTTTGAATGGGAAAAATTCATTTGATTTAAATCAATTGAATAGGGTGTATTGTTAGTTGTTACAAATATAAAAATAAATTGATAAAACAATGGGACTAAATTTAAGTTTTTTTTTTAACAGGGTGTGCCAAATAAAAATTTTTTTATTAAGCCAGAAAGATGGACTCAGGAATTTTGAGAAATTTTTTCTGAAGCATCTTAATAATGTTTTTTTGGGTTAAAATCTCATGATAGTTTATGAGTTATTTTCAAATTTATAAAACCTATTTTATATTAACGTTGGTGTATCTAAAACAAAGTTAAAATCATTTAAATAATCACTTTAATTTATTTTATATTCTCTAATGAGTAATAATTATTCCTTAAAAATTATAGAAATAATAAACAAGTGACCAGTAACTATTTTTCTTAGATTTAAAGTCCTCTTTATTTTTGGTTTGTACTAAGTATGAAGTTATCCCAAGGAGAATCTGGCGATCTCTACTAATTGTAATAAGATTTACTTGAAATTGTTATTTTAACTTTATTTTCATTTAGCAATTTCATCAAACAATTTGGCAGAAAAAAGAATTAAGTTTAGGATTAAAATGAATTTACAAGCACTATCTTTTTTAATTATATTTAAGATCTTCATCTATTTTAGTAACTCTATCAATCCAACTAGATGTTGAATAATATTTAAAATAAAATTCATAAGTTGATAAAACTTGATCATGTATAATTCATTTAAAACTATATATACTTTTAGTTTTAACATAAATTCTGACAGATCATTAGTTTAAGCGATATTTTCTTACAATTTTTCATTAAAATTGGCATTTTAATCTTTTTTTCTGGATATTATATATTTAGATAAATATTTTCATTTTTGCCATGTAAAAGAACTAATTCTTCATTTTCTTTTTATTTTAGCCTTTTCAAATTAATGATTCAAGTTATCAATTTCATTTTAAAGAAACCTTCCTCAAATTAAAATTAAAGAATCTTGTCAATATTATAATTACTTGATCATCATTTAAAAATTTTTGAAGTCTAAATTGTTGTAGTTTAACTTGACAATGTTGCAAAAAAGAGGTAAATTATTGTCTTGAGTTTTCGAGATTTTATGGTCCATTACTAAACACCAATAGAGGATAAAATTGGAATAGCAATAACTGAAGTTGAGAATACTAAAACCAAACATTACCTAAAGAAGAGTACAATAGAAGAATGCAAATGATATTTTGCAAATCTCAAACAAGAAAAATAGAAATTTCTTCAATCATTAATGTTCAATAGCTAAATAAGATTAGCTTAGTAGATGAAGAGTTAGAAAAAAAATAAATTTTTGCCACATATTGTTCTAAGATACCTTATAGTATTTTTTACAAATCTACTAAAGTTTGTAATTACTCTATTTAATCATAATTTAATATTTAATTTTTTATAAAATTGACATCAAAGTTATTTAAAATTCCCCCTCTTTAACAGCAATCAAATTGAAATTTAAATCGATTAATTTGAAATACTAAACTAGTATAAAATACAACCGTGACTCTAATGATAAAAATTGAAAAATTTTGTCGAGGTCTAAATCAAGTAATTTGGATTATTATTCACTTATAACAAATTTTATATTAATTATATAAAATTGATTTTCTATTAAAATTTAACCCCTAAATTCTGAATCAAAATTTTTCAATAATAAGTAAATTAAACAAAATAATGCAGCAGGGTAATATTTTGATAATTGATGAGTATCAAATTGTTCACGAAGAATTAATTACCAATAGATTATATGAATGCAAATCAACTAAAAATATTCATATTCCTTTATGTGCTAGAGTAATTAATATTATATAACCTTTTATAGATAATATAAATGTAAGAATAGCATTTAAGGAAGTATGAAGAAAGAGAATAATAGATCTATGAAGTAATCTTACAATATAGAAATAATTAAAATTTAGTTTATGTACATCTCATTAAAAAACTGGAAGAATAGAAAAAGATAGTCATAATTATGGAGAAATGCGAATCAAATTTACAATAGTTACTGGAGAGAAATAAAAAATTTAATGATAATGAAATAGAAGATTTTTCTAAACAATTTATCAATGGATATAGCGTTCTCTATAATGAATTGATAGTTCATAGAAATATTAAACCTGATAACATATTCATTAGATATATAAATGGAAAACCTATATATAAAATAGCTAACTTTAAGATCGCAAAAAGAATGCCAAATGATAATAATATTTATCTCAAGAAGATTGGAACACCTGCATATGCTGCTCCTGAAATTAATACTTTAAATTAAGATGCAGATTTAAGTTTCTGCTTTAATTCTATCAAAAATATTAAAAATCCAAAAAGCTTAATTGATATTTTTTCAGTAATTTTAACAATTATTCTAGATTGGCATGATTTTTTACTAGATGGTATAGGGATTTTTACCTTTTGAATCTAATGCTAATTAAATTAAAAATTTTTTGATTTAGATCAAATAATAACCTTTAAAATTACAAGGTAACTCAAAGTATGTCCAAATTATCGAAAAGTTGTTAATTTATTTCCCTGGTAATAGAATGGAATTTGAATCATTTATTAAGTATTTTAAATCAGAATCCAATTAGATATTTTAATTTTAAATATCTGGGATAAATCAAATTTAACAAAGTTATTCAAATAATTTCAATTTCCCTTAGCAATCCAATGTGAATTTATTTCGATTGACTTCTAATAACAATCATAATCAATAAAATAATCAAGTATACTAATCCTAAAGAATGACATAAGTATCATAATTTAATCCTCTGGTTCAAAATTAACAAGCATTTCAAATCAATTATAACCCTAGATAAAAAATAATTGAATTCCTAATATTTCTAATGTAAATAATAGTTATTATTTTTAAAGGCACGACTATGATGGAATATTATATGACTCAACGAAATAACAATTATAATCATTTTTAGAATTGAAAGATAATATTTTTTCAAAAGAAGTACTTCTTGAATTGCTGACATTTATTAATTTTAAAGCAGAAAAAATAGATGGCTATGACAGCAAGACCTTAGATTTTTTTTATAGCATTTTTTCTGTTTTAATTTACCCTGACGTTTAACAACTGCCGAAAATTCCTGATTAAATAAAACGAGAATATATCAAAACATCTGTTATTTAGCGTTGATACATGTAAAAAAATCTTTTATTTATTTATTTAATTATAATTTATATAGTTTATTTATCCAAATTTTTATAAATGCAAATTTTTATTTTTCCAACATCATCATGTTAACCTCATTCACTATGACATTTTTTATTTCTTCACAATACTCCAAATATTCATCCATTTACAATTTTGCTATCATATAATTACTAATCCCTCCAGCAATTACTTACTTTCCATTCCAATCAGCTTTTCAAATTGTTTTACAACTTTTACTCTCCTCCATCTCCGTCTCAAGCATTTTTTTTAATCTTAATACTCTACCTTTTAGTTCTTTTCATCATACCGTTAGATGATTCTCTATTATCACATCAAACAGCCTTACATTTTGTTATTTCTCTATCCTTAATGTGTTTCACTTTCTCAGCACCATTTTAAAAATTTAATTTTACGCTACTTAACCAGTAAACAAATCCAAATACTATCACATCCTTTTCTTCTATTATCTATTCTTATTTTTTCTCTGTTCTCATCTCATATTTAAAGGATTATAATTATTTTCATAATAGAGAGATTTACAAAACAATTTGTAAATTCAGAATAAAAAAATAAAATATTTATATAATTATAATAATCTCTTCGTATTTTATCTTCCTTAATGCAGGTTTTTATCTAAACTTAAGGCTTATTTCGATATTCCTCATTTTACAATCAATACCATAGTTAAAATCAAATTTCATTCAATTAAATTTTTTTTATAAGCTCTAAATATTTTTTTATAACTTCAAGATGTTAAATTTATTTTTATTCATTATTAAATATAAATAATATCTTAAAAAGAATATAATTAAACTTCAAAAATTTTAAATAAGAATGAGATATAAAGATGCCTTTTATGTACATATTTTAATAAAATATGAAAATGGATATAATCAAATAAGAAGGACAACATTATGCAATATATACATAAACGATGACATAATTATAAATATATTTAAATCAACATATATTAAATTAATTTATAAAAAAAAGTTCACAATATTATAAAGAGAACTTTTTTAATAAATTAGTGATAAATATAGTTACAGAGTTTATAAATAAAAGTTTATTAAAAATTTATAAATAAATTTAAATGATTCCTTATCAATTTTCATTCTTTCTTGAGCAAATAATTTACTAAAAGAAACCAAATATTATGAAACATCAAATGAATCCAGAGATTAATTAATTAAAACTATGAATAAAATTGCAGATATTAATCCAGAGTTTATTTTATAAGTAGAAATACATAAAGTGATACAGAAAATGGTTTGGATATGAAAAATGTAATTAGGAGGCTAAGTTCTTTTTTATTGATATTTCTGGTTATGGAAAATATACGTTAGTTTCATCTCAAAAGTAAAAATGGTTTCCTTCTAAATGGTATGAGCGATTTTATATTAAAATAAATTCCTTATGATTGTAAGGTTAATTAATTGGAAGACTTTGTTGCTTAATTAAAAGCTAATTAATATTGATTTAAAAATAGCAAACTGATAGATGAAAATTTAAGCTAAATGGACAGTCAGTTTAAAAGAGTTAGTAAGTATTTAACTTAATATAATATTTCACATTAAAAATGTTTTACTCTAAATTTTAAACATTGTTAGAATGTTTTAACAATTTCCTCCCTAAGAAACGAAATTATTTTTTTAAGGTATTTCATCATCTAATAAAAAATAACTACCAGGAAAACACTATGAATTTTGAGAAATCTACTTTAGAAATTGTCTGAGAGTTAAAAATTCACTTTTGTCCCTTCTTTAAAATGTTATTCTGTTTTTATCATTAAAAGTTTTCATAAAGCATTCTGTATTGTTTAAATTCGATTTCCAAAATCTAATAATACACTTTTAAATTCAATTCTAAATTTTATATTAATTCTTTGATTAATATTCTGGAAAACTAACTTTTAAGTTAAGGTATGCATTTTTATAAAAATATTTAAGGGAAAAACTAATATTAATTTCTATGTGAAACATAAATTAGGAATTAAAAAAGGAAAACTTAAATTAATTGAAGTAATTAATGTGTATCTCACAAAAAAGCATTTTCTACGAACAATAGTTAAACGTTTTCTTTTTTTCATCTCTTGTGATTCACATGGTTTGGAATGTTGACAATGATGATATGATTGATCCATCAATACAATTGAGGATTTTCTATCAGGTAAGACAACAACTAGTATTTTAATTGGTTATGGAGAAAGGAACTTTAATTCTTTGCTCATTTTTTCTGCCAATTCTGGAAAAATTTCATTACCTCCTGATAATATTATATTTTTATAACTAAGATATAAATTTAAAATTTTTACAGATTTCTTCGAAGCTGCTTTTCATCGTTGATTTGAATTTTAATTCATATATACTCAATATTCAAGACCAAACAAGCTTAGTTTGAAGATTAATTTAGGTCACTAAATTTACGAACAACGACTTGCTCATCTGGCAATTCTTATGATATTTTTTCGCTAGTGCTTTCCTTTTTTTCTTCCACTCCTAATCATAGTTATTGGTAACATAACATAATTTCTTTTTCATATCCCTTACTATTTCAATTTCAGCTCATTTTGTGAATGAAAAATCTAATTCAGTTGAGGCGAGAGGGTCTTGTTGCAATTTTCATTTATATGGAAGAGAATAACCTTCATAGAATGGAGCTGCGTATTAGACAATATTTCCAGAATCTACAACAATACTGGCGTTCTTCTTGAAGCATAAAGTGAGAGCATAGCAGTACTAGGGATATAGAATCATATATTGCTTAGAGGAAAATATATGACATCTTTTCTTTATTTTACTTAGAATTCAAAAACACCTTTCATTCTTATAGATTGATAACCAACATAACCTAATTTGTTTTCAATACCAACATTACTTCTTTGATATTTTAGTTTCCAAAAATTGCAGGGAAAGGGCATTTTGGCCTCATTTAAATGATAGAATATGAAATTAATATTAATTAAAGAATTGCGTAGCAATATAAGTAAAGGTACTTGAATAACGAATGATGTTGTTAAATGTTGAAATTTTAAGATATTTTGATTTTTCTTTTTAAATTAGTAATTAATTATTTGATTATCAGTATATTTTAATAAACAAAAATATTTTCTCTTTATTTGGATTTAATTTTATTAACAGATTTTATTTCAGTGTATTTATAAAATTTTAACAAAAAAGTGAGAAAAACAAATTATTTAGTTGAAAAAAATATATTAATTTTTCAGTTATTTCACAATCAATGTTGAACAAAAAGTAGGCAATATTAAATCATTGCTAATTATAAAATATATAAAATTGCATATATTTTATTCATTTTTGCTTCAAATCAAAATTTACAATTTACAATTATTTAGACTTTTATATTTTTTTTATTTTATTAGATTATTAAAAATGTTTTTAATATTAAACATTATATTCTTACCAATACAACAAAATATTTCTTTAACTTTTGAAATAGTTTATTTCTACATTATTAACTATTACTTCTATTCTTAGCTATTTATTTGTACTAAAAGGTTTTCCAGTTATAATAAAGTAGAATAATATTTTGAATTATTCATTACTAACAGTAATGAATAACAAAAATTCAAATAACCAACTATTATAAAAACAAATATGCGATTCTAATTAATATTTTATTATAACAGCATAAATTGAATATTTCTAATAATAATTATATAATATATATTATAAATTAATATTCTACTATTATTATTAATCATCTTCCATTACTTATTAATGTTTTTAATATCCTTCAAAGGAAATGGAGAAAAAATTCAAAAGGGATTGAGAGCAGCAAAAAAAAAACTAATATTATTCTAACGAATTAATATAAATTATTTAAATTTTCAAGAATATTATCATATTTAAATTCTATTTTCTTACAAATTCAAACCATTAGTTCAAAGTTTGAAAATTTGTTGATTTTAGGATTTCCTTTAATTAATCCTAACTTATAAAATAAGATATATTGATTCTTAAACTGAATATCAAAAATGTAGAAATTTAATATTTTTTATTTAAAAGGATAATGCAGTGCATTCATCATATTCAAAATCAAATAGGAATAATATGCAGAGCTCCCCATAAGTGTTCATATCAAAGGAAACTATGTCCTGAATGCCAAGATGAACATAAAGTCGATTCTTAATACTTAATATCCATGAAAAAATTTAAAGAAATGGCACTCATAAAATTGAATGACTTTACACTCAACCAGACCTCTGAATTAGCCAAATAGAGAATGGCTTTTAAATCTATGCTTTCGAAAACTGAAACTATGATGAAGAAAGTTTGGTAAGATTTCTCAGAATCAATACAAAAAATTTACGATTGGATTGAAAAGGAAGACTAATCATATATGAATCTTATTGACGAAAATATGAATCTAGCAGAATCTTCCTATTCTGATTTAGAAAAATTAGTCTCCATAATAGAAGGAAAAAAATTAAATGACTGGAATGATTAGAAAAATATCTATAAGATGGAGTTAGAAGAGAGTAGGAATTGGTGGGACAAAGAAATTCAGTTTTTCATTGAAAAGTAGAATGAAGGAATGAAAAAGATTTAATCACTAATGATTAAGTAAGAGTTTAAAATTTATTCTAGGATGGAATCTAATTAAGTTGAAGGTGAAGTTTATTATAGGAAAGAAGAACTATATGAAATTTTAGCCTCAATTCAAGATGTAGATGAATCAACATTAAAAGGGATTATTGAAGTAATGAGAAAAGAAAAAATTTCGGATCTTTTAGGATTTATTTAAAAACCTTTCGATCTTAACCTATATAAATCATTTGTTAATCAACAATTGACGATTAGTGATGTTAAAAAAAAGATCATGAATATCACTAATATTTTGAGAAATATTTCGGATCATCAATTTTCTGAAAAAGATTATAGTACAGGAAGGTTTGAGAAGGAAAGACTAAATCTCATCAAAATGATCGAAGGAAATGATAAAATTATCTATCTTCTTAAATTTTTTGTTCAACTCACAACTATTGATGAAAAATTTATTTAATGTGGGTCAAATGGGCTACATTTATTAGTCAGTATGAAGATAAATTTGTAGAACCATTGCTTTTAGAACATCAAGATTAAGAATACTAGTTTGATTGGAGGAAATTTTGTAAGAAGCAACTTTAGTGGATCAGAGCTTGAAAATGTGGATCTTAGTGGAGTGAATCTAAATGGAGCTCTACTATTGAATTGTAAGTGGAAGAATATTAAAATTCATGAGTTGAACATATTGGATTGCCATACCGAAAATGTCCGATCAGTATGCTTTTCACCTGATGGAACTACATTAGCATCTGGCAGTGATGATAAGTCTATTCGTTTATGGGATGCTAAGACCGGATAATAAAAAGCCAAATTAGATGGTCATACTAGCAATGTCTACTCGGTATGCTTCTCACCAGATGGAACTACTTTAGCATCTGGTAGTAACGATAAGTCAATCCGTTTATGGGATGTTAAGACAGGATAGTAAAGAGCCAAATTAGATGGTCATAGTAATGATGTCAACTCAGTATGCTTCTCGCCAGATGGAATTATTTTGGCATCTGGTAGTAGTGATAAATCTATTCGTTTATGGGATGTTTAGAAAGTGTAATAAAAAGCTAAATTAGAAGGACATTCTAGCAATGTTAACTCAGTATGTTTCTCACCAGATGGAACTACTTTAGCGTGTGGTAGTAGTGACAAGTCTATCAGTTTATGGGATATGAAGAAAGGATAATAAATAGTCAAATTAGATGGTCATAGTCATGATGTCAACTCAGTATGCTTCTCGCCAGACGGAACTTCTTTAGCATCTGGTAGTTATGATAAGACTATTCGTTTATGGGATGCTAAGACCGGATAATAAAAAGCCAAATTAGATGGTCATACTAGCAATGTCTACTCGGTATGTTTCTCACCAGATGGAACTACTTTAACATCTGGTAGCAGTGATAAGTCTATTCGTTTATGGGATGTTAAGACATTATAATAAAAAGACAAATTAGAGGGGCATAGTAATTGGGTTCTATCAGTTAGCTTCTCACCAGATGAAACCTCTTTAGCATCTAGTAGTAGTGATAAGTCTATTCGTTTATGGGATGTTTAGAAAGTGTAATAAAAAGCCGAATAATATGATCATGATAAATATGTCAACAAAATTTACTTATCTCCTGATGGAACTACCTTAGCATCTGGTAGT